GAGCCTTTTGAAACTGATCAGATTATCAGTTTCATCACCAAAGTAAATTATAATTCGCCATAATTCAATATCCGAAGGCATGAATATTTGGGTGATTTCTGAAAAACATTAAATTAAAGCATTATGTTATGAAAAGTAATTTTAGTATTACAGTACAAAGGGGCTCAAAATCAAAACCAAACAATTCAATTTCAATTCAATTTCAATTTATTAAATATATATGCATACAACAATACAAAATTGATGAAGGGAGCGAGACACCACTGAAAGGTGTATGGTGCCCCCTGTAACAATAAAAATTCATATGAGTTAGCAATTGAAGATGACAAATAGGTATATGAATGGAAAAAATCCTTGGAACTATTATATTAAGTAAAAAAGCTTTTGTTCCTGCAATTTCAGCTATGATACAAAGCTGTTTTGGCCTCCTCCCAATGCCCCCGTTTCCTGATATAGTTGGTGTTCATGCTAAAGATGAAAAACAAAGATAAGAATTCTTGAGATCAAAAGTGCCAAGTTAAAACAAGTTAAAAGTGTACAAGTGTACATTGAAATGGTCATTAAAATATATGTCAACTCCTTATATTTTCCATTGTATTGCTGTTTTCATTACATTGATTAAAGGCTAAATCAGAGGTATATACTCGTTTAAGAGACAAAATTCCAAGCAACATGTACAATTAATATTCTTTACCATCTCAAATATGCTAATATTATCTCCAAAGAGATTCATATTTGATCAAACAGTAAAGTTACGTCTATCCATCCCATGCCCAGCTAGGTAGACCATGCTCAAAATATGAAGATTCAAGGAAGACTCTGGAACAGCCATATCCTCCCCCAGTGGAACTACCATATCCACCCCCAGTGGAACAGCCATATCCTCCCCAGTGGAACTGCCATATTCTCCCCAGTGGAACAGCCATATCCTCCCCAGTGGAACTACCATATCCTCCCCCAGTGGAACAGCCATATCCTCCCCAGTGGAACTACCATATCCTCCCCCAGTGGAACAGCCATATCCTTCCCAGTGGAACTACCATATCCTCCCCCAGTGGAACAGCCATATCCTCCCCAGTGGAACTGCCATATTCTCCCCAGTGGAACAGCCATATCCTCCCCAGTGGAACTACCATATCCTCCCCCAGTGGAACAGCCATATCCTCCCCAGTGGAACTACCATATCCTCCCCCAGTGGAACAGCCATATCCTTCCCAGTGGAACTACCATATCCTCCCCCAGTGGAACAGCCATATCCTCCCCAGTGGAACTGCCATATCCTCCCCCAGTGGAACTGCCATATCCTCCCCCAGTGGAACAGCCATATCCTCCCCCAGGCTCTTGATTGAAACAAAACTCTTACACAGGTGAAGAAAAACAATATTGTCATGTTCTGTAATTGTCATAAAGGAATATGTACCATGGTTTATCCCACCCTAAGTGTAATGGTTGATTCTGTATATCGCTATACTCTCGTGAGTATATGATATATTCACTCGTTCCCTTCAGTTACTCGTGAATATATCATATACTCACTTGAGTATAGACACGATATACAGAATCAACCATTATATAACCTAATAATATGTCATTCTGTGAAACTCTGTTATTAGATCTTATTTAGCACATGAACTGCAATTCTTGGAATGAGGTGTACATGTAATATCAATACTCTAAGGAATAAGTAGATGTTTTTCATCATACTGTACTGCCGCTTAATTTGGTGGTACTTATTTTAGCGGATTTGCTGTTTTGAATATTTTGCGGCTACTTAATTTGGCGGACTTGCAATGCACAAATGGTACTTATTTACCTGGTACTAAAATTACTGGGGAATTTGGTGGCTACTTAATTTGGCAGACTTTAACAATTTGGGGGATCTGCCAAATTAAAATGGTCGATTAGGAGGTGTTCACATTTTGAGGTTTTTGCATTCGCGAGATTCCTGATTCTGAAGAAATGTGAACACATTTTCGGTACATATGGCATTTCAGAAATTTGAAAATTCAATTCAAATGAATCCAGTCATGCTGGAAAGCCCTAGTATAGGTTAATCAAGACCATTTAAGTTTTTCCCCAAAGTTTTGATATAACAATATTTGAGCAATTTTGTATGAAACGTGTGAAATTTTATGAAAAGTGTTCAGATTAGACGGGTTAATTTTTCAAATATGACTGTTCACTGTTCAAATTGAGAGGTGTTCACATTTCAAGTTTTTTTAAACATGGGAGTCAATGGGAGGAAAAAATGGGACCGAAAAAAGTGTTCAGATATGGAGGTGTTCGGATAAGCCATGTGTTCAGATATACACAGCCAATATAATTCGACACCGTTTCGGCATCGAACAAATTCGGCACCGTTCCGGCACCGTTTCGACACCGTTCCGGCACTGAAACCTTTCGACACCAAAATTTGCTACCGGACTAGTCAGTCCATTTGGTGCCGAAACGGCACCGAAATTTGGCACCAAAACGGCGTCGAAAATCAGATTGCATTTTGGGGGTGTACAGGTTCTACTGTACAGTATTTATTTTACCATTACATTGGTTGTATTTTTAATGTAAAGGGGACCCCAAAGTAATTGTTTTGACTCTAGTGTCAATAATCCAAACTTATGAATGTCTGTTTAATGAATATAACTACAACTGATTTGGGTGTTGGCAATGGAAAATACAAAATGTTGCATAATATACTTCAAAACACTTAAAATCCAGGGGAGCAATTTTTGCAGATTTGCAAATTAGGACAAATGGAGTTATTAATTTAAAAAATATACAAAAGATGGTTTAACATGATCTTTGTGTTACTTCAAGCATTAACAAAATTTGTACTAAAATGTCATCTTTGTCATCTTGAAGTGTGACAACGTCTTAATGCTGACTCTGATGCCCATTGGATTAAAACAATAAGCCAGCTCTTTTTGGTTGTCATGAACACCATTTTCACTTTTTAGTAAACAAATTATCCTTTAACCACAACACTTCCCACTCACTCACCCATATCATGTAATTGATTTAATGTAGAATTCTGTGTGAAATATAAAACCAACAAGGTTTGCAAAATGTTACTACCTGCCATTTGTTACAGATGCCAACCAACGAACACCATCCACAAAAAGAGACTATAACCTTCTGGAGTTGACCATTTCTGGTGGTGACATAATTACATGCATTCTGCTTAGATGTACTACCATTATAGATATATGCAACAAAACTTTTAGATATGTTTTTAAATACATTTATATTTTATACTAAATAACCTGTGCATGAAGTTTGACAAAACAGACATATCACAATATATCATACTAAACAGCCATTTTTGAATTTTTTTGTAAAACTTGTGCCATAATTTATAGTGGGGAATAAAAGATTTTTGAAAAGCTGAAAACAATGAGCAACAAAAATAAAACTATCATAATATTATTTTTGATAAGTTTATGTATCATTTTACATAACCATGACAAACCTGGGAATTCCTTCTTGAAGGAGCCCTGTGTTTTTCATGTGCATTGATACATAGACATGCAAGTACATATACCTCAGGCTTGTGTTTGAGCATATGTCTAAATGGATCAAGCAAATCATTCTTGTAAGGACTATGTGAAGCATATGCACATGTATCATATGGAGCGTATTATATTTCATCATGACATTCACATTATGATCAGGAAACAAATTACTAGCTATAGCATACTAATTGAATATACACAATTTCCAGAATTGTCATTATTAGCACAGGCCTTTACTTCAATACAGTGACTGATAGAATATACCAGCAAGTTAGAGCTACATACAATGCAGGGGCGTAGCCAGCTTTCAGTCGGGGGGGGGGGGGGGGGGGGGTGCATTCGCCAAAATCTTTTCAGTTTACAGTCAGGGGATTGTGGCATAAACAAGCCAACAAATAAGATTTATTTTGAGTTTTGCAAAAATTGATGCAACTTCCTTCTAGCTAGAAGCTTCAAATAAAAAGCATCTTAAAGCTCTTTTCTTCTCTTTTCTCATAGTTTTATTTTTATTGGTTATGGGGGGGGGGCTACGCCTATGCAATGTACAGGTAGATCTTTTGGTGTGTAGTAATATAGGTTACATGTTCAGATTATACAAGTATTTGTGATTTTCAAAATCACTTGTCAAACTTGAAATGGATCAAATATCCACAATAATTTTTACAATCATTTGATTATAAAATGTATTGTACTTCATACAAATGTACAATGTACATATGTTGTCATTCATTTAATACATATTGACACAAAAAGAGTGCTGATAGTGTTAAACCTCTTAAAAACTTGCTATTAATTTGGCAATATTGAATTTCTAGGGGAATTTTCTAAATATTGGCCTTTATAATTTTTCAACATCCACAATATTCAACAAAATATCAACAAATACATGTATTTTAGCATATATCTGTCTTTAAAAGTCAGATTAAATTGTAACTAAGGATGATATGTAATATTAATATTTCTGCCTATAAAGAACAAAACTTCATCGATAGCTAGATGGATTACTTATGCATTTCATTTTCATCTTGCTGTCATCTGAGACATTTTCCAAATGACATTGCAAATAGTGTGTGGTTACATTTTATCTAAAATCATGATTACATAAAGGATAATATGGCTAAGAGCATATTGATATATGGGATCATAAATACATGTACACTGTGTACTCAATTTTCAAATTAATGTTTAACCATGGAACAAGAAGACTCCAGTGGTACAGTAAAACCTCATCATACAGATAAATGTAGAAGTGACAAAATTAAGTCTCACATAATGTAACAATACATAAAATCAATTGTTTTTAATCCTAAATATTGGGTTTGTTTATATCAGAGTTAATGATATGTATTCTTGGTCCTCTTATGACCATTAATATTCTGATAATCTGAATCTACATGAATATACATAATTTCTAATTGTGATTATTCAGATTGCACTTATGTCGTTAGGAGATAATAATTTATAGTTTTCATGGAGTCTGCATTGATTTGTTCTTCATTTGCAATGTTTTATGAGTACAATTTTATTACATGTAGGCAAACATTGACTGTGGCATACCTATTTTTCAAATTTTTATCCTGGAAAATGGCAACAAAATATCATTCCCAAAATCAACTTGTGAATTTGAAGATTGTCGTTAATATCCAAGGAGTAAATCAGTAAGACAAAGTTACATTTGAGCTCTGCTTTTAAATACCTTCAAGTTGAGAACATGAATAATAATAAAGCCATCAAAAAACATTTGCAAAGAATTTATTTTCTTAATCAATAACCATTAGTGTGAAACTATTTTTCATTGTACATTGTACTGACAGATGGACTGACTGAGAGTTTCACTATATCCCTAACAAGACTCCGTTAAACATAAAATAAATCTAGAAACTATACAATACTTGTTTGCATAACGCACGTCTTTACAGTAAATACAAAGTAAACATAATTAATATTTGCATGAGACAATGTTTAGTCCCAATTAAGCAATTTAAATGAATACAATCTATATATAATTTAGGAGTATTGTTTACTCCTAGCTGTATATGTTAATAATACATATGATTTTCAGTGACATCTATTACCAAACCACGAAACTATAAACATGATTATCAAACAACTCCCACCATTCACACCTTCTATACTTTGAAAGTGACTGAGGGTTTCCGCTAATGGCCAGGGTCTCATTCATTGGCAATTGGAACATATTGTCTTATACTGCAAGTTTTTCCATCTGCAAGACACCCTAGTCTATGACTGAAATTTCAAACAAACATTCACTTGAACATGTGGCCTTGAATGTGCATATCAAAAATACTGGCAGTATCGTACATGTATAATATGGATTTCGTTCTTAAATCCTCTGAACCCTTCCTCTAATTCCTAATCCCTATCAACTTCCCCGACCTAAGCCATGGAAGACCTTACATTGAGGATGAATACAATCACAGGGGATTGGTGCATGACAATTACACTCATTGAGACTTTTCTGATATGTGACAATTCAATACATTCACTTATCAATCAATCATTCCTTTCTTCCTTATTAATGTACAACCCTTCTTGAAACGCTAGATATAGTCTTAAATGCACCCCTCTACATAATTTCCTGGAAAGAGTCCAGTTTGTCCATCGATTACACCTTCCCACCAACCGTCATCATTTTTCTTGATCACGTAAATGACAGTATTTTCACTAAATGAAAGTTCATCATCCTTATCTTGCTCGTAGTCGTAGATTGCGACAACTGAAAATAAAATTACGAGATTCTTAGATAAACAGTTTAAGCAGAAGCATTAATAGCTTGTTCAGAAGTGTAAGGTGGTTGGAGAGTAAGACGATCTCATTTACATGTTTTCTGTAGTGCTTTAGCGCTTAGTGCATGCTTAGATCCCTTTTACTGTTATAGTGCACAATAAATTTGTAAGTGCACAGTGTACTTGCAAGTGCACAATAAATTTTTGAGCACACAATGCATTTGCAAGTGTACAATAATTATAAACTTGTGAGTGTGGGTCAGTGCACAATTAAGCGAGTGCATGGTTGTCCTTCAAGTGAACAACAAATATCTCTGGGTATACAGTCAAACTGTGTAGCATATATAGAATTGCATGTTCATAATTCTACTTTTTTATATGTAACAACTATTGTTAGTAAATTGAAGCGTAATTAACAGTCTGAGAATGAACAGAGAGATGAAATAATGCTGTAAAGGGTTTTGTGAGAATACATATGGTAACTGTGTATGCGCATTCAACAAGTAGGATACCCCTAGATAGAGCCATAAGTTGAAAGTTCAGATAGAACAGTATGGTACTGTACAAAAGACAACAGTAGTACATATTTTGAAAATGGCAAAATATGAAACAAAATGAAGTACAATATAGCTTATCAACGTTAAACAACAAGTGCATTGTTCGAACGAAAGAAAGCAAAGAAAATGTGAAATTAGTACTTTAGAGTCATACCTTTTTCTAAGTAATTCTCGGGGACCCATTCCGGGGTTTGCTCACCAGAGGGCATCATGCTACCTCTTCCTATCTCCTCTCCCATGTAACCCATGGGGTGTTGGTCGAAGCTCATTGGAGGGGGGAGGGGTGATGATGGCTCAGGGGTCATGTCTGGGGGTGGGGGCAGTGGGGGAGACACTGAAACAGTATGAAGAACATACATAATTAGAATTTTCTATAAAGCACATCAAGTCTTTAAACATATGATGTGTTTTAACAATATTATGATTTGTTTTAACAAAATTATTAAAGCAGCTAAAGTGGTGAAAATGATAAAATCAAATTTGTGTTTTAACAGGAAAACTCACTTCACAGATACGATTGGTTTACATAATAAAAGAATATGCAAAAAATGTAAGATCAAAATTGAACCTTTCACAAATACTTTTATTTTTGGCAGGAAAATCACTATACAAATACGACTGGCTAAAAAAAATATGCAAAAATGTCAGATCAAAACTGAACCTTTCAAAAATACTTTCTTTGTTGGCAGTAGATAATAATAATGATTAGAGTTACACATATACCCATTCAAGTGCATTCTACTTCCTCAAGCTCAACATACAATAAGATGCACAACAGACATCTGGTTCAACAAAACCAACTTTTCTATATGACTCAAACAAGGCTTAAAGCTCTGAACCAATCATGGGTGTGATTCTTAAAAAATATATTTTGGACTTTTTTAGTCTCCTACCCTGGCAGATTTACCCAAAGTGGACAAATATATTCAACATTTCAAATTCCTGGTGTAGTAGTTAAAAATGTTAATAAAGTTCACTGAAGGACTTACAGTTTCCTGGTCTATCCATGTTGTGTGGCATAGGAGGAAGTGGTTCTGAAAGTAATACAATAATTCATGTAAGGTTTAAAAACCATTAATTTTCAAATCTTGTAAAGGTTTAAAATACAAAGGAAAATCTTTCCAATGTCCCTTAGATGATCTTGATGCATTTCAACTTGGATAGTTAAGTATAAACTCACCATCTACAGACTGTTGGTGCTGCATAACTTGAGGGGGTGGGGGTGCCACACCTGGGCCATGGGACATTGGGAGCACCATCCCTGTTGGAGGGGCAGGGGGAGCATCAGTTGGGCGACCACCTGGGAACCTACAGTAACAAGTATAACACAAATGAATATTAAAATGCTATGAAAATAAAATGCTATGTAAGATTTTGGGGATAGAGGCAAATAATGATAATGATGATTTCATTTTGAAAATTTTTTACATCTCCAGAAATTAAGCGATTTTACAATGGATATAAATAATGAAAAAATAACCTGTCATAGTGGCTGGTGCTAGAACGTGTAGAGTTCCTACTGATGGCTGAGTTGGACTGTTGTGACGAAATAGACCCAGACCTAGGATAATTAGCTGCATAGTCACTAGGGACCACTGGTGCTGGAACTCTGTATGGCGAGTTGCTGATGTGTGAGCCTCGTCGCGTCAGGGTGTCTCCTGCACTCTTCTGCATTGGGGGAGTTGGAGGCTTGGTCTGGGGTGCACCGGAGATACTGCTACTGCGTTCACTCATGTGTGACATGGAACTTGCACTTGAGTCAGCTCTCTGTACACGAGGATTAGATGTCTGGACCTAAAGGTGCATCGCAATTATTTAAGTAATTTGTTGCTTCTATGAAAGCTGCTTTAGTACATGTACAATACACATGATCCCTACTTCTGGTGTTATTCAAATGAATTTCTTTTTCAACCAAGTCAAAATAATTGTCTAGTGTATGCATCAAGTCTTCAGCATGGAAATCTGTAAATGATTCATTATCTCAAGAAATAATAGAGAAAAAAATAAAATTTCAAACCATTCTTTTCAGTCATCTACAAGTTGCCAAAATACACAACTGTGGATTAGAAGAGGATCGTGTTCAGTGTAATGCAATATGACAACTTAACACAAGGACAAAATGAAATCATATAAGTACTGACCTTGACTCCATGCCCTATGTCATCAAGAGTGGAATAGTCTATTTGAGGCCTAGTGTATTTGATGGGTCTTTCTGACTGCTCTGGGAAGATAATGCCAGGATTCTTAACCCCCTGTGGCCTTGTTGCACTTTTATTAGTCGTGATTACACCAATCTCCCTCCTCGCAACTTTCTCCTTGTGTATCATCACAGTCTAGGAATAACAACAATGAATAAGATAAATATACATGTGTCACATTAGTCATATTAGGAACATTTATCACTATTTACATAGGCCAGCATATTGACATATTACAAGATGAATTTCAAGTCTGTAATTTTACAGGGAATATTATGGCTCTAATTCAAAACCACCAACCTGAGTTAAATTTTCAATTCTGAGATTGTATTAGATATATCTTGGTTCATATATGAAACTCCCAACTCAATTTATTTCTTCAAATCTACAAAAGCTTACACAGCTGTTCTTCACATTACTTTTTCTTAAGTTCGTGCAAAATGAAATTGGTCAAAATATGCCCATTTTTCATGATGTTTCTAATTTTCAAGTGTGTAAATGGCTTTTAAGGTCAGTGCAAGCCTGTTTTTAAAATCTCAGGTGGTTGCTACGCCACTTGTTTAAATGCTGGGGAGATCACGGACATGACTTTACCTGTGAGAGATGATTGACACTTGACTCCATCTCTGCGAGTTGATTGGTCTGAAGGTCCAGTAGTTGCAGGAAGTTGGTGGCCAAAGTATTGATCTGGTAAGCAACACTTGCCAACGATTGTGTTGTGAAGTTCTTTGTTTCTTCCAATGCATGACGCTTGTCAGCAGACTAGAATAACACAACATTTATTTGATTTGATTTACTCGATTTGATTCTTCCAATGTATGACGCTTGTCAGCAGACTAGAATATCACAACAGTCATTTTACTTGATTATTTTGCATCTTAGGTTAGAGATACAGAAAAAGTTGAAGGTAAAAAAAAAGTATGAACATCATCAATAGATATTTGTTGTGCGCTGCGCGCTACCTCTGCTACAGCCCGATGCCACAGATTCCAGGCACTGAGCCAAATTGTATAAATCAGTAGATCTATCTCAACAATAATTGCAAAGTCAATTCATTAATTCATACCTCAATCTAAGTTTTCCTATCAATGTTTTTCATGAATTTGTATCTTGAGCCAGTTGAGGAAGTAAAAATGAAAATTTAGAGATGAAAATCATTCAAAAATGACAATTATTTTTTGAATACCTGTCGTTTCTTATAAGAAATACAGTACTCACTTGAATGTAGTTGCTCTCACAATAGCCTGCTACATTCCGCAGATTATCCCTGCTCTGTAAAAGGTTGTTTCTGCAGTCAGGAATGTCATGTTCGATGATTTGTACCAACTCAGGCATATTGGCCATTTTTTATGTAGGTCAGTACCTCGTTTTGAAACAGAGCCTCGTTCTGAAAATGTTTACTTCCTGAGTTTGGATAAAAATCTTGCCTTCTAGTTTAGAGTCGTTTTTTAGAAGTTATTTGCGATATAAACAAGCCTTGCTTACATAATAAGGGAAAATGTAATCCCAAGATTATCAATAGCTAATTTTGCAACAATAAACTGTCGGTACAATGTCGAATCAGTTGAATCAATCCGGGATCACTGATGAAGAAGAGGCTGCATGGATTGCTCAACAACAGGTGCATTTTTTTCTAATTGACACATAGATGTCGGCCAGATTGTAGTAGTATTAGATGCTCAATAATATTATTGTTGAGCTCATGACACTACAAAACCATCTGGGATGAATCTATGGTCCAACATACTGTAACTCCCTCCCTGGAGGTTCACTGTCAGTGACGTAGCTTGGGCATTTTGTGAGTGTACGCCACGAGTGAGCAACCTGATTTTGAGGGGGGTTTGAAAATGAGATTGTAGTTGAAGCGTTTCATACGATACGAAATTTCGACTAAATATTGACTAATGAAATGTAATATAAAATATCAAGGCCAATTTTATCCATGTTTAAGTGTGGGGAAATTCAATCTAAAATCAACTTCTCTCTAAATTTTGAGAGTATGCCATGGCGTTTTATGCATATATGACGCTATGCCATTGACTGTATAGAAAATTCTGCAGGGGTCCTAGGCTCAGATATCAATATGTTCCCAATCCAATCTGTATTTTAATGTGTTCCCATACCAACCAAAATAACGCCCAAAAGTCATACCAAATGTCCAAATATAAGTCCCAATATCGTACCAAATGTCCAATATAGGACTAATGCCATACCAAATATCCAAATATAAGACCAAGGGCATTCCTTCCAAATGTCTATAGCCCCAGGAAGAAGGCAGATTTTTGAGGAAAATGATCCAAAACAACCTCAAATTAAGGATATGTGTAACAACTTGACCAATGCCATACCACAAGTGAGAGGTAACATATTTTCTATGACCATTCTCATACAAGAAAGTGGAAAAATCCGACCATTACCATACCTCACAGTCATAATTTAGGGGGCATTCTCATACCAGATCCTAAAGTTTGGTTCCATTGCCATACCAAAGGTCAAAAAAGGTACCCCATGTGTGCCAAGGATCCCTGTCAAGGTTTATATACATTGAACCCCCCACCTTCCAGGGCCCATTCCCCCGATAACAAGTCAGACTAGAAGACTCATGGAAGATGCTCCAGGACTAAAGTCTTGAGAACGTCCCTACATATTCATGTGTTTTGCATGAAACATCCCCACCTGTAAGGGTGGACACGCAGAATTGTTCAAGGGGGTGAGATTTTGACAAAGTACTTCGTTCCAGGAGTACCCCCATAAATGTAGGGTTGATTCACCCCAACTATTTGTCTATTGAAATCTTGCAGTTTTAAAACGTTGTCAGTAGTTGACACAAACCTGAATTTTATCGTAAGTATAGCCACAAATCCAGCTTATTTTCAACCACAAGATTTCAATACACTAGTAGTTGTGGGGGTGATTTGAAAAATCAACCCCTTATTTATGGGGGAGTAAGGACTTTTGAAATGCATATTTCCAGTAAAGATAATTTTGATCTTATTTGACCAGCTATTATTGTGCCCACGGTAGGGAATATGACAGCACATTTTTTATTTTCATCAAAATCACCAACCCATCCTGCAAACCTTTGAATGGTGCAAGATTTGACAAAATACTTCATGTATTTTTATTATCACTACAAGTCCTGAGCGAAGCATACATTGCATATATTTTAATAATCTCATATTTTGTTTGTTTCAGGGGCTGCATGTAGATTTCATAGATAGCAGTTTTGAGTCCAGCATGGGTAAGTCACCTTCACTTAATATGCCTTTACTCTGTTCATATTGGTGCCAAGGATTGATTTAAGGATGCAGTACCAGGTCAGCGTAGAAAAATTTCCAGACATTAGATTTTGCTCATATTTTTTACAATGTATCACTATGATGTTATCATCATCCAAGTGCAATATGAAGAGGATTGACTGTCTGGTAATTACAAAATAAAAAAATTATTTTACCCACCCAAAATGAGTTTGAGTTTTCAATAGAGCTGGCACCTTTTGAACCCTGGTTTTCGTATCCACTAATTGCGACTCAAGAACAAGTTTTCCCATAAAAGTGAAAGGGATAAAATATGCTTGATAAAATGTTTGCAATTTAATTATTTTCTGGAAACACCATTAGACTATCGAAATAAACTATAATTTTTGAATAAGACTAAATGCGAAAATGACGTTCTTCGGAGCTAGCTTTCTCAAACCGGAAGTCAAACCTGCGCAAACAGACGTGAAAACCGACCCAGTACTGCATCCTTAACGTCGCCTGAAGTTAACCAGTATTGAAAGAAATATTGATACTTGTGATATACTAGGTACATCATGTAGTTCAATATTTTATTTTGGTTTTAATTATGAGTAGAAACATTGAATTTATTAACTTTAGTGCAAATCATTAAGTCATTTTTATGTCACCACCACAAGTGGTTCAGAGTTCAGCGTCTGTAACAAATGGCAGGTGTTGACAATTTACATGTTGATTCTTTGTTAATTTTACTTTAAGTGTACATAAATTGTTTCTCATGGGTTATTTCAAACCCGCATATATAAAATTAATAGAATAAAATATTGAAAACAAGTTTTGAATTAATTCTGCTATTTAGATGGTAAATCTGACAGCCTCCTTATCTGATGAAAATACAGTTGATGGAAGTGGCCATATTACCAACTGATTCATGCTTGCATACAATATGGAAGGAAACATATAATACATTATTGTAGGTCTTGTAGAAGATATCAAGGTTGAGTCGACGAGTCCAACTTCAAACAATGCCAGATTTTCTTTCTCCCGGGCAAGCAGCACTGGATCCATCCCTGCTATAAGCTCATCTGCTTCCTCCGCACAGAACACAGGTATTTCAAAAGCACACTGTACTGGTAACATCATAGGATAATGTAGCCGTGATACATGCATATTGCATATTTAAGTATTATCTGGCTATCTTATGATTTTCTAGAGGTGTGTAATTGCAAACTGTATTAAGCTGTATAAGCTAATGTTGCATTAAAAAATTTAAAATAGTTCATGCTTTATTTGTTTTTCAGTTTTTATTTTTGTCATGTATACTTATATTTTTGGTTTTTGCTTAAAGGGACACTATGCCCATCCATATATATTTAATCCTGGTAATTTTAGCTTATACATTCCATTTGCACATGTTTTGACTCATATTCATGCATTTTTGGGGTTTGTATTAGTTAAAGTTACTAAATTTAAAATCGTGATATTAACCTTTTTCGCTCAAAATGGCCACTCACCAGCTTATTTGAGCATTGCCCATAGTGGTAGCTTATGGTGTATGATTTCTCATATCTTTGCCCTGTGAAATGTTATTTTAAGGCTGGAATCCTGGGACCTTAAATTATAAAACTAGGCTAGGCTATAAGGTGTAGCATATAAACATTTGGATAAAGTATTCCTTTAAATGTAGATTACTGTTGATTTTGTTCATTATAGCAAGTTGAAATCTAATGAATACTCTACCTCCTTTTATTTCCCATTCTCTTATATTGTTGACATAGCCTTGCCTTGTTTGTAAAAAGTTAATGTTAGTTTGAAATTCAGTTTAGTTTTTTAATGCAACATGGTCACAGCTTCAAAAAAACTCCTGGAGATAAGTAACATCAGATTTCAACATAACATACTCGGGTGTTTTAGATGACGAAGACTCGGATCAGAAGCAAACTATGACCTACAAGGACCGACGCCGCGAGGCTCACACGCATGCAGAGCAGAAGAGACGTGATGCAATCAAGAAAGGGTATGATGAACTACAACAGTTAGTCCCTACATGTCAACCGGATCAGCTGATTGGTAGCCAGAAGATGAGCAAGGCCGCAGTGCTTCAGAGATGTAAGTTCGTCTAGTCATACCAACCAACTTTCCTGCTTAAATCATAATTCGGGGATTTTGGCTCCAATGGCTTTCTCCCAATTCTCATACAAATATCTCCTTTTTAAGGCTACCAATGGTTGGCAGGTATGACATGAAGAAAAGGGCTTGGTTTCCAATAAAAAATACATGTAAATTTTATATAGTATTACATGTATCTTCAGTACAAATACTTGATGACTGGTATTAAAACAATCATAAGGCTGACATGTTGTCATACTAACTTGGCCAGGTTAACACATTTGTGATATTGGGCACTATATGAATCCTTAAACCAGATATTAAGACCCTTAAACCAAAAGTATTGTTTCTGTTAAAATACTGTGCTAGAAATGAACCAAAAGGGTGGAACGCCATTCAATTATATTCTGGGGAGACCACAGTTAAATTTCATTTATTTGTTCTATTACAGCCATTGATTACATGCAATTCCTTGTCCAACAGAAGAAGAAACAAGAGGATGAAGTGGACTCACTCAGAAAGGAAGTTATGGCATTGAAGATTATGAAAGCGTATGTGTTTATTAGTTTATTTTGTAGTAGACTTACATATTACACATACAATGATACTATAAATGAAATAGTCAGAACTGTTTTTTTGTTTCAACATTTTGTGATGTGTGAAAAAGATGCCTAATAGGCATTATAAGGATTGAGAAGCTGCATGAACTGGATTCACATTATACAATAGTATTTTTCATTCTATTTTGTAACTGTCTGTAGCACCATGCCTGCTTTCGCTGTAATAATGACTATATTGTCAATAATTCAATGGAGACAGAAACAAACAAATAATTATCAATGGTTCTATTTCACCCAAATACAAATCCTAAATTAAAAGAAGGCGCATCGACATTCCAAAATCTGATAAAAAAAGTACGTCCTCTGATCCAAGATTTGGTTCCAAGATCCAAAATAGAGTTCTGTAGTCCTGTGTTTGGAGGATGATGTAGCATTGTCATTATGTTTCAGGAACTATGAGCACATAGTGAAGGCCCACCAGAACACACCCCAAGCAGGCCAAAATCAAGTGCCAGATGAAATCAAGTTTCAAGTGGTTTGTACAGAATTTGTGTGCCTATTTTAGCCCATTATGTAATGAATCATGCTATGAAAAAACAGATTATTGGCCAGTTAGTAGGACATCATGATACATTATACTTTAGTAATTATAATATTGATACATACAGTATCTATTTATCCTAACAATATGCTACAAATGATACGATACGAACAAGGAAAATGTTAATTCAGAAATTTTGAAGTTTTTAAAAGCTTGATTTGAATAACACATCTTATACAAGACATATTTCAACTCAAAGCATTTTATGAATGAATCATCCCCAATGTTCAAATTTATGCAGAAAATGTTTCTGAACCCGAACTATAATTTAAAGTGAATGTTTTTGTGTTACAGTTTCAGCAGGTGATGGACACATTGTTTCAGTCATTCAATGCATCAATCTCAGTGGTTAACTTTGCTGAACTATCTGGTTGTATATTCAAGTGGTTGGAGGAACATTGCAAACCACAAGTGAGTCATTTTGTAATACAGTACACAACAATACATTTTTAGTTGTCAGTGCCTGAAATCCTTCTAATGGGCATACACACGCCCTGTGATCGGATAGAATGAATGGAGGGGGGGTGGCGATTTCTGCAAGAAAATTCAACAAATCTCAAAGAATTATTTTTTCAAGAGAGAAATTATGATTGAATTGCTAAATGAAAAGGTGCACGGTATGGTAAAATATCTTAGGTCTTCCAATACAATAATAGCAACGTGTCATCACAATGACAAGAAAACCATTCCTTTGAAGTTTGTTTCAAAACCATCTGTTTTGTGGAGATTACATGAAGTGTGTCCCTATTGTTTTTTTGTTTTGTTTTTATTTATAAAAATAATATAAACATATTTAAATAATAGTGATAAAGACATCCCAGGTGTTCAGTGTTAGCCCAAGATAATGAAAAAACGGATATCCCTTAACTTACTAAAATTTCTTGATGGAACTCACAACCGTATGTTGTAATGGGAAAATAAGTTTGTATTTCTTTTGTTTCAGACACTTCGAGAGTTGACTATGAATGTATTACGCCAACTTAACAACCAACTGAGTCATTAGCAGGAAAGAGGCCACTAAAGTGTGGCTGTTTTATAGATGTGTTGTATTCGCCACTTACATGTAGTTTCTTGGTGTAGATTATCAAGGAATAAAACAATGTGCTCAATATACAGGATTCTTTTCATAATCAAATACAATATCAGTGACGTTTATAGTGACATTATTTTAATCTATTGTAATCTATTTAATTTGGGTCATAGACTATGTATTTCAATTACAAGTCTATAATCTTAAATGAAATTAAAATACCTCAAAGATGAACAGTTTTTAAAATCCTGTAAATTTGATCCATCTATTTATGTTATGAACCTCTCTTATACACCCAAGTGTAACACATTTTTGCAGGCTCAAAGGCTTTATTATAATGTATTTGCAATGCAAATAAAATTTATTATCATGTAATTTATTTACTTAATAAGTAGGCACAATGTATTCAAGCTTACTAGAGAGGTCTTGCTTTAAGTCTATGCCTTTTTGCTATTTTCCTAAACTTCCTTTTGGTATATGCCTGTAATTGTATAAGCATGTTTGTATGTAGATGCACCACATTGTCAGTGTGTTTCCCACTGTTTTAAAAGTGATTCCAATATATAAATTTAAAAAAAATATGTGTAAGGGGGGTATGCAAGGGCTTGATGCTAGACTGACCTGAGAAACAGATTTATGCTTTTTTATAATGCTTATATGATAATGATAATATGTAATTTTCATTGATTGTTTTATCTGCCTGGAAGGTTGTGCTAATTGTTTATATTTGAATATATCTTGGTATAAGACTGTCTAATGAGAACCTTTTTATTTATTTGAAGTTCGCATTTAACTGTAGAGTACAAATTGGGTATAGCTTTCTGTAAAGTAATGAGAATTTTTGAAAACGCAAGAAGCATAATATATCTTATGGAGTATCCTGTAATTGAACATAAACAAGTTGTCATAGACTCCTTATTTAGACTTTAAAATTTGTTATACGATTACACAATTTATACTATAGTACATAAAAAATTCCTTGAAACAGAAAATGTATAGTATTCAGTGTACTTGAATTTTTGTATGCTTTTCAAAATGATATGAGATACTGTATTGGCTCATGTTCTAGGGCTTTTCAGCAGTTCAATATTTTGATTGTAGTTAAGGTCTTTGTAATTGTTTGGTTATATTTAAAATGGACAAAACTGATGCTGGAAAATACGATTGCGCAGCTACATGTCAGTTGTTCTCTTTTTGAAGTGCATGGTCACAGTACTTGTGTAGGTTGATTTATGTAAATGAATGTAATACAATTGTAAATGATAGTTCATCATGTATGCATATGGTTCATCAGTGTTTATTTAAATACACTGATCATTAGTTATGATGTACATACGCCATACATTGTCCTCATTTTCATATATGATGTAAACTTTAATGAAATACATTTTCATAAATCTATAAATACATTGAAATAAACTGTTTGTTCATTGCAATTTATTACAATTTTTAACATAATGTAGAAATCTAATCTTCAACTCCCATAATATTTTATTCAAAATCCCTAATTGATGATACATGTAAGCTGAACTGAACTGAACTGAATGTTTAATGAGATTTAAAATGTTGAAAAAACCTTGAAAATGATAGAATTGTCATGGTATCATTATCCCACCGAATAAAGTTAGATGGGGATATATTAGAAGCCGTCCATCCGTTGTTCATCTGTTGTAGGCTATCAAAAACCATTCTTGTTTATCCTGATATTTTACAAAAAAGACCGATGAAAGGGTGAGTTTTTGATTGTTTCTGGTATATGGCGAGAGGTCCATTTTTACCGCTAGGTCATAATTTGTTCTATTGTCTTTAATATTTTTTATGGGCCTGTTCATTGCTTTTTCAGGATTATTTCTGTATTTTTGGAGACCAATCATTGGAGTTTTGTTTTCCAATTTGGTCTGCCCCCCCCCTGGGTTGGCCCAAAATTTGAGTCCAATTTTTGGTTTCGAAATGTGCCCCCCCCCCCCTAGCTTCTGGTTCCGCCAGTGTGAACATATGCTTTTTGATGTTGATTGTTCCCTGCTAGGACTGTAAGGAAAAAATATAAGAGAAAAAGAGAAATACTATTCTAAATAATCTAAACCTACAAACAAACATCCTTGAATGCTAATAAAGAAACCAGCAGCTCATACCATCTAAACATCACTGAACTTTTAATATCTGCACTGTCAAAAGGTAAAATTGATTGAAAATATTTATCAGTTTATGGACATGAGATATTTCTGAATCACTGCTTTAATTTACAACACGTTAAATAGACGGATAGAAATGATTATTTCTAAATTCTATATGGTAACTATTTATCAGTATAACGAAAGTTAATTGAAGAGATTAAATGATATGTAAAGGTTTAATTCCCAATTGAATGACTTAAAACCAGTAACAGCTTGTACATCTTTATATTGAAGATTACCTGAGTAGGCAAACCCTCCAAAATCCATGACAGTAAAACCTGTCTTATCAGAATGCCACTAGACCAGCCAAGTGTTCAGATTGGCAGATGTTCACATTTTAAGGTGTTTAACATGGAAGTCAATGGTAGATTAGAATTGTACTGAAAGGAGTGTTCACATTGAGAGGTGTTCAGATTAGAATGTTTGGATATACTGGTTTTCTGTATTCAATGAGTTTAAAATTTTGCTCACCTCATGGAAAAATTTGGCACCAATGGAAAGCTATGACATTGAACTGTAACATCAGTTTCAAAATAGCATTTGCTCTTACAGAAATATTGGCATTGACCAATATCCTAATAAGAGTAAAATATACATTGCAAGGGGTCTTACAGTGAATGATAAAATATGTATCTTATTAATGGACAAATGCGGGGAAGTTTACCATGTTTATTTATCTTGAACACATTTGATACACAGTTGGTTTAAAATGTAAAGCCATTAACCTGTGTTATTATCCCATCAAATGAAGTCAGGGGATATAGAGAATGCTTCCATCCTTCCTGGCAATAACTCAAACAGGGTTCGTACACACCTGGAAATGTCAGGGAAATTGATTTATTTTTCCAGGTGCTGGAAATGTCAGGGAATTTTAAAATTGGGTCAAAAAGGGCCAAAAATGTCAGGGAATTTTGAAACAGTAGATGTGTCAGGGAAATGTCAGGGAATTTTGTATCAATGTTGAAAGAATAATGTTCCAGCAAAATACATTTTAGGGCTATGACAGGATATAAGTAAAATCCAAAATCATCCACTTGTTTCCACAAATTGCAAATCTTTTCATTAGGGTTGGTTGAATGACATTAGATCTGGTATTGTCTATTTGTAAGAACAGTGTGAACATTACACTGAAACCGAACAATAAAAATAATGTATAGATGATTTAATACAATTATGCTTTTTATTATGTAGTAAGCTTAGTCTTAGGCCATTCAAAGTTAATTACTGGTATATATTTCATGGTTTGATGAGGGGTTAATCTGAGGGGGGGGGGTGGGAGGTGAAAAACAAAAAAAATTCTGGGAGCTCTTTACAATGTAAAATTGTATTTATATTAAGAAGCTGTCTGTTCGACAGTCTGATCGTATGTCAGTCTTTTCAACTTTCAGGGGCTTTGCCAATTTTGAAAACCTTAGCACATGGAAGTAGGCAACCAAAATGTGTGTGGGGTACTATTAACAGTTTTTGAATTTGGTCCAAATTTTTCTTCTTGTAAAGATGAACCCAGCATTTTACTTTGGCTCAAATTTTGTATGATGTAGCCTTAGGGACAAAGGACCTGCTCAAGAAGAAATATTCAAGATGGTCTCTGAATTCAAAATTGCCACCATTTTTTTATGAAATTTTTGATAATTTAAAGAAATTTGATTCCTGATAACACAAAATACTGATTATTTGATTTGGTATCATAGGCCTGAGCCTTTTCGTGATCTGGTGATGCTACTTGAGAAGGAATTTCTAATAATATGGTGTCAATTGTTTTGGTGTAATTTTCCCAAAAGGGAGAAGACAATAGTAATGCCAGGTTATTGCTATCATATAATGTTCACAATGATAGTATTCAATAGAAATATGTTTCATTAGGTGGGAATTGCCCCTCAAGTGAGTTGCTATTTTTCTAGTAGGATTTAGATCAAAATTTTAAAGTTTCAGTTGTCATTTGGATTCATTACAAAACATTTACAAATTATAGTTTGAAATGCTTAGAATGCATCATATACAATTGTCAATTTTGAAAAATTTCCGGGGGTGAACCCCCGTACCCCCCTTCTGGTTTTCCTTCGCTCGCAGTGATGCAAACCCCAAAAGATGCACCTCCTTGATACTTATTGGCTATGCCCCTGCACATGTATGTTTACCTTTGGCCTTATGCAATGTAAAATATGTAATATTAAAAATAAAATGTATCAGGAATAAATTGGTGAATAAGACTGCCTGTACAAGTAGTTAAGTCATGAGAAATGGTACTGAAGGAGAAACCCCAAATGTTTCATAATAAGCCTTTTTGTCTTGAATAATACACTTGTTTGAGACTTTTTAGAGGGCGCGCGAGGAACATTAGATCTGGAAATTTTCTTTTTTGCCTGGAAATGTCAGGGAATTGTCAGGGAAATTCATTTTGAAAAAGGTGTACGAACCCTGTCAAATACCCTTCGCCAAATATTGTTTCAGTATTTTAGTTGCATCATATAAAACTGCAATATGAATATGTTTTAATGCAAAAATACATGTTACACTGATTTGGTTCAAAATCTTTTTTTTTGAAAAACATGATGGCCATAACCTTCTGCCCTGGAGGTGAAGTAGATGCTGGAGGGATCCAAGACTATTATACACTATAGATTCAAAAAACAGATGAATGACACAATAATGCTTGTTGCTTGTTTTTCAATTTTATTTACAAACTGTATTGCTTCTAATCTACTATACACATATCACACACAAATGTATTTTACAAAATCAACATACTTTCAGCTGCACATCATTCAAATATTATGCGACCCATTGTGGCCTTTATGACCTCAACATTTTAATGTTAAAACAAAACAAGGCATTAACATGCAAAATGTCACCACCTGCCAATTGTTACAGATGCTGCCGAACACAAAAAGTCAGAGACTATGACAATATGTCAACATTCTAGTGGTGACATAATAGCGAAACTGTTGATTCAAATATGCATTAGTCTTGCATCAAGTCCCCATTCCCGATTTTAATTCCTTTACTGTGTAAGTATCATTAAGTTAACAGGGGCTTGATACAAAACTTGTGTGTGAACTGCATCTACAGATGATTGATGCAGTTTGATCAGCTATTAACATTTTCATAAAATATATATAATAATAAAATTTAATATCTATCAATTATCTAAATATCTAAATGTACAAAAATGTAGCACCATATCGGCTGTTTTGGCAATCTATAAAATGATTAGAATTGAACATACAGATACATACAATGATGCCAAGCTAGGACAAACCTTTTTCAAAATGCATCACATCAAAACTTCCATTGGCTTCCTTCTTGATTTTTTCAATTCATTTTTAAAATTTGTTACATTATATTTTGGTTCTTCTGTATTAACATCTGAAAGGTGGATCTTCCTAAAGAATGTATTCATTTAAGATCAAAGACCTAATGTACTGCAACCCAGATTAATTTGGAGCCTGATTTAATTGGCAAATTTGGCAATTTGAAAAATTTGCCAATACACATCTTTGTGTATAAATTGAACTTAGCCTAAGTTAAACAGCTGCCAAATGTTTAGAATTATGAGAATTCATCAAAAAGTAATAAGGTTATCTAAGTTACAGTATATTCAATGGAAATGATACACAAATCACTTTATAACAATGAATCTCTTAAGGTATTCCATGAACGAGATGAATAGCAGTTTCATTTGTCCAAAAACTGTTCATGGATGGACAGACAGACAGACAGCTAGACAGACAAGTGGGTGAATACTCTCACCATGTGAGGCAAAATAGAACTGTACATGTACCTACTCATGAAAGAAATTCAACAAGAAATTCAAATAGCAAGTCTCTTGAAAATCTATCAACAATTATTCTTGTTATTTTATCAAAATAAAACAAAGCATGTATGTAAAGCACACTACCATTTACAATTACAATGTGTCTTCATTTTTCCATCATAGTTCTTCTCTAATCAATTACATATTAATTGGTAGGAAGCATAAATGCGAAAGGATGTATATGTACATGTTGATAACAAGCATTCTGCAATAATACATATATTCTCAGTTCACATGTTACTGTGGTTGAGGCACTCAAACTGTACTAATATTATATTCACAGCTCAGCCGAAATATCAATCAAAAAATTATTCTGATGGACATCGTTTTATTTTATAATGAACATGATCAAAGTTATTTTTTAGATTGATAACTAAGACGCCATTTTAGTACCTCAGATATTGTTCTCTTGAATTTTATTGTAGCTTTATATGAATCTGGCTTATCCATGGCAATATCTTGGGGAGTTGGCATCAGATCGAACGAACCGAGGAGTCTGTGCCAGCTCCAGTCGAGGACGCCACTCTCACTGCTGAAATCTAGCGTACAAAGTACCCCTAAGGAGGATGGGACAAGGGAATAATGACCCAAGCTCACTAGAATCACCTTTGTCTTTGCACTCCCTAAAACAAAGAAAAAGGAATGGTCCAATGGATTTTTGTTATTGGGGAGGCAAAGACGTAGCCTAAGAATAGTCTAGGAAAACTTAAAATAAAACTATTCGGGCAAAAAAGATTTAAATGGGAATAAGTAATACATGTATCAATTAAAAAAATTGATTTAAAATGTCTGAAATATCTGGTGAGGCCTGTCTTTTCCCTGGGTATGCCCATGGGAGGTCATATACTTTTATAACAGGATCTCGACCTCTTACACCTTGCCCTTATAAGGGGCTATCCTCCGAGGGGAAAGGCAGATGTACGCAACAGGGTGAGACAATTATCATACATCACACCTTTGGCTATTTTTGCACGCTAGATTTTACAGTATAAACTCATTGTTTAACTCGGTTATGTGCGACCTGACTACTCCATTAGATACTCCATCATCAACTATATCAGACAACCACAGTTGAAATTCTGTTAATATATTTCTTGGCAGATGCAACCTTTTTCAAACAGCAAAAGGGAAACCATGACTGGTAAAATATATACAAAGATTTTCAATCTACAACATACGAAATCTCCTGTTGGAGGGGAATAGATTGGAACTGAAAAATCTGACAGATGATATTTTTAATATGAGGGAATCATAGTAAATCAAAAATCCAATGAATGAAAAAGCTTGTGCTAATCTTCATTATAATATGTATGCATACTGTACATAAGGAATAGGGTTTTAAAGCAAAGGGGTTTTTCTCCAAAGTTACCAGTTACCAGTCCACCAAGAAACATGTACATAAGTGATCTAGCCTATATATAAGTGATCTGGCCTATACATAAGTGATCTAGCCTATACATAAGTGATTTAGCCTATAAACAGCAGTTTAACTAGAAAATAATGGACTTCAATAACTCTGAGCTTCTGTAAAAATAAGGGCTTTAATTATTTACACATGTAGGGTTTCAAGGTTCAACAACCTCAAATTACAGGGTTTGAACTACTTCCAAAAAAGCACAATTCGAAAATGAGTACACTTCTTTAGCCCTGCAATTCGAGGTTAATTGCCCTTGCATTGGAGATCTCCAGTCCAAAGTTTGGAAAAGACAGATCTATACAGATGTGCTCTCTTCAGATCTGTCAAATGATGTATTGCTTTTAGAAGATACATCACTCATTTGACTCGAACTACTTGATGAAGATGTGCTAGAGAATGGAGTAAGAATTGCTCGAATTTTTCGATTAACTGTCCTGCTGAATGTCTTCTTCCAGACATTTTTTGGCAGCTGAACAGATATCTGCACAGGTTGAATTTCAAACACATCCAAAACACGCTTCCAGAACCAATCTTCTGTCGTTGGGTTACCTTTCATTTTGTAATAATCTAGGTTGCAAAAATAGCGTCCCAGTGGAGTATCATCTTTGTCAGTCATACGTATTGGTACAATCACCTTGTTCTTGACATGGCCTAAAATAACATAGTCATTATGTGTGTACAAGTATGTAATTTGCATTTTTGATTTCCAAGTATGCTCTAGTATGAAGCAGGTGGTACATTTGAGGAGAAAAATTTGGGGGCTTTTGAAAGGAATTGTGTTGATCATGTATTTCTGTTTAACATTTTTTCTCCCATACTGAAAGTGTTACCTGAACATGTGAAATGTTTTTCTAGCAATACATACTGGTTATCAATAAACATGTTTTAAATTGTGTTCCCACTATTCTAAATTGCAAAATCAATCAATGCATTTATACTTGTCAGAACGTAAATTAAAACATCTGCAGATCCCATATGCTCTATTGACCTAAAAGTTAAATCACATACATATTTTTATGTTTCGGTCCGCCATTTTTACAACCTAGATTTCACAATGTGGATCCACCTTATAGTACGTCCACTCCATATTTAGACTACCATAACTTGTTATAATAACATATCATTTTCTGCGTATATTAGAAAATTGTGTTTGTGTTGCCCTTTACAGATTATAAGTGGTGCCCTTTACAGATTATAAGTGGTGCACTTTTATTGCTGCTGACTAGGAGGGCAACATTTTAAGCCATTTTATTTTCACTAAAGAAGCTACATATAAAATACTATAAATGTTGCAAATCACAGGCTGTTTAAAAATTGGGGATAATTTAAAAACTATATTCTCTTACTTATCAAGCTAATGGTGTCTGGGAATAAAAGGTATAAGGAAAGGTAACAGGAACATAAGCATAGCCATATAGCAGCCCCACTTTATATGTCATCCATGCTAAATCATTACATTTAAGGAGTTCATATATAGAGGTTTGTACAAGGTATTTGAAATGTTTGCGACTGGTATAAATTCTTTGTGGGTGTTTATATCACAGAATGTGGTAAAGCATGCTTAAACTATAACAACATATAAAGCAAGTCCTGCTTTGCCTAGAAATATAGTATGTTCACATTTTAAGTCACTCCAATCAATCTGTCTGTCACCTCCATTATTTTTGAAATCCTCACACACTACTTTTTTCAATTAAATACATTTTTATAGCATCTCAAGTATTGCTTAAATGTAAAAGATAAGAAATATAATGTAAAATGATGAATAAAACTGCTAAAAAGCGATCGTTTCAAAGAGAAATGTTTCCCATATATAAAATATAAAATAAAATTAACAAAACTGATCAAACATAGAACTTATTGAGCATTTAAGATGCAGAAATGTCCAAATTCATTGAAACTGAAAAAAGGATGCCCACTTTTCAGTTTATGCCAGATAACCTTATAAATGAAAGGATTATCCTGATATTAAGAACTGAGGGTGATTTAGAAAATAGGCATGATATAGATCGAAAAGAGTAATTAAAATTGTTGGGTTTTTAGAAAATAGGCATGATATAGAACGAAAAGAGTAATTAAAACTGTTGGGGTTTTAGAAAATAGGCATGATATAGAACGAAAAGAGTAATAAAACTGTTGGGGTTTTAGAAAATAGGCATGATATAGAATGAAAAGGGTACTTAAAACTGTTGGGGTTTTAGAAAATAGGCATTATCTAGAACGAAAAGAGTAATCAAAAACAGTTGGGTTTTTAGAAAATAGGCATGATATAGAAAGAAAAGAGTAATTTGTGATAATTTTCTCGAAACTAACTGTAACTGATCTCTATCCCTTTTATTTGATGAAATCATATTATTGTAACATCAGGACTTTTTCAACGAACAGAAAAATTAGGAAAGAGAGCTAAAAACAAGGACATACATATATTCATCTAAAAAGCCTGGTAATCATCAAGAAAATAACTTTGTGTTTTTTTTATATTGTCGTCTTGAGGACTAAAAAGTTGAAACACTATGTAAAAACCAAGAAGGAATGTTATGACTTTTACTAATATATCATGTATCTATTCTGTCTTTGGTGGTTTGTCCAACAATCTCATATGACTGAAGATCAACATCAATGTCATCATTTACAGTCTCATTTACAGCTTGTGTATTTCCTGATGTAACTCTGTTGCTCTCCTTTGGTTTCTTGCCATGAAAGAAATTCCAAAGTTTCTTAGATATAGTTTTTGTCATTGAGAGTTGACTGATGTCGAGATGTGACATATGTGAATGTAGATTACTACTAGACCTAGGAGGAAGACCTAGAGAGGCCGAGGGCTTCTCATCTTCAAATGCTTTCAGAACTTTGGGCCAGAACCATTTCCTTGTACGCTCATTAAAATAGTCTAAGGGTGAAAAATGGCGGACCATGGTAGGCTCACTTGACCAATCATGGATTCTGATTGGCAAAAGCTTTTTGTTGCATATTGGATCTGCAAAATGTAACATGTTTATTATGTGCATGTACAGGGTGAGCCAAAAAAGGTACTAGTCACGCAAACAAATGGTTCATCCAACACAATCAGCCATTAACATTCAATCAAACATGCAAGCAGAACACTTTTTAGCAACAATATCTCTTTTAACTTGAAACAGAACCTGGAAGTAAAGAAATTGGCATTATCATTTGAAATCACCGTTCTTTTCTCATGTTCTTGTTTGTGATCAATTTAAAACTTAAACAGTGAGATGTTTAAAGTAGCTGTAAAACAAAATGATAACTTGACTAAGAACTTACCATTAGAGAGGCTCTGAGCAAACTTAGCTTTGATATTACCATAAAAGAGGATCTGGGCAAACTTGACTAAGAACTTACCATTAGACAGGGCCTGAGCAAATTTGACCAAGAACTTACCATAAGAGGACCTAAGTAAACTTGACCTAGAACTTACCATAAGATAGGACCTAAGTAAACTTGACCTAGAACTTACTGTTAGAGAGGGCCTGAGCAAACTTGACCTAGAACTTACCATAATATAGGACCTAAGTAAACTTGACCTAGAACTTACTGTTAGAGAGGGCCTGAGAACACTTGACTTTGAACTTAACATTAGAGAGGGCCTGAGCAAACTTGACCTAGAACTTACCATTAGAGGACCTAAGTAAACTTGACCTAGAACTTACTGTAAGAGAGGGCCTGAGAACACTTGACCTAGAACTTACCATTAGACAGGGCCTGAGCAAACTTGACCTAGAACTTACCATTAGAGGACCTAAGTAAACTTGACCTAGAACTTACTGTAAGAGAGGGCCTGAGAACACTTGACCTTGAACTTACCATTAGAGAGGGCCTGAGCAAACATGACCTAGAACTTACCATTAGAGGACCTAAGTAAACTTGACCTAGAACTTACCATAAGATAGGATCTAAGTAAACTTGACCTAGAACTTACTGTTAGAGAGGGCCTGAGAACACTTGACCTTGAACTTAACATTAGAGAGGGCCTGAGCAAACTTGACCTAGAACTTACCATTAGAGGACCTAAGTAAACTTGATCTAGAACTTACTGCAAGAGAGGGCCTGAGAACACTTGACCTTGAACTTACCATTAGAATGGGCCTGAGCAAACTTGACATAGAACTTACCATTAGAGGACCTAAGTAAACTTGACCTAGAACTTACCATAAGATAGGACCTAAGTAAACTTGACCTAGAACTTACTGTTAGAGAGGGCCTGAGAAAACTTGACCTTGAACTTACCATAAGAGAGGGCCTGAGCAAACTTGACATAGAACTAACCATAAGATAGGGCCTGAGCAAATTTGACCTAGAATGTACCATTAGAGAGGGTCTTAGTAAACTTGACAGGTAACTTATTATTAGACAGGGCCTATGCAAACTTCACCAAGGACTTACCATTAGACAGGGCCTGGGCAAATTTGACCTAGAACTTACCATTAGACAGGGCCTGGGCCAACTTGACCAAGAACTTTTCATTAGAGGACCTAAGCAAACTTGACCAAGAACTTACCATTAGACAGGGCTTGAGCAAACTTGACCAAGAACTTACCATAAGACAAGGCTTGAGCAAACTTGACCAAGAACTTACCATTAGAGAGGGTCTTAGCAAACTTGACATGGAACTTATCATTAAAGGACCTCAACAAACTTGACCAGAACTTACCAGTAGACATGGAACTTATTATTAGACAGGGCCTGAGCAAATTTGACCTCGAACTTACCATTAGAGGTCCTAAGCAAACCTGACCAAGAAATTACCATTAGACAGGGCATGACCAAACTTGACATAGAACTTACCATTAGAGAGGGCCTGGGTGAGCAAATTTAACCAAGAACTTACCATTAGAGGACCTAAGTAAACTTGACTTAGAACTTACCATTAAAGAGGACCTGAGCTTTGACCTGTCACTTACCATTAGAGAGGGTGTGAACAAATTTGACCTAGAACTTACCATTAAACAGGGCTGAGCAAACTTGACCAAGAACTTATCATTACAGGTCCTGGGCAAATTTGACCAAGAACTTACCATTAGACAGGGCCGGAGCAAACTTGACCAAGAACTTACCATTAGACAGAGCCTGAGCAAATTTGACCAAGACCTTACCATTAGACAGGGTTGGAGCAAATTTGACCAAGAACTTATCATTAGAGGTCCAGGGCAAACTCGACCAAGAACTTACCATTAGACAGGGCCTGAGCAAATTTGACCAAGAACTTACCATTAGACAGGGCCTGAGCAAACTTGACCTGGAACTGGCACTCTGGAGACAGCTTCCACTTCTCTGAGAGAACAATCACCACACGTGAGCACCTGTAACAAGTAACTGCATCTAATTACATGTACATGGAAAGGTGTTCTATGTTTTTTATCTGATAATGGTAATAGGGATTCATCATGTTCTTTTCACAGTAAGTGTGTCACTTTATCTACTATAATTTGTCCTATATCATTCGAAAGTTACTTTTATGGCAGTTTGCTGTTTAAAATGTTTTATCAAGATGTACCAAGGCTCAATAAATAGAATAAATAGAAAATATTATTTTTCAAGGTTTTTTATATCGTTTTGAATTTATCAAAAAAACTTTATGTTGAAATAAGTCATTACTTTTCCTAAGGAAGTTAGTAAGCAGATAAAATAAAGAAATATCCTGATGATAATCGCAAACCTTTTCTCCATAAGTTCTGCAGTGACGACTGTTCTGAAGTTACCACTAGTTCTGAGATCTCTATCCGGAATGAAAAGCTTTTTGCCATTTTCTTTTTCCAGTTTTTGGATCAACTGAAGCACAAAATCCAAGTCATCCTCGTGGTAGCTCACATAGGCATCAAAGTGCTGTTTTCTTTCTGGTGCTGAAAACAAAGTATTTAGTCACTAAAGGAACATTCTAGGAAAAGGAAAATGATGTAATTATTGGTACAAAAGCAGGGTTTCTACAACATTTTCATCAAGAGAATCTCTGAGATTTCCAAGACACTGAAGGCAAAAATATTGGCTTCCAAATTTTCTGCTTTGCCCGGCCTCCCGAAAGCCCAAATAAATAGATTTTCCTTACATTTTCAGATCTGTAGGAACCATTCAAAGACTCCTTGATTTATTGTTTCATGATGGATAATCATTTAAATCATAGCAAAATGCATGACACATGTCATACCAGAACATAAAATTGAGACCAATAATATTCATCATGTATATAAGTCATGAGACCTATTGAAACAGGTTAGGGTCTTCATCTTGGAGTGGTACTAAATGATAATGCTTTAACAATTAACATGAGATTGAAAAAGATCCGTTACAAGAGTGGGTGTAATGTAGTCTTGCAAAGTGAAAATTTTGAATCCCAAAGAAACTTACTATCCCCTACAGCAAACAGCATATCATCAACAGGCACTACTAGCTCAGGCTCACACTCAGAGCTATCTACTGAAATAAACAATACATAAAGTATATATATTTACTAAATATTAACATCATTCTGATTTACAAGACCCTTCTTATCTATCATTTGTATGGGAAGGTCAAGACAAAGTGACAGTGTATATCATCCTCATGCATTCAATCATCTGGTTGTTACTAATGTAACAATGTGTTTTAAGTCTCATTGTCATGGCAACAGTTCTGCAAAACAAAGATTTTGTATTGAAAAGTATGTATAGTTCAGAAATCCTGCACACTTTTGTGCTGTTATTGGGATATGGCACTTTATCACATACTATTTAGAAATCTAGTGATTTGATTGGTTGCTTTCTATGACGTATTTCCCGTATCACATAGATTTCCTATGATACAGGGTGACAAAAAAAAACTGGAACCCATAAATCATAAAATTTCTCAGAAAGTATTATACCTACATTCTTCATTTCTTCAGGGTAGAAACTAGACTGAATGCATGACAAAATGACATAATAATGAGTACTGTAGCTTAGATATTAATCATGCCATGGACGACAGAAGAAAATACTTATATTGTGAGAAAGTATATCGAGACAAAAAGACAAACTGCCTATATGAGAGATCACAGGGCAAGAAGAGCCCCTTGCAAGTCACAGATCTTTAGGCTTGTACAGAAGTTTGATTCAGAAGGAACTGTAAAACCAACAAAGAAGAAAAGTGATGGTAAACCAACCTATTCGGGGAGAGAGAGGTCTGTCAGAACTCAAGACAACTCAACAGTCAACTCAGAACGTTACATTCCTAACGTTCAAAAGTTTTGGAGAGAGCTGGGTAGACGACGTGACTTGAGAAGGGACCAGCAATGGTTCCAACAAGATGGTGCCACACCCCACACCTCAAATGAGTCCATTCAATGGCTTCAGGCTCACTTTGGTGATCAATTAATCAGTCACCATACCCGCCACATCTGCCCCCCCCCTCCACTCCCCTGATTTGAACCCCCCAAATTTTTATCTGTGGAGGTATCTCAAGGATAATGTGTATACAGATAGTCCACTGACCATTGATGACCTCAAACTCAACATTGGAAGACTAATTAGAGAGATAGACAGATATGAATGCAGTCGGGTCATGGACAATTTTGCAAGAAGAATCCAGCTCTGCATCCAACGTTGTGGTGCACATTTGGAGCACATTATCTAATCGTGCCTCATTTGGAGACTAATTGAGCTATAATGCTAAAACTTTATCATCTTGTCATACATTCAGTTGACTATACATGTACCCAATAACTAAGCTCAATATGCATTATTGACGAAGTTATCAAGACTTAAGTGGGTTCCAGTTTTTTTTGTCACCCTGTACAAGCACACGTACCACACGTTGTCTATGGTAACGAAATGACGTCATACAACTTTATTCTATTCTTTCCTGATTCAAAATGACGTCATATATAGGCTATGTTACTATTTCTAGAAACGATGAATTCGTTATTTGAGGAACTAGAAGTTAGAACGACAAAGAAAGATATCGATCAAATCACTAGATTTCTACATAGTATGTGATAAAATCGTCATCACACATTTCAGTGTATGCGATACGGGAAATATTCCACTCAGTAAAAAAGTATCACCACTCAAGCTGCGCTTTCGTGGTTATACAATTTTTACTTTCATGGAATATTTCCCGTATCGCATGCTGAAACGTGTAATAACTGATAGTATGCTTCTTTTTTAAAGAAAGGGTTGGGCTGTTTTTTTGTCATATTTATTGGGATCATAGTCATTACACTGTTCATTGCCATTAATATTAAAGTGACCTGGTACCGATTCCTTTACATCAATACAATTGCCTCTCAAGATACAAGTATGTAAACATACAGTCATCTACCTGTACCGCTGACAAATCTAACAGCTTTGAATTCTGAGAATTCTTTATTTAGATTAAATTTTTTTAAATAGGAATAGGACTACAACACAAAGCAAGATGTTAATGTCAATTGATTGCTGACATACATAGATTTCTATTGAAATATCCTAAAAACTAAAATTTGAAAAATGTTCTCCTGCAAAACAAATGTGCCACTCATAATACCTTACTGTAGACTTCTTTAGATTGGCGGGTCGGGTGCAATATTTCGCGCCCTGTGGCATGGAGGATGGGATTTACGCGTGTTTATAAAAGTCATTGAATGGAGTTCAATTGAAATATATTTAAACTTTTACGCACTTACATGGATTTTATAATATAGATGTACACGTATATTGATAGGGTATGCAGAAATTCCAAAGTGAAGCTATTCTGATCAAGCTCTTTGGTTGAATCCAAATATTTTTTTGAACTAAAAATTGCAAAACATATTAAAATGTGACATAAGAAACCATTCTCAGGAATCGATTATTAGACAATATTAGATAAGTTTATTAGTTGTAGAATTTTTTTCAAAATGTCAAGGTGACCTCTGTATGAATTACCTGGTCTTCTAAATATTTTTCCCATTACCTGGGTGACCTGTCTGTCTGTTTGTATCCTATAAGATGTTATAATGCCATCAATATGATCATGCATACCTTAAACATTGTACTGATTCTAATGATCTCATAAAAATACTCTTTATTTCAAATAACTTTTTTAAAAACTGGTATCTAAATACAACAGATTTCATATATGACTTTCAGTTTCGTTTATTAACTTTGAGAAGGCAGTATAGAGGATTTATAGCCAACTTAAAGTTTGCAGGCTTATACCAGGAATAGTATCTCCTCATACACTGTACTAAAAGACATTGCCCACAATGTAATCCAATGGGTTGGAAAGAATGGCCGACGGACCAGTTTTAACGTTATCCGATTTTGTTGAAAAAAATCAGTGAACTATTGGCACCATTTGTAACCCCATGTTAAAGGGCCATTATGATCTGAGAACATTCTTGAAAAATGAAACACCCTACACTGGAATCATCTATTTATCCATCAATATAGCGAGTTATCTATTTAGGATGTCTACCAAGCAACTGATTTATGCAACAGCTACAGGAGATCTTTCTGATCTCTTGCAAGGTTTAAATTAACGGAATAAGGCGTTTTAATGACTTATGTAACTAAATCTTTATTTTTAACTTCATTTAGAAGATTTTTTATAATACAGTGCATGCATAGTATAAACACATGAATAGATTGTTAGTGTAAAGTTCATACTTAAAGTACTTTAGGAACATAAGTTGGTCTAAAACATGAATATTAAAAAAGCTATTGAGTACATTTGAAATTAGAAAAAGCGCCATTAATCTGGTTTACTTCCTTGTATATTTCTCTGAATCTACCATGCTGAAAAAATATTGAGAATTGATTCGTCTTGTAAAGCACACCTGATTTCACAAAAGAATGAAAGAAGAGTGTCTTTAAAAGCTGAGTAAATTTTTTTGGAAAATAGGCTTTATTTTATATTGTAATAAAAATCTACATAAATCTTAAGTGATTTATTTGTTCCATAAATGTATCAATATTGATTTAATAAAATTTGAATCAATGTCAAACTGACTGTTAAGTCATTTTTTCTCTGTTCAGTTTTATTCTCATTTTTGAAAGTACAATTTAAATGTACACTGTTTACCATACCCAGTGAGTCATCTTGGGATTTTTATGATTTAGGCATTTTCACGAATAAGTGACACTTTTCCATTTCAAAATGTCAAAATTTTTTTTTCAAGTTTTCCTTATTGTTTATGAAGATTTTTGCTCTTTTATATGTCAGGCTTTTGATGATGTAAAAATTCCTAAGTATCCGCATCTGCAAATTTACAAAATACTGTCATCTTTATAGGTACTGAAATTGGCATTACGGACAATTCACGCTCAATATGCTCACAAACCAACATTCAAAACAGGAATATTATTGTTTCTGACATATTTTTTAAGTCTTATATCATTGATAACACATTTTGTACAACAACTGGTTGCAAAATATGAAGAAAAAGGAATATTTGTTTTGAACATATCTACCTCCTCACTTAATGAATTAGATTTTACAAAATAAAATCACATCATTAGATAAATTCACATTGCAGCCCCAACAACAGTATCCAATTTTGTGGATTATTCCACGGTCTTTCAATTACTATCCACTGAATTATCTGTGTTTGTTTCAAAATCTGTCAATTTATGTTTAAATGATGAAAGAGATAGCATTACGGACACCTCAAATTTGCTCGTTTTAAATTCTTTTCAGTTTTAGGTCGCAAAAGTAAGTTTTGTTTCAAGATATATATATATACAAAACCTTTTTGTAACAATTGTTTATCAAAATAATTGAATATGTATGGTGAATGAACTTTATTTAGCCCCTTTGCCTAGGTATACAATAAACATGTATGATATCAAATGACACAAACAATTTAAAATAAATATATAAAATTGAAAACGAATTATGCTTTTCATCCAAAATGAACTTGAAGCACTCTTGCTGCTTTGTTTTGGGGTATTTGCTGTTCTTTGGTCTAGTTGTCACAAAAGATTAAAACTCATCATCTCCACTGTACATTGTGTTTATATGAATTCAAATATCATGTTTTTTGATGCAATACTTTTTTGGTACTTCATGAGTCATTTCAGAATGTGTTAACAATGCGTTGAAATCTTTGGACTGGATTCTCTGTACCACTATTAGATATATTGCCTTTTAAGTGCAACATTTTAAAAAATTTCTTTCAAGTACATGTTTCCTCTTATTTTCTTTTGCTGGTTTGTATTTTTAACCTAATATCTTTTTCCTCCTCTGCATACTTTGTTTTCTCCATTTTTTTACTTATAAAGGTTATTTACTGCTTTGAAAATAAGTTATTTTTGCTTTAAACATAAAATCAATAGGCTTGAGGTGTCCGTAATGTTTTTTAAAAACTATTTATTCTTTTTATTTGTTTCCATTTATTTCAAAAAACTAAATCTAGTTTTGACTCCATATGCCTAGTAAAGACTTGGAATTTAAAATCAATTTTAATTAATTTCTGCCTCATTTTTAATCAGTACTGATGTTTGTAAAATGAACCCCCGTAGCTTATGGTAAAAAAAAATTTCAAATATTATCAGTGGCAATACCAGTTAAATTTAATAAACATATGTAGAGAGACACTTGGGAATTATTCAACAGTGATTTTTGGGATAAAGTAAGCTAATTTCACAATTTGAATTGATAAATCATGTAGCATTACGGACACCTCACTACATTTCAGACACCATATCTGCTTCTGGATCAGAAAGTAAAAGGTCAATCATTGTTAAATTATTATTTGATTGATAAGTTGTGTTCATTTCATTAAAAAATAAGAATAGTTAAGATATAAGTACTGTGTAAATTGTAGAAACTTTGCCATTACGGACACCTCATGGTTTGTGACTCCTAAAAAATGATTCAGAACTTTTATTCGCTATTTGTTAATTAAATAATTCCAAGTGAAAAGCTTTTTACAAGTTATATATGAATATGTTAGCTATTCAAAATCATTATATATGAAGGAAAATACTCAGCTACAGATTTTCTGTGCTAAAAAACATAAAATACCTCTCCAAAAAATGGAAAAGTGTTACAGAGTAGTCATGATATAAAAACGGTTACAACTTGGGCTATATGACAGTGTTTGAAACAATTTAAAAAACATATTAAAGATAAATGATTTAGCTACCACTTGGTATTAGAATTGTCTATCTATCTATGATATTAGCCCTTCTGTGATCGTGTAAACATGGTCACAATTTAAGTGAAATGCTTGTTACACCAAAAAACAGCATATTTTGGGTCATTACTTGTTGATTTTTAAAATAAGCAACAACATATTGTATTATTTCATGATGTGCATATAAGACCATTATGGTACCAACTTCTAGAAAGCATTGTTTTTCTTTTATACCTTAAATTGAATAAATAAGGATGCTGTTACAAAAAAATATCGAAAAGTGTCACTTATTCGTGAAAATGCCTTTTACTAGTAAGCATAGTTTTGTTCTGTTGCTATACTTGATCAATGAATATGTTCTAAGAAAAATGCTCTTAACATAACATGAGGGTTCTCACTAGGCTTTTAGACTTCAGAGATTCTCCAGAGTCTAATGTCTTAAAACCCTCTTGCTCCAGAATCTAATAGCTTTTCTGAAGTCTAAAGTGTTTTTTCCGAAGTCTAATTTTACATTTTTGTCACATTATTTGCAGTAAAACTCTTGAGAAAATACATAAAACTGGATACAAACAAGGAAGAGGAAGTTAGAAACCTTTTAGAAATAAATATTGGGATTAAAATAGCAAGATAATCTTAGGAAGTATGTTGAAAAGTACACTTATAGGATATCTCTGATCTCACATGGGGGAGAAGTAGCCGCGATACCGCGAAAATGTAGTCAAATACCGCTAAAAATCCGGGGTCTAAAAATTTCCTGGTGAGAACCCTGCATATCATTATGATATATAAATCATGTGCTAAATGCAACTTAATGTTTCTACTATGTGCTCCTTGACCTTTCAATGTAGACAATATATCTTGTATTATCACATGGTTAGTAGTTTCTAAGCATTTAGTCAATAGTAACTATATGACGTCACTGGTTATATCACTTCGTAGCTTCGTAGAACGAGTATCACAGCATGGAAATAATGAGATCACTTATTGATTTATTTTGGCTTTTATCCGGTCAATGAATTTGAGTACACAAAAGTTATTGAGGGTGTGAGCAAGGGTTATATATTTTATTTCAATTTTGATATATCATTATTGTTTTTAAGAATTCTGCGCCAGAGGGATTTAATTTTTAGAAATACAATACATGGCACCATGTGATTATATTCTTACAAAATGTTTACACATATCGGGAGAGAAAATTAGACTAAATGAGATTTTTTTCAAAAAAAATTTCATGACTGACATATTTTTTATCATATATGTTTTTGAACACTTTCTCGCTTTCTACAGGTAAAACTTTACAAAACAGGAATCAGTAGACCAATATCAAGATGAAAATTATGTTTCTTCAAAAGGACCCCAAATTATCCCTTTTGCTAAGACTCTAAATCAATCTGATTAATGACTTACTTTTAGGATCCTGTACAGGTTGATTAATGTACAGAACTTCAGGTTGTTTCTCCTGTTCTAATCTCTTCAAATGTTTCTCAATAGCTCTACCTGAAATAAAGACAATACTAAATATCTAGCTACAGGGTGACATAAAAAATGTAAACCCCCTTATTTTGGAACAAATTTCTGAATTTGGGATTTCTGCCTTCACCATTTTTTGAGTCATTTTCGGATATCAATACAATCCATCTACTCATTTTGTGGAATGGCTTTTTAAATCATAATATATATATCTTTTATATACATCTTTTATTGACTCTTTTAGATGTCATATCATGACATATTAGTCACTAAGGTAGAGCAGTTCTTCCCATTGTCGAGTTGAAGAACTGGTATCTTTATCCTGGCTAGAACCATAGACAATTCTAGCCAGCGCCAGCCTTTTATCGAGTCAGCAGCACTCTTGTAATCGCCGGTATAGGTCAGTAGTCATAGGTCAAAGACAAATCACAAGAAGTGCTGTGACCTGGGTTAGAACCCAAGACCTCTACTTTTCAGCATGAAGCCAGACTTCCTGCTTTTCAGACCAATGCCTTAACCACTAGGCCGAAGACATACAGTTTATAAATTTGATGTTGACCAAGATTTCTGCATATTTGAGTAATTTGGCACGAACAATGTCGAACATACCCCTAAACCATATATCAAAAAGATTACATCAAAGGCTTAGGCTATAACACAATTCTCTTGTTAGCGTTATGATTATAGGACGGGAAAATTGAAGGGGGATGCATTGAGGTATATGTTGACTTACAGACTCATGAAAAACTAGAACTGATATACTGTACTAGTTTTCTAAGACTCTCAAAAGACTTTTAAATAGAGTTCTCAACTCGATTTTTTACCGGGGCCTTATACTCTCCAAGCTTTGAGCTAGCAGTAGCTCTAGGAACATGTACAATTAGTGAAAAATCAAAGTTTGTCTTCTGAAAAGTTGACTATCCTTTTAGAAAAAAAGGTTATTCCTGGGCTAACAGCTAGTAGAGCAAGACAAAAACATCAAATGACAGTCAATCTACTAAGCCTCTACTTGAATATCAAATACTGAATGGGGAAAAACGTGAAACTTCCTAAAGTGTTAAAAAGTTCCCATGTGATACATGTATATAGATATACCAGGTAGTGCAAAAGGTAGATACTTAATTACTATTGTTTCAGGAAAATCAAACTCTGGTGTATATTATTAACAAATATTTTGTTGTTCATTAAGGAAGAAGATAATCAATTGAATAAGTCACATTTGAAAACTTTGTTTATCTTTGTGATGTATGAAAATGGGTTTCTGTTTTGCAATCCTTGAATGTGTAGTTCAGTAGTATACAGAAGTAGTATGCATATTACATAGGTATATATTCCAGGAAAATATACTCTTATCAATGCAATTACTCCAAATCCTTTAACAAATATTTAAATTAACTTGTTTCTTTGAAACATGCTGAATTATTTTGTAATGGAAAAAATTTTTTCTAATAGTTAATGATTAAAAGTTTCATTTCCCTGAAATATACCTTTTAATCTTTGCTTTGTCTAGCTCTTTATTTTGGGTTTTGAAACATTGCTGAGAAAATTTTGAGAAGTCACAAATCCATGAAAACATGCGGTCCTAACTTCGACCGTTATTTTGAATTTTCGACCTACCGGCTGTTTGAAAATCAAAGATTACGAGTCTCATACTGCACCGTTTTTCTTCAAACTTGTTCCATAACAAAAATCCCCTTCTGATGGTACATTATTCTCTTAAACAGAGTCCCTACTTCCAGCGGCATTTTGGTCCCCAGCTGTAAGAAGGCCTTCTAACAGCTGGGGACCAAAACGCTGCTAGAACGAGGGACTCTTTACAATAAAGTAATGCACCGACAAAAAGGGAATTTTCTTCTGCTTTTAATGGTATAAGTTTGAGGAAAAACGATGCAGTATGAGAGTCGCAATCCTTGATTTTCAAACATCCGGTAGGTCAAAAATTCAAATTAACGGTCGAAGTTAGGACCACGTGGAAAACTCAATCACCAAGAAATTTCAAAATTACAAAAACATGAAATATAATAGCGTCAAATATTAGTTGAAGTACAGTATACTTGCCGTTTACATCACCACATGCAAGTGGACAATGTCAATCGTGCTTCTGCACGAAAGTCGTCTCTATAACTGTATAAATGAGTTAAAATGACATACAGATTTTTAATGGCCAAACTTTTATTTGGTGAGCGTTTTAATTGGCGAATAATAGAAAAATCGCCAAATTAAATAGCCGCCAAAATCCCCTGGAATATGACTTGTTTTTCGTTTGGTGCACTTTCTGTTATTAGAAAGATACCAAGATGGCTAGGCTGTTTATTTATAGAAACAGCAAGGAATATTAAAGAAATTTATAAACAACAAGAAATTATTAATCAACAACACTAACAATGAGTAAGAGGATGTCTGGGACACTTCGAAAACAGCCAAATTAAATAGACACCAATAGGTCCAAAATCACCAAATTAAGTAGCACCAAATTAAAGACAAGTACAGTATTTGCAATATTCTGATGAAATCATTTCCATCCCATTGAAAAAAAGCAAGGAAATGCACACATGTTACCTTCATCAAAAGCCACTGTATCGTGGCCTTCGTCCAAAGATAAATCCCTGCATGTATACGGGTCATGTCGTAAGCATAAAATTTGAAATCAAATGTCCGCCATTTTTCCACATCACAATTTGAATTGCAAGTTTTGGTCTTATTACCTCACCAAAAATTCCAAAACACACATGAAGTGATCAATGTATTAGTTCACATCTTCTGGATCGCTAACTTAGAATTTACAGCCAGTTACTAATATCAGACATTAACGACATTTCATCCACTTTTCAAATATGGCCTTTTTTCCTGGAGCCATTTGTTTTAATTTTAGACGAAATCCTGACGAAATCATGCAATATCTCATCAAGGAGCCCGGCCGGTCCCATTTTAATTAATGATTTATTTATCTAGCGATTTTTAAAATATTTGATAAACTTATGACACGCCGGCAAGCTTTTTTCAAATGACGTTCACGGTGTTCCAGATGAAATAACTTCTAGCCAAGAATTGGCTAGAGACTCGAGTAACACACATGCTCTCATACTTTAATTTGTACCAGAAAATAACATGGGCAGGTATACCTGTAGCATCTTTTTCAAAAATGTTGTTTGGAAAGAATAAGCTAAGGGGAGTCCGTCAAGTATGGACTGGGTAGGTATTATTACCACCTTGCTGGGCCAGTTCTAGGGGTTTTAGTGCTAGTTTAGAAGGCATTCATTTTACTATATCGACCTGAGTAATGTGTGACGTCATAGTGGTAGCCCATATGGACCAGTCTAGAATATATTCTGGACCGGCAAATTTTCCCCAGAAAATTAGATATCGTTCAGTGCGTGAGATTTTCTTGCTATTTCAGCCCTGGTTGTTAACGGTGGTAATAATACTAATAACGTAATTTCTGCGACCAATATAGTAAAATATTGGACCTTGGGCCTTCGGTTCTCGGTCCAATATTTCACTATATTGCCCTTAAAATTTGAGTTATTGTACTATTCTATCAACCAGTATACAATGGATGTCCCTAATTTTGTTATTCATTGTACCTTTTATCATGGGTCTTCTAGACTAGACCATGGGCTTTCTAATTGAAAGCCCATGACTAGACTAACAAACTCATGGTTATGTCGAGATTTAAAGTGGGGGACAAAAGTAAAACTCTACATTCAAAAGTTGTCACAATGAGCTAAATTCCAAGTTTCGTGTCTCAAACTCTCCCAAGCGGTAGAAAAATAATTCCCGTTCACTTTAAGTAGCACAATAAATGAATCCAAAGCTTCATACCTGCAAATGATGGATAAATCCCTACCAAATCGAATGAATGTTTTCATGAATCACCATGTTTGTGATCCAAGGAGGATTTACTCCCAGAATGCAACATCAGTTAACCTTATTTACTCGTGACAGGTTTCAAAATGGCGGAACAGCATTTTGAAAGCTGGCACTTGTCATGTTGCATTCTGGGAGCCAATCCTCCGTTGCAGAGTAATCGGGCTACAAAATTACCTCAACATTTGAAGAGTCGGCATTAACATGGAATATCCACTTCAACTTTTTAAGTTCTTATTTGTCATTATGGACACAAATTCCACTATATTTGGACCAACTAGGACGGAGACAATAGAGCACTGAATATACTGAGGTAAGAATTTATTACATGTGCGACAGCATGTAATTTTCATAGCTATAGTAATTCTTTATGTTCCCCACTGTAGATCTACATCCATAGGCCAGGGGTAAAGTAATAGTAAGCCGTATATACAGTTTACTATTACTTTTCCCTTGGCCTATGTCTACATCTGTATTTATAAATGTAACTTACACATAGGTGTTTTGAATTGATCATCATCTAGCAGATCGTATCTCTCCATTTTATGTAAAAGATCCAATAAGTCAAAAAATGTTGGTTTATCCGTGAACTGTGCATGAAACCATAAATCGAATATTTTAGCGCACTTATCCCCTGCACACTCCACATTTTTAAAGTCTACAAGTTTAAAGTCTGCATCTTCAGCTGCTCTAGAATATAGGCCTTTCCAGTCTTTGGGATAGCCATGATTGGATAATACAGATCCTAAAGGTGGATTTAAATATTTACTGATTATAATCACAATTCCCTGATTTTGATAAATTTTGTCAAGTTTTATTTTTTTAGTTTCTTCATTCCACCATTTTTTGTAGCCATAATCCTGCTCTGCTCCTCCTTGAGCCATGTTCAAGTGAAGCAAGTATTCTTGCTTACCTTCCCACGACTACAAATCTATTATTGTTGTGATTAAGATAACGAAACCATGATGTTTATTATCTCACATTTTCGATTACACGTTCATTTCCTGGTGCTCCCACATATTGCATCAGAAATGCGAACGTATTACAAATGTGAACGTTCGGTATTTTCAGAAAGATGTTAGCACTGGGCTCATTCACAGCCTCTTCTACAAGCCATAGATAAAGAGCGGTTCTAATAAATCAGAATGATGAAGAGTTATCTGATATTGTAACAATGCTGGACATGATATATCAAATTTCAGTGAAATTGATCACCCTCATCAATTTCATAATAACAACTTTGATTGGCTGTTAAATTAACATGTCACATATCCTCTACCCATCGTGGTTGTTCTATGGATAGCCCTATTTAAATATGAAATGTCTACAGAACCTTAAGGCTATTCAGCAGAGTTGAATCTTGTTCAATTCAAATGACCTTTGTTTCAACGCATTGTTTCAAATCATTTATCAGTATTTTGAAATGATGTACTCATCAAATACATAAATACTTTTATTTTCATATGTAAATGATGGCCAACCATATTGACTTGTCATTTTACTTTCCCAATAAAATTTATACCATAAAAAATAAATAAAAAAAACAGTGATGGGGACTAACATAAATATAATAACATTGCTTATAAATATGAAATACTTTGCTTTTTTAGCATTTATCACTGATTTAAACTCAATCATATACAGTTTAATTATCTAATTTTATTTGGAGATGAGGGATCAAAATTCATTGCTTTTGTTTTATGTTTCAAGAGACAAAAATGGCGGCCATTTTGAAAATAGGCAAGCTTTTGAACCAGGAGTCATAGGGGATTTCCTATATTGATGTTGAACAAAAATAACTTAAAACAGGAATCCTATTGACAGAGGTTTTAAAACGGCCCAATTGTTGACAGACGGACAGACAGACAAGGGAGTGATTGCAATGGCTCACCATGTGAGTTAATAACAGAAAATAGGGTCGAGATATTTTAACTTGAAGCTTAGCAACAGTTATTCTTTCCCAAACTCCTCTTTGGATGCCAATGTGCTTGACTATTTAAATTGTACTAGTGCAGTTTATAACAACTCCAATATATGCTAAAAACTATAAACCCTTTAGCTTTGGAGTCAATCTGACCACAACTTCTCACGATCACATTTGAAACATGTAACAAATGATAGAAGTGTTTTACTACTATGATTCATCACCATGGTAACAAATTTTGTCTTAGCAGAAAAACAAGTCAACATTATTTATTTACAACATTATTTCTTGCAAAAGGACACAGAAGTGCAACAATTGCTACAGATGCTAGGCACCGATGTCAAATGTATGTCACAAAAATGTTAGATGATATGACAATATGTCACCACAGTTTGGTGGTGACATAAAAAATATTTAACACAAAGGGAAATAAACAAGACAAGGTTTGTTTTAAACTACTTTTACATATAGATATCATTATATTTACCACTAGACAAATATACATAGGTACATAATATTCAATGTACAATACATATCAATAACTATGTTAATACATGTTTATAAAAATTGTTTTTTAAAATAAACTTTAACTAGGAAAAGATAAAATGTCATTCAAAATAAGTGCATTAATTATGCAATACCTTTGAATTATTACAAAAAGACTTATAATTTGTCCTATCATAATGCTGAACAGCCTTGATAAAAAACTGGTGAATATTTCCCTTATTGTGAGAGTCCCGACCTTCACAAAAGCACCTTGATATATTTAAAGCAGGTGTAGGATATAATGATTGCTCCTTACAATTAAAGTGTATTTAGAGACAGTAGATTCATCTAAACCTACAATTATTTGTAATGGCCTTATTTAACTGTTCAACATTTTCATCATGGAACTACAACATGCACAGTAAAACAATATATGAATAACTTTCTAAACAACAAAAAAAATTTCAATCATAATTCCATATGTACCATGGACTCATACATTATGTAAAGTCTCAATATGTAATATATACTCTGGTTTGAGTGGCATTAACTTCATGCTGTACTGTATTTTATGAAGATATATCACCTATTACATATTTGAATTGAATCATTTTGTAATTGAGAAATATATAGTACCATATTTACTACTACTAAGTTAGAAATATAAATACAATGTTTGTTTATTCTCATACTAATAAAGTAGGACATAAACCTCGCTATGTACAATGTAACATAACTACAATACCCAATATTCAATTTAAGATTAAAACTTGAAGCAAATGACTATAATAGACAGTTACACCGTGAAGCGTTTTTGCACAGGATTTATAAAAATTGCAATACTTAAATGACCAGATAATTTGCACTATGCATTATTTTACTTCAATCATATGACACGTATGAATATTTCTATTACAAAAATTACTTATTCATGATTAAGCTTCATATTACACTTTAACTGGGTAAAAAATTGTCAATATTCTGCTAATTGGCGGCTCTTCAATTTGAAGGTATTCGGCCAAGTTCAATTTCTGTGGTAATATGTGCTATGACGTTGAATGTTCTTAATTTTAATCAACCACCATATCAATAATAAGATGAAATTGGGGAATTTTCAAATTGCCAAAGCTTAAGCAAAGCAGCTGCCAAATTATTTCAAGTTACGTTGTTACACAACTTTCACTTGACTATTTGTGCTGGGCACTAAAATGCTATCTACTGAACACAACTGAAATTGCACATCACAATTAAGACAAAAATGGACAAAAACTGTAAATTTACACATTCTGTATTGATTAATAAAATGAATATATTGAACGCTGTAACTGATGAAAATTACATTACTAAACTACTACAGAGTGAGTCAAAAAAGAAAACCCAGACAAATCTTAATAATTTAGTCATCCAGTACAGGTTTTAAGTCATATTTGCCATACTACAAAGTTTCATTGGTCTATTTCCAATGGTCACAATTTTATGGCCATTTTACAAAACATGCTCCAAATGCCAAAACATACCGAAATCAGATTTTACCTCTGAGACCATTTCAAAGATAATGTATATATTAACAACCCTTGAAGCACCAGAGACTTGAAACAAGAGATTAGAAGGGCAATGAGAGCAATTACGCATGATATCTGTGACCTTGTAGTCAGAAAATTTCACCTGATGTGTTCAAATTTGCCTCCAAAGACAAGACCGGCATTTTAAGCACGTTTTGTAAAATGACCATATAATTGCGACCGTTTGGAATAGACCAATGAAACTTGAAAGAGAGAAAGAACAATGAACAAGGTTCAATTGTACCAAATACTGAATGAGTGAGTTAAGATTTGTTGGGGTTACCTTTTTTGGCTCACCCTGTACATCCATAAAAGTACAATGAACAATCTAATTGGATATGCGATTAATGTGATTTGGTCAACTTAAAATATTTATTAAATTTTCCTAAATGAGGATATTTGTAATAGGATCCAGAGAGATTACCATTTAAATCCATATAATAGAGGTTTATTTGAATCTCAGTATAAATATCCGAACTAGGCTTGTGCTTTTTCATATCTGAGTACTATTTTAGTTTATACACATTCAATGCCTATCTACGTTTCCCAGCCTTTTTCTTCTTTGACTTCTCGGCCTTCTTCTGAGTTTTTTCAGGGATCTCTTTCCTCGCTGCCTTAGTTTTAATAGGTGACTTTTTAGGGGAACTTTTCCTTTTTTTGACTTCAAAGTCGCTATCACTTTCACTACCATTGTCCTCATAATATGAGACATTTGCGGTGGCTCCCCGACCTCCTCCGCGTGATGATTGACGTCCATGAGCTTGACGTTTGACTGTAGCGGCTTTTTTCTTTGAATGGTGGGAAGGCTCATCGTCAGAATCGTTATCTTCACTATCTTCTTTATATATCACTTTCTTCTCTTTCTTGACAGGTTTTTTTGCTTTCTTTTTGGGACTGGCTTTAGATTTTTTAGATTTTGGGGCTTCCTCTTCTTCACTTTCTTCAGATTCACTTTCCTGTTTAGCTTTCCTTTTTGAGGCACTCTTGCGAGGAGCTTCTTTCTTGATGGTTTTTCCTTTTTTCTGTTTCCTTTTACGCTTAGGGGGTTCTTCCTCTTCTTCTGAGCTTTCCTCATCGCTGGTGTCTATATAGGTAACCTTCGATCCTCCTCTTGATGATTTCTTTGCACCTTTTCCACTTCTAACTACTGCTCTTGGCCTGGAAGGTTCAGAAGAAGCATCGAATCTAGCTACCGTTTTAATCTCACGGCCTCGGTTACGTGGGTTTCTATGTGGTACATAAGCTACAGGTTTTTCATATCCTGAATAATCAACGCCATCATCATGAAACATTTCTTCCTCACTATCAGATTCATAATCACTAGGTGTGTCCTGTCCAGCCAATGCAGCAGGGGATGGGGTGAAGGGGTCACCTAGTTGGAACGTACCTGTACAGCCAATCCCAGATATCTGACTGAAAATGTATATGTATTTAAAATAAAACGGTGCACCTATGGTGTTTTATGTAGTGTTTTAACCGATCAAACAACCATTATGAAACCATATGAAAACTCAACTGAAGTCCAGTTAAATAATGTAAGGTTTTTGTTTCAACTCACTGAAAATTAGCAATGAAACTGAAATTTATTGACTTTGAATCTCTTACTGTAAATTATCTGCATGTAATACAGAGCAAAAATTACGTCCCTGTCATAAAATTAAGAATTTGATGTACAGAATGTTTAAGGGGCAGCAAAGACTCACCATGAAACAAAATCCGAACTATTCTGCCTTTTACAAAAAGTCATGACACAAAAACTTTTTTAACAAAGGGAGGTCTAAATCTATATAGCATGTGGTTCAACTCACATTATGGATTCATGTTTCAATGCATTCTCTAAGGCTCGCCTCATCCTACCAGGATTATCATCTATTTTGAACTGTGGATGATACTCAGTGATGTACTCCTTAAGGAGCTTGAAGGAGCACTGCTTAGGTTCATGATTAGCCACTATTGCATTGATGATCAAGTCCTCAAGATCATTATCTGAAAATAGAATATGGTATTATTCACAATGAGGACAAGTAAATAATGGTGTGCATAAACTGTTGTACAAACATTGAAGACTTTTCTATCACTGTTTCAGTTCACAAATTCCATTTAAAGGATGAGGGAGATGTAATATTGCTAGAAAACATATTTTACCTCTTGAAGGATCAAACTCTTCGACAGTTAGTTCAAATGATCCATTGCTAACATTACTGCCACTAAATTGTACCCAATAGCCTTTATCTAGCCCTCTCTGAAGTGCAGTTGGTACTCTGAAAATACAATGGTATTTCTACTAACTCCCATGCAAAATTATAGGCTAGGTCATGCGAAATTAAATTCATTTAGGGAAAAGGCATCATTTAGGCAAAAAAGTAATATTTAAATTGGTTCATTTCAGTAGACTTTATTTAAATGCATTTAACGTCGAGGAGCAACAGTGACTTATCTGGAGTTTATAAAAACCAATGTTTAAAACATTACTATGTATATCAAGAAAAGTTGTTCATAAATAAGTACTATGGCATATTCACGGTGACTATCCAGGCCCCGTATTACGAGCAAGTTCCTGCTGACATCGCGAGCAATGAGCTCATGTTAGAAGCAGGGCTTTAAGAGATATGATAAAATATAGTTTTATTTGAAGAACATCGTTACCCTGCAATTGAAATAGCCATTGTATGAAATAAAGTTGTACTGAGTTTCACTTACTAAAGTTTCATATATGATTTTATATTCTAATTTATCATATCTATATTTAAATTTTATCATATCTCTCAAGGCCCTGCTCATGAGCTCATTGTTTGCGATGTCAGCAGGGCCTGGATAGTCCCCATGATATTGGTGAAAAACTTTTGAGATGCTTTATCTTAGCACTAAAGCTAATTGATAATTCAGGGACTATATCTAACTTCAAGACATTATGGTTGTACAAGTGAACAAAATTTTATTAATAAACATTATTCTGCTCTAGAACTAGAGATAAAGCATCTCAAAGTTATGTCACCAAACATGCCCTGACTTTGTACCCACCGTTTGTCTACATCAATATCAGGGTAGTAGTCTCTTATGTATTCCTTGATTTTCTTAGCAGATGCTATCTTAGGATCAGACATGTAAGTCATGGCCATCTGGAAGGCCTCTGCCACAGTTTGTGGGTCACTGTGGACAATTCTCCTCCTTGTCTTCCTCTTCTTCACTGAAAGGCAGGAACACATTATGTGAAGGCAACAACAGGTATCATTACCATGTATACCTTTTCTATTTGAAACATGCATACGACAACCTACATATCATTACCATATATACCTTTTCTATTTGAAATATACCTTTTCTATTTGAAATATGCATACGACATCCTGCATACCATAACCACATATACCTTTTCTTGCTGCTGCTGACTTCTTCCTTTTCTTCTTTGTTTTTCCTTCTCCCTCTTTTGTGTCATTTTCTTTTGGTTTATCATCTTCGTTTGCTTCACTCTGAAATATACATAGCGTCAAATTATAGCTTTTCCACATTGTTCTCTGAATTTTAAACAGGAATATTTGTAATTTAGGACTACTTTCACTATATATTTCACAGATTTAATGAATAGTCTTTTTTATATAGCTTTGTAAAATATAAATAAATTTGGACAATTTTTTCACCAAAATGTTAAGTTTTAGCAATGTTAAAAAATGGTAGAATCACAAATTAAAAAAAAGATGCCAAATAACAGTGGTTACAGAAACCAAAATCACCTTTACTTCTTTATTTGCTTCTCCATCTTTCTTCTCTGCATCATCAGCATTAGGATCCAGGCCAGCAGCTTCTTTCTTCTTCTTCAACCTTTCTTCGGACCTCTTCTTTTCTTCCTCTTCTTCTTCTTTTTTCTCAGCCTCTTCTTGTTCTGCTGTGAGGGGCATACGGTAGAGACCTGCCTTGCCAACACCTTTGATCTAAACACACAACAAATGAATGTATGAACACCTCTGTATTCCAAACATTTATCAATGGATTTGCCTCAAATGTAGAGGTAATGCAGACAAGCACCTGGGTCAACCTGACCTATCTCTAGTTATAAATCTATATTTCAATGACAGGAGCCAGTACTGACATTTTGATTTATGTTATATAACAACAAAGCCTAGAGGTAGCAAATCAAGCACCTAATAAGTGTCAAACCACCATAGATGAATTACCAAAAGATGATTCGGGGATTTGGAATTAAATTAACCATATTGTATTTTATATTAAATATATTATTTCACTATAGATGGATTCATTAAATTGCCGCTAATGTTACAAAACTCTGGCAATTCAGCTGATTGTATTTATCTCAGACAATATTAGAAATAAATTGAAAATATGAAAAAAAGATGATGATCATATGTCGTTCTTGTTTGATAAGATAAATTACAATACATGTACATGTATATTCTTTACATCTAGAAAAAAGAGCAGTAAACTATGATAAAAATGTCAAAATGTCAAAGCAAAACTTACCAAGTTAATTTTGCCATATGTCACACCCCGATTTATGGCATTCATAACCAAATTTGGATGGATGTCCACACGAAGGGCTGGGTAACGCATTGCAATGTGGTTCCTTAGAGCCAAAGGTCGCAGGCCTTTTTTCTGTTTAATAGTCAAGGAATCTCAACAAACTTTTACAATGAAGCTCAATAAATCAATCAAAATTTGTCTCCTAACAAAAAATATTGTACGATGTTAAAAGAATCGAATGTCTATAAATACCCTAGGGCTAGGCACAAAAGCTTTCGAACAGAAAACATTTGTGCCTAGCCCTGTGGTATTTAATTGTCGATGTAATGCCTGCTCTTCAGTCCGTATCATTTAAATCAATGTTCTTTCTACAATTAAACCCTTGCCTCACATAAGTAGATTTGCTAAAAATGACACACTGATTAAATCCCTTAACCGTTAACCATGACACAATATTGCGTTCCAGGGGTTTTCATAAAGGATACAGGGTTACCAAGATCTTCAAAAGCCTGTGCCAGGATGTCCTTGATCTTTAGACCCATTGTCTCACCCTGTACTTTTGTTGTCTTCGGCTTATTCTTAAACTCCTTAAGTTTGCCATATAGAGGAGATTTCTCATTGATTCCAAATCCCTTTGGACACTCAGAATTGATGTGCTGAAAAAAAATTGAAATTGATGTAATGTTATGATATGGAAGCTGGGTGGGTTATCAATTATTCAACTGGACTTGGATATGGGTCTTCAGTGATACTCCAACTCATGTGTTTGTTTCACTATAAGGTTACTTTATCTAATAGAGGGGGTTATTTAGAATTTTTAATTTTCAGCCAAAGTGACCTAGGGATAAAAAGCCAAAGACAAAATAACTGACAGGTAATGGCTTTGTCAAAATTGTAAATTAAAATGGAATCATTGATCGATTGAAATTATGGAAAATTAAAAAGGTAAATGCATTTGACGACAAGATTCTATGAAGGAAAATCCCAAATTTACATTTAGCATATTTAAAACCAAAGCAGTACTAGACTGTAATACCAAGAAGCATACCTTATTAGTTCACATCAATCCATCAAATGGATATTTTAACATTTACCATGCACACACAAAAATAAAGTCATACTTTTATTTCCAAACCAAGAAGCATAACTAAGTTAAAAATTTCAAATTATTCTGTCAAAGTTTACCAAGGATAACTGCAGACAAGATTTTAGGATGGAACATTCAAAATGTTGACTTTGGATTCTACTGATCGTTAACATGCCTAAAAACGAATCAGTTCTTGATGATCACAATACAGCAAGCAAGGCTATGATAAAAAATGGGTGTGTTTCAAGGTATGTAAGTCACCTTCATGAGTATGTGTATCTCTACTCCAGGTTTGTTAGATTCCATACAGGCATCAATGTAGGCATCATACAAGTCATTCTTGTTCACTTTCATCTCCTCTTTCTCAACAATGTGCTCAGATACCCTGGAAACAAATAAAGTAAAAACCACAAGCTTGAGATTCAGGGTCAAGGGTCATCTAAAAAGATTTGCAATTAATTCTACATGTTATCTAATTCTGCTCTATGGATAGGAAATAATAAAACAGCACTCACAAAATGATTTTCCAATGTTTTGGTAATCAAAATGGTACATCATCATTATCTTATAATGGCATGAATTAATTAAACAATAATATACATGTATGTACATAAATGTATATTGGAGCATAATTTCAAAAATCTGAATTAAAAAAAAGTTTCAATTTTTTGCCAAATTTGATTCTGTTTTATTATGCATTTGACTAGAACTTCCACTCTACAATCTAGAATTTCTGCTATATGTTTATAAATAATTGTAAAATCATACCAGCCATTCAACATCCCTTTCTCTGGGAACTCTTTTCTTTCCCTCTTTGAGTCGAGGATCTCCACCTTGAAGACATTAACTGATTCCACATCAGATTCCTGGTCATCAGCACCATTCTCCTTGGCCTTCTTATCCTCAGGCATGTCTCTATTTGCAGCTGCAAGCTTCTTCAGTGGAGAGGGCATCCCTTACTGTAACTGTAGCAAGACAATATGTGCATCATATACCTTTCAAGCAGGCAATGGAGAAACGTGCAATCTAGGTGTAAAGTAACTTGAGTTATCCTAGACTCCCTTAAGTTACCAATGACCCCCCTATCACCCCATGCCACAAACTATGGTTCAATAATATCAAGTAATCATGTCTACTGAATTTCATATTTATTTCCCAGGGGATTTAACTGGCAAATTCCGCAATGATTACAGGGTCTGACCTTAACTTTTTTTACCAGTAGCAAGGATTTGCTACCTTCTACCAAAACAAGGAGCAAATTCCCATATTCAGCAACAAAAATGCTCCAAGAAAATATTATCAGGTAGCAAATTCAAAGTGCTCCTCAAATTAAGGAATGTGCATGTTTAAATAAAGAACTGTGCTATAGACTGATATGTTAAACTAAATTTTCTAATTTAATCAAGCTGTACATTAGACTAATATCTGTAATCATGTCTTATAACGAATCCCGGTTATTTCTCGCCTTTTTGCACTGAACGAAACAACCATTTTTTTACGTTCAAGAGTCGTCTGAGAACAATTTGTGGCTTTCAGACCAAAATCCGCATGTTTTCATTGAAAATAGGAGAATGAATCATCTAATCCTAATAAAGGTAGTATAATCAATTAGGGGGGAAACAAATTATAGCGTATTCATCGATGAATATGTTATATTTACAATTATAGTATTTCGTGCAGGCGACATTTTTTGGCAAGAAATTTTGTTTCGCTAAAGCGAGTAAAGTCCAATCAGTGATGTTGTCTTATTTTGTTTCATTTTGGGATCCGTATCAACCAATCAGCGTTGAGGTTGTTTATCGCTATCGGAAATACGATGAAAAAATATTGGGAGTGGGAAGTTCCATTTATTCTATGCGATAGAAGGGTTGAAATACATGAGATTCATTGCGTAAATTTGAGGTAGCAAGCATTTGCTCCCGGCCACAAAGTTTTTGGAACAAAATGTGAAATCAGGTAGCAAATTTGCTCCTTGCTACCGCTAAGATCGAACCCTGTGATTATTACACCACCATCACAAATTGCGCAAAATTTCTCAAAGACTCATAGATAGGCCACTCACCATAGTATTCTATGCAGAAAACCTGCAGAAATTTGGTTTTATAAATTTTTACAGAATATGATTTTTGGACACAAAATTTTATAGGCTCTTGGAACATGTATAAAAAATTGAGTTGAGTTTAGACTACATCTCTTCTCAGGGAACTCGACTCGTTTTCTTTATATCCTATGCAAAATTTTACTTTTAACCATCCAAAATTTGGTGCAGAATTTGGGATTTCATGAAGAGTCCAGAATTTGTGCAGAATTTGCATTTTCTCATGGGGAAAACCAGAATATGTGATACTGATACAGGCCTGTCAACTTGGGACACCTAAAATGAGTGACTTGCAAATGTTGAACACCTTCCTTCAAATTATGAACACCTTGGTCCAAATTTTGATTTCTTTGGTTCATATTATATTTCATCCATCCAAATTTTAGATACCTCAAATTTTTTGCACTCGGGGAGGGGGCAGGAACAAAAAATACTAAGCAAATGCTACGCGATTCACGAGAAAATTCCGAACTCTACAGGTTCAATTTTCTCGGCGTTCATTTTGACAAATTTCAAATTTATTAGCATTGTATTTCAATCCCCATCAGGGGTCATATACAAAGCATACAACTAACTACAAACTACGTAAGTACAAAAATGAAATATAAATGTGTAATGCCCACGGATGGTGGGAAGTCCTCCATATATTACTTAGATAGATGGAGGACCCCCCACCATCCGTAGTAATGCCACTACTATATGTGAATAAATACATACTAGTATATATATGTGGCTAGTAGACACAACATGACAAAGAATATAGATGGTCATAGTCTAAATATTACTAGCTTTAGTACAGTAGATTATACTAAGTAGAGTCCGTTAAGACTACCAAGGGTCATGACATATTATTGATAAACTGGCTTTGTTTAAGGTACAGCTGGAAAGTAACATTTTGGTAAAAAATTGCTATACCAGCACATGTTATGTTCTGGTACAAAATAAAGTTTGAAGACATGTGTCAATTGCCTTGCTTTTTTCAGGAAAGTATCATTACATTGTCTTCTTTAAGAATATCTAGTTGGAGTTCAATGGAACTCCAGGAAACTCTGATATTTCACACTTTTTATTTTTCCAAATTTTCTTTCAAAGTTTTCAGACAACACAGGAGCTACCATTGGCCTGTTTCCAGGTTTACTAAAAGTAGACAGTGTAATGATACTTTCCTGAAAAAAGCAAGGAAATACGCACATGCCTTCATACTTAATTTTGTACCAGAAAATAACATGTGCAGGTATAGCAATTTTTTACCAAAATGTTACTTTCCAGCTGAACCTTAAGGTAACTTATAACTAAATCAAAAAATCCAAGATGGCCGAAACCAGGAAGCACATGGCATGTGAGTATAATCTGACCATCAAAATTAACTGTCTTTTGGTTGGATTTTCTGTCAATTTTTTAGTTCCACTTATCATTTATATAACCAGGCTCACTGTGGTAATGCAAATAGAAACAGTAAACATTTTGGAATGGGAATTTGAGTCCTCTGAAAATGTGACAGAAAAATTGACAAAAAGAGTAGCACGGCAAAGGTCCCTGAACATTTTTTTTTCTAATTTCTCTGAAACATCCCTTTAATATTGCCCAAAATGGAAGGAGCTTTAGAATTTTGAAATCTCTCATACAAATTAAAAAAAATAGAAAAAAAACAATTTGAGAAGTGTACTTTTTTCCTTATTTTGATCCCAATTTTTTTATCGGGTAATTTTTCAAATTTCCGTTGCTCCTTCGTTTTTTGATATATGTTTGAAGTATATTTTCTGAAATGTTCAGATATTTTGAATCAGCGGTTTTTCACGGGCTACTCCTAGAAAAAAATCTTCTCAAATTCTTTAAACGGCACTTTTTTCTCAAACTAAAGTTTTGTTGTTGTTCTTTGATGTCTTTGTAATGATTACAGTGCACAAGCATATGTGAAATAATAAAAACGACTTCTCAGGAAGAGTTTGAAAATTTCAAGATAGTGAAATTTTCAATTTTTTCTGAAAATGGATTAAGTTAACAGTCACCTTAAGTTACATCGCATGATGAAATAAATTTTGCGACCAGGTTTATCTCGGTACCTTCACAAGTCATACAATAAAGGAAGAAATTAACATTGATATCATTGAAATTAAATTGTCATTCGTTTTATAGATGTCCTTCTACGGGAATATTTTTTGCAGACATATTCTGTCACGCACATACAGTTGGGGACATAAATAAATGACAGGTGGATTTGCTGAAGTGAGGATTTCCCATGTTAAAAATAAGAGAATTTACAAGAGGCCATAAATCAGTGGATGAGATTATACAAAATGTAAAATATACAAATTTTAAGGGATATGTATCTAGACAATATTGGAAATTATGGGCTTTCAGACCACCATAATTAGGAAATGGTGATCGAAAATCGACCTGTCATTTATTTTTGTCCCCAACTGTAAACTGGCTTGACTTCAATTTTTTCAGCAAATGCGTGACAAATATGCAAATTGCGGGACAAGTGCCTGCTGATACTGTCTCTGTGATAGGCCTAGCTTTACAAATTAAGTTACAGGATTCATTTCAGAACTTGAGAACCAAGAAGGTGAGGTGAGCAAACACACTGTTTCTTACATTATGCTCTGGTGTAGCTCTAAATATAGACCAAAATGCAGGACTTGCAATAATGCACAGGTCAAAGTGACACCTACTTATAGGGATATCAAGTAAAAAAAATACAAAATTTAGAACTAACCTAAAAACAAAGCGTGCACAGCTTTCGATGACGTCACTAGAGTTGAGCACCGGCCTTTAAACTTGGTTGAATTTGTTTAACAAGTTGTATTGTACCTAGATTTCAAAGTGAGCTTTGTGGCTGACGTCTGGTAGTAATTTTAACATATTTATCACAATTAAGATTATGACACATTGATTAGGGTTCTAAGATATGAGTTTGGAATTCAGGAAATGATGTTTTTCAAATTGTAACCAGTTCATTACATTCACTCAACTTCTTAACTCTTCAAAAATCAGAATAGGAGGCGAGAAATTAAAACGTGAAAACACAAAAATGTCGAAAAGACCAAATACAGATGAAAATAGCGGTGATGACGATGAATGTATAGGTCCAATGCCATCAGAAGCAGCAAAGCCAAAGAAAAAGAAAGGTAAGACAATCAAGAAAACTTTGTCATAGCGATTTACAGATAGATTGAGTTTAGGCTAAAATTTCAGTTTCAGAATCAATTTCGAATTTTCAATTTGTCTACAAATTCAGTGGAAAAACTGAGTGAAACTTGATCTACTATAAGCTATATTCTATGAAGGCCCCACGAAGTTCCGTAAGATGTGCCTTTATGAGCTTATATGGCAAATCAGCAACCACTAGATCTAGAGTCCATTTCACTGCTTCATTTCGTCAGTAGAACGGCAAAAATAAGAAATTGGAAGACCATTGTGCAATAATATATGGAAAAGTATATTCATAATGTACATGAATGACATTTGTATATCTTGGATTGCTTCTAGAGTCCATTTCACTGCTTCATTTCGTCAGTAGAACGGCTAAAATAAGAAATTGGGAGACCATTGTGCAATAATATATGGAAAAGTATATTCATAATGTACATGAATGACATTTGTATATTTCAGATTTTTTAGTTTTTTATGCAATAAGCCTGTCCGTCTTGTAATTTGAAGAATTTCAGCCATGTTAATCTTATTGAAAATAACATGGCAGAGAAACATCCAAATAGAAGAGGCCACACACTTTATAAGCCAAACTAGAAGCAATCCAAGATATACAAATGTCATTCATGTACATTATGAATATACTTTTCCATATATTATTGCACAATGGTCTCCCAATTTCTTATTTTTGCCGTTCTACTGACGAAATGAAGCAGTGAAATGGACTCTAGTTTGGCTTATAAAGTGTGTGGCCTCTTATATTTCAACGCTTGTGGGGGTGGAGTTACTAAACTGTAATATAATATATACTAGGTAGAGGGTAGTCTAAATGTGGGTAAATTGTACTGTTTTTATGATTTCAGTGTTGGAATATGAAAAAGTTTACTTAGATAATTTACCAAATGCTGAGTCTTATGAGAAGTCATATATGCATAGAGATACCATCACCCATGTAGCTGTCACTAAGTAAGACTTCAAATATAATAAATGTGTATATAGTTTGAAAACTACGTAATATTTATGGAATGAATTCTTTATTTTTTAATCATTTCAATTTTAGTGACGCTGTATGGAATAAAAATCTAGGTCAGTTTTGACCGTTAAGTATAACATTTATTGAAGGATTACAGGTTCATTCTCATATTACATTTATTACAGTATGAGCTCCACCACTGTATGTATTGTCTTGTTAATTGTAATCCAAGACATTAAAAAATAATAACACAATAATGTGGTTAAACTATGAAATAAAAACTTCTCATATTTTGTAGGTTATTTTAATTGCTTGCTTTATATAGTTTTTATGTCCCCACCACATAGTGTGGGGCCATATTGTCGGCCTAGGCGCGTCCATCTGTCTGTCCGTCCGTACGTCCGTCCGTCTGTCCGTCCGTCCATACGTCCGGGAGTTTTCTCCAAAACCGCTACAGATATCACCTTCAAATTTTCAGGGATAACTTATGAGTGCATACAGATGTGGATGAAAATTTTTTAACTCGATACCTACTTCCTGTCGGCCATTTTGAAGTCAAATGCTAAAATCCTTGTCTGCAAACTTTAAGAAAAACGGCTTCACAGTTGCTTTTAAAACTTTAAAATCTTGTTCAGCTCACTTCATTCTAGATCTGATTAGGTTTTGGACCTGTTAGCTCAGTCATGTCAGCCATTTTGAATGTCTTAAGAAAAGTTAGCGCACGATAATACTTTGTATCATATTGAATGGTGTTTTTGAGTTTTCATACTTTAACTATTTAGTAGCTTTATAAATAATTTCAGATGTACTTTGTTGTAAAAGCCTATGTTATTGTTAACAGTAGTTATATGTGATAATTTTGTAAGAAGTAATCAGCAAAAACACATAATCACTTTTTTATTGTCGGCCATTTTGGAGTTTTCCGTCCTAAAATCTTGTCTGTGAAGTCTTGTGTACGTGTTTTCAGGTGAACCGTTTGGTAGATCAATTTCAAATTTTCAGGGATGGTTCTTAGTATAAAAATTTAGATCTGATTTGTTTTTTGGCATTCTGGATAAATGTCAAGGCAGCCATTTTGGATTTTCCGTCCTAAAATCTTGTCTGTAAAGTCTTGTCTACGCGTTTTCAGGTGAACTGTTTGGTAGATCAATTTCAAATTTTCAGAGATGATTCTTAGTATGAAAATGTAGAACTGATTAGTTTTTTGGCATTCTGGGTAAATGTCAAGGCAGCCATTTTGGATTTTCCGTCCTAAAATCTTGCCTGTAAAGTCTTGTCTACGCGTTTTTAGGTGAACCGTTTTTGGTAGATCAATTTCAAATTTTCATGGATGATTCTTAGTGTGAAAATCTACATCTGATTAGTTTTTTGGCATTCTGTGTAAATGTCATGGCAGCCATTTTGGATTTTTCCGTCCTAAAATCTTGTCTGTGAAGTCTTGTCTACGCGTTTTCAGGTGAACCATTTGGTAGATCAATGTCATATTTTCAGGGATGATTCTTAGAATTTTTAGTATGAAAATCTAGGAACAGATTAGTTTTTTGACATTCTGGGTAAATGTCAAGGCAGCCATTTTGGATTTTCCATCCTAAAATCTTGTCTGTAAAGTCTTGTTTACATGTTTTCTAGTTAACTGTGTGACGGATCAATTAAAAATTTTCAGGGGTGGTTCTTAGTTTGAAAATCTAGAACTGACTAAATTTTTGGCATTCTGGGTAAATTTTAAGGTGGCCATTTTGGATTTTCCGTCCTCAAATTGTGTTGGTAAAGTCTTGTCTACTCATTTTCAGGATAACCATTTGATGGGATCACCCATTGGTGGGGACATTTTATACACATTTGTGTTCTTGTTATTTCTTCTATTCCAGAACTGACTTTATAATCACTGCAAGTTGTGATGGTCATTTGAAGTTCTGGAAGAAGCAAGAATCGGGAGGGATTGAATTTGTGAAACACTTCAGAAGCCATTTAGGTGAGCATTATCATATAAAAGTGCAGAAACAAGTGAAGGAGAAATGACCTTGGTTCTGCTAAAAAGCGTCCCAGTTTGGAGGTGTACTGCCTTTAAAAGTTCAATTAAAATTAAGTTAATGGATCACAGGACTTCTAATTGACAACTACAGCTATTTTAAGAATGTTTTTAATTTTAGCTGGAAATCAAATTCATGAACATCTTATTATACATACACTATGTCAAGGAATGGCTCCAAATATTCATAAACAAGTAATGTTCCTAACATTACACTATGTTTGTTACAGGTAACATAGTTGATATGGCAGTAAGCAGTAATGGTGAACACTGTTGCACAGTTTCAGATGATAAAACAATGAAAATATTTGACATTGTCAACTTTGGTGAGTAACCAATTTAAACTTTATCCCTGGCATTGAACAATGTTGTATCAAAGTTGTTTACATTTTGATGATGTCAAGTCAAGAGCTTTGACAAGATTAACATCACATCTTTCATGTTATACTCTACTTATCAATTAAAATGAATATAAATTTATTTGCGATATTAAATTCTTTTATTTATACTTTAGTTCACAGTATCAATTTTTACATCGGTTGTAGTATTATTTTGTCTAGGCTCAAAGAACATTACATGTGTTAGCCAAGAAAGCAATATAAACTTTAATTACATGTTCTACTATTTATACATTTTCTCTTGACCTTCAACCATTGAACAACCTATAGTACTGTATGTCTTGCAGATATGATTAATATGATAAAGCTGGGATATGTGCCTCTATGCTGTGGGTGGTTGTTTGCCCCTGGAGATGCGTGTACTGCAATAGCTGTGTAAGTAGAATCACTCACTAGCCTACTCACTACATTGTAATAATGGCTTAGAACAGAAGGTGTAGGATATCATAAAGGTCCCTTGGCACGTGAAGTTGTCAAACTTGCTTGGTTCAGTGAATGGGTTATTATATGGACTTGTGAATGCTTTTTCACCACATTGACTTATGCTCCTTGGAGTTGCAGGAGTATGTTATCAAATTTAGCACATATCATATCAACAGTGGCCAGTAGATGATTTTGGTTTTTCAGTAAAATATTCACATTCACATTCAATGCATTCTTGCATTTATTGATGTTCAGCATGAATGTTTTCCAGAATCAATATTACTCTGAATTAATGTATTAAATCAGAGTGCCCTTAAAAAGTGAGAAATGCAGTTGAATTACCACATTCATTTGAAATAAAAATTGAAGAATGTGCATATTATGCAATTAGTTTAACTTATTGAATTATTTTAGGTCTGAAAAAGACAGCAGTAAGATTCATGTGTATGACTCTATTGGGGCTCATGAACCTTTACAAACATTGGACAAGCTGCATTTTAAACCTGTCACACTCATAAAGGTGAGTGACATTATGTTTTTGAATGGTAACATTGATGTATGATACAAATAGTGAACAGATTTTTGAAGTTCTATGCGTTTGAGATTGAAGTAAAAATATTGTAAAATTGTGACTCAAAGAAAGTTACTCTGAACTTGTCTCTAGACATTGTCGCCCCTTTAACAAAGGTAGGTCTATTGACCTATACAGTATGTGGCTCAATTCATTCAAACATGCTCTGATGCTCTAATTGAATTTCTCAACCAATCAGAATGCAACATAGCCAATGTAGAACATTCTCTAATTACTCAGATGCGAGTAGGTAGTTACCAGTTTCGCCACCAGGTGGCTGATTCGGGGGAATTAACATGGCAGGGTATTACAAAATTCCCCTAAACTTGAATATGCATCAGTTTTAGTGGTTCACTTTTCAAAATACCCTTATGTATCTGATAGTTATACAAATTAAAATATGTCCGATAAAGGAAAATATTTTCTGCCCAACACAAGAAAAGATATTTCACTTTTTGTGGTTTTACAACATGGAGTCTATGGGGAATCTTCCCGACCTAGAAGTCACATTTTCAAAGAAAATTAAATTTTCAAAGTTGATGAACTCTTTTCAATACCACATTTCTAAATGTAATTTTACATGTAGATTCCAAATATGACATCATTTTGACTGAATTATGAATTTTTAATGATGTAAATCAAGATTATTTCTACTCGCATCTGGTATATTCTCCATAGATGCAAAACTGTGCTCTATTCAAACATCCTGGTATCTATTTATTGTGCAAATGCACTGACCTCCAGTTCGTGCTTTGTACGACATTCTATCCAACTTGTGCTGAATTTCACCATATTGAATGGCCTATAATTATTTATTCCTTAATTATAAAGGGATGGTTTGATTTCGTTGATATCATATTAATATGTATCGTGGATAATGATTCCTGAATGATAGAGGGAGGAGGTGTGGGACTGTTTGGAAGTGAGATCAATTTTTGTGATGTTGGGGCTTTGCTTGCTTATAACTGGTTGTTCTGAGAAGGTGTTTTAGCTCACATAATATATGAAAGTGTATTGTATGTGATTTTCCTATCGAATCAGACTTGAAGAAATGTTTTGTAAATTAGTTGTATCATCTATTTTGAATGTCTGGAGGAAGATTGCAACGTGACTCTTAACAGAATCTAAATGTTCATATTTATTTTGGGGAGTTTCTTTCTAATTATGTGATTTCCCTTATAGTACAACCCGGTGTATGAAGTTGCTGTGTCAGCTGACCAGGGTGGAATGGTGGAATACTGGACAGGCCCCAAAACAGATTATAAATTCCCCAAAACTGTAGCCTGGGAATATAAGACAGACACTGACCTCTATGAGTTTGCTAAGGTAAGAGGTTATTTGATATGCATGCTCCTGATGTCTCCAAGCATTTCATTCTTTGTTTATCTGCAGACATTTTATTCAGTTTTGCCAGGGTTCCCATGTATTTTAACATATTGCAAGCAAGCAAAATAATCCAGCTAAACAGGCAGCAGATCTGAGTACATGGTTTGAACTCTATAGCAGTAATTGGAAACACTGTAAAATAACACTTGTGCAGTCACAAAAAAATGTTTTTCTTGCAAGATTAATGTAACAAATAGTTAATTCAGAACTTTCTGAGTTTTGAATAACTTTAAATTATATATATATTGAGGCTTGACACATTTTTTCAGAACAACACAGTCCCTATCAGCCTTGCATTCTCGCCAAATGGTAAGCTACTGGCTACATTAGCGAAAGACAGAAAGGTGCGCATATTCAAGTTCCTGACAGGAAAGCTGACAAAAATCCTTGACGAATCATTATCTCAGTTCACTCATTTACAGCAGGTAAGCCTCATGATGTAATCTCCAACAAAGAAATTGTGACATATTTTTGTAGCCACTAGTACTGTTTTTGTAACTGGAATTTTACAGTTGGTATTAAGGATTGGTGTCTCTAACAATTGTAAATGCAGGCAAATGGTAACAATGCTCCTTTGTGTATGCCTTATTTCAACTTGTTGATATCAGTACAGTACATGTAATATAAAATCATTATGACAATAAGATCAGTATTACTACAAGATCAGTATTGCCATAAGGTGCATATTACCATAAGTTCAGTGTAACTTTTAGTCACGAAAAAATATTAAATGAATGATAAAAACATATTTTCAAACTTTTTATGGGGTCTTTAAATGAAAATAACGTGCATGTATGTGATCAAATTGAAAATGCTATCACCCATCCTTTTTAGTATAATGCCATAAAATGCAATATGTTTACAGATGAAGCAACAGCTTCCAAACATGGAGTTTGGTAGAAGAATGGCTGTAGAGAGAGACCTGGAGAAAGCAGAGGCATTTTCATTGGTCAACATTATATTTGACCCGAGTGGTAATTTTGTCATCTATGCGACAATGCTGGGCATAAAGGGTATGTAATGGTGCTTTGGTGAGGTCCTCATTGATGCTTATTCCAAGTGTCATATTTCAATTAGTTTTTTGTTTTATTTCAAAAGTTTGGATATGGTGTGGAAGATACCTTTTGGGGATATCAATTTAACTGGCAATTACAAAATGAATTCCCTTAAATGACAAAATAATGTTATCCCCTCTCCATCACCACACAAGTTTGCATAGATAGAACCTTCAAAGTAAAAAGATAGCTAGCCTTTCAACAGGCCACCCAGTTATTGGAATCGCACAAAAAATCACAAGATATGAGATGCCAAATTAAGCACATGTAAAAACTAATCATGTCTGTTTTGTTTCAGTTATAAACTTGACCACTAACAGATGTGTAAGATTCATAGGTAAACCAGAGAATGTCCGCTTCCTCTATCTTGCTCTCTGTGAGGGCTCATCCAAGAAATCATCAGCAGCAGTTACCATGGAGATGGAGGCATCAGATAATCCTAATCTCACCAATACACCTAGTGATCCAACAATATTCTGTACAGCCTTCAAGAAAAATCGATTTTATTTGTTTTCTCGGAGGGAACCCATAGATACTAAAAGGTGAAATATTTTGAAGATTAATTTGAAAGAAAATACATCCCAACAGAACTTTTCGTGGATGCATTTTGAATATTGTTAAGGATTAGTATGTGTTTGGATTTTCGGACTTGGGTTTTTCAAGAGGGAAATGTCTGACTCTCCCTGAGGTACAAAGTTACTTAATGGAAACATAGATATATCCTGTGAGATTGACTCTATATTGAAATGTGACTGTATATATTTGCTATTAAGGGAACACCTTCAGTTTTACTTTTAAAAATACTTGAAATATTGTCATCTTGATGTGGCTCACTTTTCTCGTCTGCACATTTTCAAACGAACAGCTAAATGGAATGATTTGAAATGTTAAAGGTTTCTGAACTGATAAGTGTTTAGACATGCTGGATAAATTTTAAGGTGCCCATTTTTTATGTTTTGGTACAATATTGTTCAATTTGTGCCTTGTTTTGAAGCATACAATTTCGATTGAAAGAATCAAGTAATTTCTTTGTCCATAACTGTAAAATTGGATTTTATCCAAAATCTGGCAAAAATATGCATTGTACTGTATCGCATTGTATTGTATTGTTTTATATTATATTGTATTGTATTGTGTTCCAGTGCTGATACAGAGAGAGATGTTTTCAATGAGAAACCCAGCAAAGAGGAACTTATCTCAGCTACACAGGTAGGATATTTACTGAAAATATAATACACTCGGCCACTTCTAGTCTTGAATACATGCTAAATAAAAAAGCCATTAACATCCTTTCAGGCTTTATCTTATTTCATATATTTTATCTTGATAAATTTAGACCCTATGTACTCTTTTTGGTGTCAGTTGCCTGTAAACATATAAGAATTGATAGTTCTATGTAAACTATTAAATGTATTGAGGCCGTTTCATTCACTGTGCTTTCACATTTTGTAATTGAAAATTGGACATTTTACAATGAAATACATGTCAATGTGAATGTTTGTTCAACCCACTTGTTACTTGTTCATTGCCAGATTGCTATGTTACATTATTATTCCAGGAGAGCTCCTACTCGCGGACTGCCAGTTCTGCTGTCTTACACACCAGTATGGGAGATATACATGTGAAACTATTTCACAAAGAGTAAGTACTGGTACTACTGTACCTGCATAACTTCACTTAGGGACACATATACATAAATCTTGCACCAAGTACATCAGACACAATGTTAGAATTACAAGAAGAGACAGCAGTCGGTGTTCGACATCTGTAACAAATGGCAGGTGGTGAAATTTTGTTAAAGCCTTGTTTCAATTGAAACCACACAGAAAATGTTAACTAAAAAATGACTTCTTAATAGACAGAACAATGCTTTATGTGTTGTCCGACTATGTTTATTATATGTTTGTCCCTACTTTTGTTTTCCCAATTTTTTTAAATATTATTTGGAGAACAAAATGTTTATTATATGTTTGTTTTCCACACTTGATAATTTGTATTGTTTATTATTCGGACAACACAATGTTTATCATATGTTTTGTTTGTTTTTACAGACTTAATGTTTATTGTTGATAATTTGAACAACACAATGTTTATTGTATGTTTGTTTTTCCGACTTGACAATGTTTCTTGTTGATTATTTTAACAACACAATGTTTATCATATGTTTGTTTTTTGGACTGGACAATGTTTATTGTTGATTATTTGAACAACACAATGTTTATCATTTGTTTGTTTTACAGACTTTAACAATGTTTATCATATGGACCTGGAGAGACTTATTGTCTGTTATTATTGGCAATATCTATTGTCTGTTGAGTATATGGACTTAACAATGTTTACTACACAACCGTACCTTTTTTCAGGACACCAAAGACTGTGGAGAACTTTGTGGTACATAGTAAGAATGGCTACTTCAATGGTCATCTATTCCATAGAGTCATCAAAGGATTCATGATACAAACTGGAGACCCACTAGGTAACAACTATTTTGAATACATTTTTATCGCACCCTAAGGTGCTATATTGTAATCAGTTTGTGGGGCGGTTGGGCGGGCGGTTGAGTGGGCGTCCCGAATAATCTTGTCTACAGGTTTCCAGCCAAACCGTTTGAGGGATTCATTTGAAAGTTTAGAACTGATTAGTTTTTCGCCATTCTGGGTTAATGTTATTTCTGATTTTATTGTAAGAAACTAAGAATTGGAAACATCTTGCATGATTGTTTCATTATATATAATGGAAATTCACTTGGTCAGGTGATGCACATGTATGTCAATAGGATTTTTTGCAAAGTGCTTTGTTTCATTTTACAAGCCACTTTTGTTTTGTGGCAGCGTCAATTCTTGTGTGCCAGTTTAAGGCTCATAATCAGACAAACAGATTAAGTTTATTATTAAGAATGTATTGGTATTATGAGATGCCATTGATAATCAATTAAGTGGGATGCCAACTGGAAAAGTTGGGGAGTTGGGAATTATGCTGAAGAAGAACATATTGTAATGATAGGATCACATTTTTGAGGTTTAATCACTTTATTTTGTTGTTCAATGTTTTGTCTTTAAAAATCAACAAGACAGAAGATTATTTTAAATCAGATTGTTTATTTCAAATATTGAATTTTGGTAAGACATAAACAAGATATACATATATACAAAATATACATACTATAGTACAAATATCAATTGATAAAAATTGTCACATAGGAATAAATATGTGATTTGGCAACTCCTTGAATTTGGCATTAGTTGGCTTCATTGTTAGACACAAGTTGGTGTATAAATGTTCAATGTCCATTTTGTGTCAAATATTATCTCATGAACTTGGACTTTCTGGTGTTTCCTTTCAAGTGAATCTTCTGATGTCGGTTCAGGTTCCCAGACTGGGTGAAAGCAGCAGGGCAGGTGTCACACTTGTAGGGCTTGTCACCAGTGTGGGTCCTGACATGCTTGGAGTAGGTAGAGTAGTCACTGAAGCCACGACGACAGAACTCGCAGCTGAATGGCTTCTCCCCTGTGTGGGTCCTTGCATGTGTCTTGAGGGTGGCGCTCTGGGCAAATGTCTTGTGGCAGATGTTGCAGGAGTATGGTCGCTCTCCAGTATGGACCCTGATGTGATTCTTGAAGTTGGCATGGTTGGTGAATCTTTTTCCGCAGTAGTTACACTTGAGCGCAGTCTTGTCTTTGGAGACACTGGCACGTGGTTTGCGACTTGGTTTCACTGGCAGTGGAGACTTGAAGCTTGGTGATGCACTATGAGAGTCAGCAGTGAGATCATTAACCATGTCTCTGAGGATGGAGTCATTCACAGTGGAGTAGAAAGTTGGGGTGATATCTTGGAGTGAGTTGTAAGCAGTGGGCTGCGAGCAATATATGGTGTTGCGCTGATGTGGCTCCATATTGGGGATACCTCCGGTATCATCTCTGTTGATGTCATCCACCATATGCTGGTATAGAGTGTCATTCATGTTGGCTTGGATTGTAGGTTTGATATCTTGTAGAGTTGTATCCACGTTTGGTGTGAGGCTGTTAAAGTACATTGCTGGTGTGATATCCATGATATTATCACTATGATGAGTGTCACAAGCGTAGATGCCCGGACAAATTTCCTCAGGTGATGGAAGTGGCGTAGTAGATACAAGAGGTGTTGTATCTCGGTAACCAGTCTCCTCATCCAATAACACGGCAGCAAGGTCAGATACTTTCATCTCTTGTAGTGGGTACATGAAATCCAAATTGATGTCACTATCAACAGATTCCCTTAGAAGAGATCCACAGAGTGTGTTGTTCATATCAACATTGTTGTCCTGGTTACTTGGTGACACATAATCCATGAGGCAGTTGTTGCTATAGTGATATGATGAGACATCTAAGAGAGACTCTGTTGTGTAGTTTTCCATATTGTTTTCTTATTTGTGATTTAATATCTGCTTGTTTGTTGTTTATCGCTGTTTGTGTTAGTTCATGTGCTGTAGATTGCTCTAAGACTGAATGAACTAAACTGATTTTACATGGATATATATACAGATCCTTGGTGTTGATCTTGTTGATCAAAGGAATTTCAGGATTCATTGAAATGGCATCAAGGATCAAGGGAGTTAGCTCATCACTCGATTGTGTTTAATGTTTTATAATTCCATTCAAAACATTTAAAGTTTTAATCTTGTGATTATCATCAAACAGATTATTTAAATTATTAAACTAGATTTAATTTTTAGTCTGCTTGATAGTACAATTATTGACCAGAATAAAGATGTTTTGATAAATGTTTTTTTTTTTAATCTGTTTGATATTGTAAACAAAGAAAACTTCATTCGTATACAAAAAGTATATTATCCTGGCCCGTAGCCAAGGGGGGTTCGTAGGGTTTGGGTGACCCCCCCCCCTGGCCAAAATTTCTTTCAAAATCATGCAGTTTTTCACTATTTTGAGCACTTCTCAAATGATTTTTGTCATATTTGGGCCAAAATTGTCAAATGTGAACCCCTCCCTGGAAATTTCTGAAAACTGAACCCCCCTTGGCAAATCCTGGCTATGGGCCTGTTATTCCAAAACTTTTCAACAATTATACATTTTACTATATAAGTAAATTCTCATGTTTGAATTTACAATTTAGACAGTGCTTAGGTTCTGTATTTTTATTTACTGTTAACTTGATATTAAAGTATTTAATTTGGTGAATTTCCTAATTTTTGACATTTGGCAGATTTGGGCTAAGTTCAATTTCTGCATTTTCACACATTCTCAGTTCGTGGAATTACATTAGAAACAACTATAAAGCTTCTTATTGGAAAACGCTTTGCAATATCGTGTATAAATGCAAGTACCTACAACTGTTTTTGATGTTATAAGTAATGGTTAATCAATTTATATTTTTACTGTACATGTATTGTAGCCTGGTATTGTAGCTTTTGTATGAATGAAATGTCCCTTGGTGTCATGGTCCTGGATTGTGATAGTGGAACTTGAATGGTTGGGGGAGGGGGGTGGGGGTATTAGACATTGTTTCTTTTCACGTTGGATTCTGGTTTGGCACAGTTGTGGCTTGTTTTTCTTATGATTGACGTACATTTAAATGTTTTCTGTAACTGTAACATGTTTTAGCCCTTTCCCTTTGGCACTTTTGCGTTCATATTTACAAAATCAGGTATCCTGATTGCACAATAATGTCTAAAGCATTAAAGGATTTTTATTCTTACATGAGAAATGAATTGTATAGCATATCATATAATTGCTGAACAGCTTTGGAATAATCAACTTTTTGTAAAAAACTTTGAATTTTTCTTTGTATAAAGTATCAAACAGATTAAAAAGCAACACTTCTCAAAACATCTTTCTACTGGGCAATAATTGTATTATCAAACAGATTAAAACATAATGTTAATACCTTAAAATGTGTTTGATGATAATCACAGACAAGATTAAAACTTTGATGTTTTCAACAAGATTAACAAAACATTAAAACCAATCAAGTATTCAGTTGGACCATTTGATCCCTAATCCCATTGCCATTGATCCTACAAACCCTGTAATCAAAAAGGATCAACACCCTAGATGAGTATATGTATCCATGTAAAATCAGTGGAGTTCATTCAGTCTTAGAGCAATCTACAGCACATGAACTACATGTATAACATAAACAGCGATAAACAACAAACAAGCAGATATTAAATTAAAGTTTGACACAAATAAGAGAAGAAAACAAAATGGATAACTACACAACAGAGTCTCTCTTGGATGTCTCATCGTATCACTATAGCAACAGCTGCCTCATGGATTATGTGTCACTAAGCAACCAGGACAACAATGTTGATATGAACAACACGCTCTGTGGATCTCTTCTGAGAGAATCTGTCGACAGTGACATCAATTTGGATTTCATGTACCCACTACAAGAGATGAAAATGTCTGACCTTGCTGCTATGTTCTTGGATGAGGAGACTGGTTACCGGGATAACACACCTCTTGTATCTACTACGCCACTTCCATCACCTGAAGAAATGGGTCCTAGCATCTACGCTTGTGACACTCATCACAATGATTATATCATGGATATCTCACCACCAATGGACTTTAACAGCCTAACACCAAACGTGGATACAACTCTACAAGATATCACACCTACAATCCAAGCCAACATGAATGACACTCTATACCAGCATATGGTGGATGACATCAACAGAGATGATACCAGAGGTATTCCCAACATGGAGCCACATCAGCGCAACACCATATATTGCTCGCAGTCCACTGCTGACAACTCACTCCAAGATATCACCCCAACTCTCTACTCCACCGTGAATGACTCCATCCTCAGAGACATGGTGAACGATCTGAACACTGACTCTCAAAGGCCATCACCAAGCTTCAAGTCTCCACTGCCAATGAAACCAAGTCGCAAACCACGTACCTGTGTCTCCAAGGACAAGACTGCTTTCAAATGTACCTACTGTGGGAAGAGATTCACAAACCGTGCCAATTTCACAAACCACATCAGGGTCCACTCTGGGGAGCGACCATACTCCTGTAACATCTGTCAGAAGACATTTGCCCAGAGTGCCACCCTCAAGACACATGCCAGGACCCACACAGGCGAGAAGCCATTCAGCTGCGAGTTCTGCCGTCGTGGCTTCAGTGACTACTCCACCTACTCCAAGCATGTCAGGACCCACACCGGTGACAAGCCCTACAAGTGTGACACCTGCCCTGCTGCTTTTGCCCAGTCTGGGAACCTGAACCGACATCAGAAGATTCACTTGAAGGGAAACACCAGGAAGTCCAAGTTCATGAGATAGTCTACTACACACAATGGAAATTGAACATTTATACACTAAATTGTATACAACAACATTTACAACAAAGTCATTTAATGCCAAATATAATGAGTTGCCAAATATCGTATTTTATTTCTGTATGAGATTTTCAATCAAATGCATGGACATTTGTACACTTGTATATTTATGTATATATTTTTTATATCTTAACAATGCTCAATATTTGGAATAAATAGAGTAAAAATATTAAAAAAATTATCTTTTGTTTTGTCAATTATTAAAGATGAAAGTGTGTCGCATTAAACAATCAAAAGAATAACTCACTAAATCTCAAAATGTTGATCTACCATTAAAATGTGGTCACATTAGCATGCTCTCCCCACTCCCTCACTTCCCCAGTTGGCGTCCCACTTCATTGTTTAATACTCATAATATCAACACATTTTATTGAAATAAACAAAAACCGTCTTTTGTCAAAATGAGACTGGGATACAAGAATTCGTAGAGTTAGGTGTAATTTTACGCAATAGCCTGTGATCGTTTTACAGTGTGTTCTTACCTAAAAACAGGCTCATCAGATTCCCAGTGCATTGGGGAACATCCAATTCTTATAAAATGACAGCTATCCATCTAGTTTTTCTGTAATGTGAGGTTAAGCACAGAAATATTTTGATTTTTTCAGGAAATACATGAATGGAGTTATATTTCTTTTTCTTTACCATTTCATTGACAAGATATGCAATTTTTGTGTGTATGAACTAACATTCGAACATGACTGTATTCACGCCTTCTATAAACTGTAAACAAAGTCAACATTTCACCCAGGGTATACGCGAACAATACCCCTGTTAATATGTGTAATGTGTGACGTCATAATGGGCTGTAGTAATGGCGGACCATAATGAATATTAGAAACATTTTGGTGAGTTTTCATGTTCGAATAGTAATATAAACTTCAGAGCAGGTGTAATATCATCGAATACATCCCTAAGGGCTAGGCACAAAAGCTTTTGAACCCCCCACTTCCTTCGGTCAGTCGGGGTACATAAAACATTTGTGCCTAGCCCTGCGGGGTGTATTCGACAATATTACCCCTGCTCTTCAGTCTACATTTCTTAAAAATAGCCTCCAATCTGCAAATTTTAACTTCAAAATGATCGATAAAAGAAAAATGACTAAATTTTAGAAATGCTTGATGAAATAAAAAATTTACTGGACGCAAGCCTGTTAATACCGGATGGCATGCGTCCTGAACATTTTCATTTCGTCCGGTATTTCTTTATATTTCGTCATTTTTCTTTTTTCGATCATTCCAAAGCTAAAATTTGCCATCTGGAAGTTGTATTCTTATTCCATACACAAGAAAATTGCATATCTTGTCAATGAAATGGTAAATTAAAAGAAATCTGACTCTTTTCGTGCATTTCCTGGGAAAAAATCAAAGTATTTCCGTGTTTAACTCCACATTACAAAAAATCTAGATGGATGGATGACTGTCATTTTATAACAATTGTGTGTTCCTCAATGTACTGGAAATCTGATGAGCCTGTTTCTAGATAAGGAAACACTGTAAAACGATCACAGGCTACCGAGTAAAATCACACCTACCTCTCTCTGGATCAAAAATGGAGGTCTGCGTCCAGTATCTCAGTTTGTACCAGACGAAAATATTGTTTTAATATTTCTAACCCCTGCGTTTCTAACCCCTGCAACTTGTGATTTTTTTCAGAATCAGACCATGTTTTGTATTGATCCCATTTACAAAATACAAGAATTTCCAAACATTTATACTAACTGCCATGTCAGCAGTTTAATACTATTTACATTGTACTTGGTCTGTTGTGAATGGATATTTCAACACAATTTTTTCAATTTTTATTTTAAATCCAATGTTCTAGCATGGTTGTTCATTTTGTATTGTTCCTTTATTTCATTTTACATGCCAATTTTGTTTTGTGATAGCATCAATTCTTTTTGCCAGTCTAAGGCTCATAATCAGAAACATGTTAATATTCCATTGATAATCAATGAAGTGGGATGTCATTTTGAAAAATGGTGGCCCTCACACCTTATTTCGTAGAGGGTTTATGTTTTGATATGTAAATACTTAGAAGCTTGTGATACTGTCAGATGATACTTTGGCTAGTAAGAGGGCAATTTTATTGTGTCGTGGATTGATTTTATCGAAATTTTATATGTAAATACTACTTAAAAGCACACTGCCAAGTGATAATTTGGCTAATATGTGATTATTTTTTAGGTGTTTCTTTTTTATTTAAAAATAGCAGCCATTTTTATTGCTGTAACTCGAATAGTAGTGGAGCGATTGTCTTCATATTTGATATGTGAATACTTCCCACTGTCTTGTGAAACTTTTACTAGCAGGTGACCATTTTGAAAAATGGTGTCCATTTTGATGTGTTATTTTGCATTTTTGTTATAACTAGACTAGAAGTAGAAATTGTATATGTTGTCCTTACAAACATATCGTACTGTCTAATGAGAATTTGGTTAATTGCAAAAATGGCAGGCATTTTTTTTTATTTTAGAGTTATTACTGTAACAAGCACTATAAGTAGTATTTTGATATTTTACATGTAAAAACTTTGAATCATGACACATTTCATTTCGATGATTTTTTAAAAAGCAGCTACTTGCAAAATGGTGGTAAAATGATTTTGTCGATATTTATTGGGACTATGTAAATACTTGCAAGTATGACACATTATCTTTTAGCCATTTTGAGACATAATTTCTAGCAGTGTTGTCTGAAACTGACATTAGCTGTTTGATGGGATTTGCTATGCCTTTGTGTCGCTGTTATCTAGTTCTTATTTTGGTTGTTTAATCCCACACACTTTCATCTTAATAATTGACAAAACAGATGATTATTTTTATTTTTTTATTTCAAATATTGAACTCTGTTAAGATATAAACAAAATATATAAATAAGTAAACATGTTCTTTGAACAAATACCAATGCATTTGATTGAAAATTGTCACATAGAAATAAAAACGAGATTTGGCAACTCATTGAATTTGGCATTAAATGATTTCATTACACAAGTTAGTGTATAAATATTCAATGTCCATTGTGTATAGTAGATTATCTCATGAATTTGGACTTTCTGGTGTTTCCCTTCAAGTGAATCTTCTGATGTCGGTTCAGGTTCCCAGACTGGGTGAAAGCAGCAGGGCAGGTGTCACACTTGTAGGGCTTGTCACCAGTGTGGGTCCTGACATGCTTGGAGTAGGTAGAGTAGTCACTGAAGCCACGACGACAGAACTCACAGCTGAATGGCTTCTCGCCTGTGTGGGTCCTGGCATGTGTCTTGAGGGTGGCACTCTGGGCAAATGTCTTGTGGCAGATGTTGCAGGAGTATGGTCGCTCCCCAGAGTGGACCCTGATGTGGTTTGTGAAATTGGCACGGTTTGTGAATCTCTTTCCACAGTAGGTACATTTGAGCGCAGTCTTGTCCTTGGAGACACAGGCACGTGGTTTGCGACTTGGTTTCATTGGCAGTGGAGACTTGAAGCTTGGTGATGCCTTTTGAGAGTCAGTGTTCAGATCATTTACCATGTCTCTGAGGATGGAGTCATTCACGGTGGAGTAGAGCGTGGGGGTGATATCCTGGAGTGTGTTATCAGCAGAGCACTGGGAGCTGGAGCCAGTATTATACTGATGTGGCTCCAAGATTGGGATATCACAGGTATTTTCTCTGTTGATGTCATCTACCATATTCTGGTACAGAGTGTCATTCATGTTGGCTTGGATGGTGGGTGTGATATCTTGTAGAGTTGTATCCACGTTTGGTGTTAGGCTGTTATAGTCCATTGCTGGTGTGATATCCATTAAAGAATTACTGTGACGAGTGTCACAAGTGTGGATGATCGGGCCCATTTGTTCAGCTGGCGTAGTAGATACAAGAGGTGCGTTATCCCGGTAACCAGTCTCCTCATCCAAGAACACGGCAGCAAGGTCAGACACTTTCATCTCTTGTAGTGGGTACATGAAGTCCAAATTGATGTCACTGTCAACAGATTCTCTCAGAAGAGATCCACAGCGAGTGTTGTTCATATCAGTGATGTTGTCCTGGTTGCTAGGTGACACATACTCCATGAGACAGTTGTTGCTATAGTGATATGATGAGACATCTAAGAGAGACTCTGTTGTGTAGTTATCCATTTTATTTTCTTCTCTTATTTGTTTCAAACTTTACTTTAATATCTGCTTGTTTGTTGTTTATCGCTGTTTGTGTTATAGTTCATGTGCTGTAGATTGCTCTAAGACTGAATGAACTCAACTGATTTTACATATATATATATACCAATCTAGGGTGTTGATCCTTTTTGATTCGAGGGTTTGTAAGATCAATGGCAATGGGATTATGGATCAAATGTTTCACCTGAAGACTTGATGGGGTTTTTATGTTTTGTTAATCTTGTTGAAAACATCAAAGTTTTAATCTTGTACATCATCAAACATATTATTTGAATTATTAAACTGGATTTTAATCTGTTTGATAGTACAATTATTGACCAGAGTAAAAAGGTTTTGAGAAAAGTGTTTTTTAATCTGTTTGATATTTTATACAAAGAAAACTTCAGTTTTATACAAAAACGTATATTATTCCAAAACTGTTCAGCAATTATACTTTTTGCTATACAAGTAATTTCTCGTGTTTGAATACGTAATTTAGACATTCCCAAGGTCAATTACAATTAACTTGATATCAAATTATGTGCCTATGAATTTCAGGGAGTGGTACAGGGGGTGAATCTATCTGGGGTGGTGAATTTGAAGATGAATTCCACCCAAATCTACGACATGATAGACCATACACACTCAGTATGGCTAATGCTGGCCCCAACACTAATGGCTCACAGTTCTTCATTACAGTGGCACCTACTGTAAGTATATATAGATACATATACATATTACATGTAGTTTTTTTAGATTATTTGTTTCCATTATTTGAAGATACCTCGGATGAAGAAAAATAAATTATTGTAATTAGGTGACTTCTGTGCAGTAGACAGAGTCAATTTTGTGACAGTAAGCTTACAGTAAAATGTTCCTAAATAGAGCCATGTGAAAGATATTACGAAGTATTATATGCAAGTTTGTATACTTATTAACCAATTTTCATGTGTTTTTCAGCCGTGGCTTGATAACAAACATACCATATTTGGGCGGGTAACAAAAGGCATGGAAATTGCACAGAACATTTCAAATGAGAAGACACATCCAAAAACAGACAAGCCATACGAGGATATAAAAATCATAAGTGTGACTTTGAAACAATAATATTTTTATACTGAATGATGATATGCAAATAAAAAAAGTAAATATAATTTGTATTAAGTCCAGTATTAAGTTTATGATTATCTACAGTGGCAACAGTTATTTCCTGAAACAAAAGGTTTATTTAGGCACTATTTGGTGAAGTTGGATGGATGACATGGATTTAACAGCATTGGGGGCTAAAAAGTTTGGGAGCCTGATTTTAATTTCACCACCAGAAGTGGTGACATATGACATGTTTGGCGGTTGGTGTCTGTTACAAACTGCAGGTGGCGACACTTTGCATGTTGATGCCTTGTATTGTCATATCGTAGTTATATTTTGAAAATTCCATTGAGAAATATGTCCTCTTTTACAACCCCCTCCATAAATATAGGAAGAAGTTTTCTTGGATAATATATTAAAGCCTATCAATGTTTGAACTTTTTGACAAATTCGATAAATTGTTTTAAATGTTCAAACATAAAGGGCTTTGATAAGTTGTCCAAAAGGGAACTTCTAGTTCCTAAACGTATGGAGGGGAGAGTATGAGATAAATGGTTGTTAAGACTAGCACCACTTCACAGATCAAAAGTAGAACCCATTTTTTTTCGATTATGTCATGCTTTCATTTGTTCTTAAAGTAGTGAGGTAGATTTAGGGAAAATACCATAATGCTCTGTGGCATCAAGAAAATTTTCACTTTTTGGCCACGCCCCAAAATTCAAGATATAAATAGAGAAGCCGTGAAGAGGTTTTACTTAGCACAGAAATTACAGACTCTTTTTTAGCTGTTACACAAATTGTACAATTAACTGGACAGAAAGCATAACACCCTAGGATTGTAACATTTCATGAGCTGAATAAGTGGGTATTTAATTTAAAGGGACACAAGATCCTATAATTTTGAATTTCAGATTAATTATGCCATTATTTATGATCCAATGGATGTTTTTCTTGCCAATCCCATCTTGGAATTGAAAATCAAACTGGTAAAATGAGTATGGCCAACCCTGAGTAGGAATAAATAAATGAGTATGGCCAACACTGAGTAGGAATAAATGAGTATGGCCAACACTGAGTAGGAATAAAAAACATACTAACTGCAAGACAAACTAAAGCACCAGTTCTTATCAGCGGCTTAACTCCATTAAGATAATAGATGTTTGCAATTGCTACACATTTTACAGCTTTGAACAATTTTAAATAAATGAATGCATAGAAGTAGAACAGAGTATACCCTGCTCGCAGAGTCTAGTAATAAACTTTAGTATAGACTAAATTACAGTTTAGCAGCCACGCCCCAAAGATTGGTGCCGGTGACAGCCCGGGTAATAAATCATTTCAAATCAACCACACTGACCCTTTCTCAAACAAACAGCGAAGTGGAAGGAACACTTGCTAAATCCGTGTCAATCGACTACGCGAGGATGTCAGAAGAAATGACCATATAGAAAGTCATCTGTATTTCGACAACGAACTCTGATCATAGATTTATTGTAAACTGAAAGAGTGAAGAAGCAACTCTGTTAAGAAGTAAAGTCGAACGAATGCAAAGAGGGTAAATAGAGTAGAGTATGGTGATTATATTTATCAAGTCAGGTCAAAGGTTTACAAAGGCAAAATGTAAATGCTAGATTTCTACATGAGCTTTGAAAGCCCATGATTTCTATCAAACCTTACCTCGGATATAACTGATGTTATGTGAATTGCTATCTGATAATGATACAGAGATAATGTAGTGCCATATGCTATTATTCCACAACTAAAGTACAAATAAACTCTGGCTTTGTATAAAAAACCTCCTAACTCATACTGACCTTCCCACCTGCGCGGAACACGATACAGTCATTGAAGGGTTCAATTTTAAAGATTATAAATCTCAAAATAGCTCAAGTTATTTACATTTCTACGATTCCGGCTTTATTTTATGACTAGACAGATGACAGATCCATAAATAAAGGCATATGGATGCATTTTAATGTGTAATGACCCGAGGGCGCCCCAGGGGAATAAATAACTAACGACCGCGAGCATAGGTCCAATAAGCCAGATAAAGAAATTGAAAGAAAGTGTGCTAAATTCGATACTCTGAGTGGGAATCAAACCCAGCTGGGATGTAGTAGCAACTTGCTATCAAGGGTCGTTACAAATGCATCTATAATTCATCATAAACTAAGATTTAATAAACTAAGATCTTTAAAATTGAACCCTTCAAAGACTGTATCATGTCCCACGTATGTGGGTAGGTGGGTATGAGGTAGGAGGTTTTTTATATAAAGCCATAAACTCTTGTACATATGTACACTACCCTTCAAATTATTCAGAAACGCAGACTCCTCAACCTTGTTAAGTTTTTTTATGTTTTTTTTAAATACTGTATTATTATTTATTTATGTCACCACACCAAGTGTCATTGTTGTTGTTATGGTCTCCAACCTTTTTTTGTGGATGACAGTCGGTGTTTTGTTCATCTATAATATGGTACCTGTAACAAATTGTGTCTGTAACAAATGGCAGCTGGTGACATTTTACATGTTGCTGTCTTGTTTCTTAAATATACATAAGTTCAGAATTTTATGAAAAATTTTACAAACTTTTTTTTAAAAAACTGTCAAACATAAACAAGCTTTTATAATGTGTCTCAATAAGGGAGTTGGTGTTCTTAAACTTTTGGAGATGAGTGTATGTCTTATCACAATCTCGAGTTACAGAGTCTTTACTTGTACTGTTCATGTTTCACTAGTGTACTGTTTATGTTTGACTAGTGTTACTGTGACCAAAGATCTGAAATCAAAATTATATTGCCTATCTAGTGAGCAAGAAAAAACAAACAATGGGTTTGAAAACAACAGTCATAGGGAGTTATCCTAAACCAGACTACCTGAGTCTACCAGACTGGTTTCGTTTGAACAAGGACAGATACACAGCCAGGCACTTTAATGAATCAATTGAAAATGCACCAGAAGGTAATTTAAATGTTTAACTTTATTTTCAAATGTATGTATGTACATTTAAAGAGTAACTGTTTACATTATTCATTCAAGAAAGGTAAAAAGTATAGGTACTTGTCAAGGAAAATTGGCTCCCAGGATCGAACATCGATATTTTCCAACAATGAAACGTTAAAATGTCGTTATTTTCTGAAATTAAAACCAACTATAAATTCAAAATAAACAGTTCAGAAGATTCATACCAATATCTTGATCATTTCTTGTCAGTTTTAGAATTTTTCGTTAAGAAATAAGACCAAAATTCACGATTCAAATGTTGAAGTGAACAAAATTGCGGCCGTTTGAATTCAAATTTTATAACGCAACATCTCCATATATGGGACAGAATATCGATGTTGCACTCTGGGAGCCAATCCTCCTTGGGTTCTAGTATGAATAACAAGATATATACATACATGAACTGTAATGAGATATATAAGAACTCACTTTAATTGTACCAGATTTAGAGAAGACCATCATGTTGGCCACAGAAGATGTGATGAAACAGCAAACAGAGATGGGGATCGATATTATCACAGATGGTGAAATAGCTAGGGAAAACTACATTTGGTATTTTTGGTAAGTTCCCCCCTTGAACCTGAAACTCAAGACACTCTGAGGGAACAGAGTGAACAATGTCTCGAGCCCTGCATTCAAAGGATGGGAATGTTTTGTGTGGATGGATATTTAAAAATGCCATTTTTTCAATTTCATACATTTTGTGTTTTACATGTTGTATGTTGTCTTACTCTATGTAATAAAAATCTGATATGTGACAATTTTTCTTTCATTTTAAGTAATTTTAGGAGTAAGTTTTCAATGACTGTTCAAAAATGTAGAATTGATTGTCATCTTAAAAAACTTGAATTTTGGGATCATGTAAATATACTTATGGATAGTGTCTGATAGCATCACTTAAGCATTCATCCCAAGCTATCTCATCTATCAAAAGCTACACTAGATCAGAGCATGTATTTTACATCAATTAATTGTAATAAAATTTAGCTTACATTATTCCAGTCGCCAGTTAAAGGGGTTCAACTTTACAGAGTTAACTCCAACAGTATACAGGAATGGAGCCTGTAAGACTGACCTACCCACAATAGATGGCCCAGTTGCTCCAATGTCTGAGAAGCCTTGGCTCTATGAGAAGTGGCTAGCAATACAAGCTTTGACAACCACCGCTGTGAAGATGACCATTCCTGGCCCTATGACTATCATTGGCACAACAGCTAGTATGAATATGAGTTATTTCCACAATATCATAGCCCTATGACTATCATCGGCACAACGGCTAGTAAGAATATGAGTTATTTCCACAATATCATGGCCCTATGACTATCATGGGCACAACAGCTAGAAAGAATATGAGTTATTTCCAGAATATCAGCCCTATGACTATCATGGGCACAACAGCTAGTAAGAATATGAGTTATTTCCAGAAAATCATAGCCCTTTGACTATTATGGGCACAACGGCTAGTAAGAATATGAGTTATTTCCACAATATCATGGCCCTATGACTATCATCGGCACAACAGCTAGTAAGAATATGAGTTATTTCCACAATATCATGGCCCTATGACTATCATGGGCACAACGGCTAGTAAGAATATGAATTATTTCCACAATATCATGGCCCTATGACTATCATGGGCACAACAGCTAGTAAGAATATGAGTTATTTCCACAATATCATGGCCCTATGACTATCATGGGCACAACAGCTAGTAAGAATATGAGTTATTTCCTGAATATCATAGCCCTTTGACTATTATGGGCACAACAGCTAGTAAGTAACAGCTAATATCATACCCCTATGACTATTATGGGCACAACAGCTAGTAAGTAACAGCTAATATCATACCCCTATGACTATTATGGGCACAACAGCTAGTAAGAATATGAGTTATTTGCACAATATCATGGCCCTATGACTATTATGGGCACAACGGCTAGTAAGAACAAGGGTTATTTCCAGATTATCATGGCCCTATGACTATTATGGGCACAACAGCTAGTAAGAATATGAGTTATTTCCAGAATATCATAGCCCTATGACTATTATGGGCACAACGGCTAGTAAGAATATGAGTTATTTCCAGAATATCATAGCCCTATGACTATTATGGGCACAACGGCTAGTAAGAACAAGGCTTATTTCTACTATATCATAGACAAGTGACATAAGGTGATATAATGCACGCATGCCTTCTCTTGGACTGTTGTATGCTAGCCTTTGAATTCGGTGTCCCATCCTCATTTAAAGTCTCATAAAAAACCATTGCGCTTAAAATTGTCCACAATTCATGGAGTCCAGAACTTACATCCTCAAACATTTTACCTAATTTTTGTACACTATTCTCCAAAAGTTCGGCAGAAGTCCCTCTTTATGTCACCACAAGAACTGGTGACATATCGTTATAGTCTCTTACTATTTGTGGTCGGCAGTTGGTGTTTGGTGTCTGTAACAAATAGCAGCTGGTAATATTCTGTGTGTAAATGTCTTGTTTAAGCTATTGTAATCTAGGAAAAAATAATATCTAAACATTTTAACAGGCTTAACATGATTATGAATGCCAAACTTTAAGAAGGTGTTCAATGTACTTTATATTTGTAATAAACAAAATTACAATCTCTTTCCCTCACATGAGACTCTACATATCTAATTTTAAAATCCCCTCTCAGAAGTTGGAAAACTAAATCACGATCTGAGAAAAAAATTATTCCTTACAATTTTAATTAATTTACAGACAAGTTTTATGTTGGACGTGAGCAAGAGCTTAGTGAGATTCTGGTGCAGTGTATCAACAGAGAGGTGAATGCATTAGCTGAGGCTGGCTGTAAACACATCCAGATAGATGAACCTATTTTGGTGCGCAGTCCAGATATAGCAATGGACTATGGTATCAAACATCTAGCTGCATGTTTTGAGGTAACTAAATTATGGAAGGTCTGAGGAAATATATACAGGCTGGTCCAAAAAAGCCACCATTTACAGCATTTGTAAGTTACATTTTTGGGGCATCCTAAATTTTTATGTACTATTTGCACTTCTTTAGGTGGGTGTAGCTAACACGAATTTTCCGATCTTTATCTGTATATTCTTCTTTTTGAAAATGCCATTTGTAGTTTGATAAAAAAATCTGTACTGTAGCTCCATATCTAGTATGTGAGCAAAACCCACATTCTATACATTACTAAGATCTGTGTCAAAAGTTTCATCGATACAAACACACTTAACACATTTAATATTTCCCCTTTGATCTAAATCCATAAAATTCTTCAAATAGCAACATTTTTAGGGCATTAACAAAGATGTAGAGAAGTCCATTCACCTGTGCTGTGGCTATCCCCAATACTTGAACCAGGTTGGCTACTTAAAGGCAGATGCTCAGATATACCATGACCTTGCACCAGTGCTGGATGATGCTGGATTTGATGCGAGTGAGTCTCTACTCTACCATAATACTAAAGAGTCTTGCATTTAGCCCTTGGGTCTCTACTCTACCATAATAGAATAGGGTGGGGGTGACAAGAACCAGAGATTTGATGTATAGCTGACATGTTCAATGGGGTAGACTGGCTTTTTCACATCAGCCCTTAGCACAGGATTTCATTCTGTGTTTTCATTAACCAAAAGGAATACATAGTAAACAAAATCATTATTTTAGGTTTTTATTGTCATCACCAAATAACATTGTCTAGTGTGAACATTTTTTTAAATACTGAATATTCTGTAAATATAAATCAAAATGACTAGTTTGTCCTATAATGCTGGTAGTTCATGGTTATTTGGGAAATTCTAGTAATTAACAAAACAATAAAAGACCCACAGTGAGAGAAAATAATCATAGGTTTTGGGCCAATATAAAGATAGCAGCTGTGGTAGAATCTTTAAACACAGATTGATTGGGCTGCTCTCCTTATAGGCGGGCAGAATTGGAGGTCCAAAAAAAGGTTTAATGTACAGTTGCAACATGTTTCTCGTTATTTCTATTGCCCTTTAAACTATGGAAATAATTTTAATAGTAGATTCTATACTGTAAAACAAGTGTAAGTGGAACATCCATAGTACCTCAATATAGTGTTTCGCTAAAAGAGGTTCATTTTATATTAAAGTAATAGGTAACTGAACTTTGTAAAGTGTTCCACTCATGAAAGTGTTTCACATACAGATGTGTTCTACTTTATAGGTTTTATGTCTTGTATTATTGAATAATAATTAATATTGGTATAATAAGAACTGTATCTTGATTTTCAGTTTCCATCGAAGATGCTCATAGACACAACGACCTCACGCTGTTTGATAAATTTAAGAAATCCACCATAATACTTGGTGTTATTAAAATAGCAGAGGACAAAATTGAGACAGTTGACGAGATTACTACCAGGGTACAGCAAATCCTGAAACACATTCCAAAGGAAAGACTTATATTGGCTCCTGATTGTGGACTTGCTATGTTACCTATGGAAGTATTAAAGTTGAAAGTTGCAAATATGGTAGCTGCAGCAAAGTTGCTTTAATTAAGAAACATTGTGGACTCTGCATCTGAGATTATATTTTCTGTCCATATGATGACATAACAAAAAATGCTCATTATGTGGATTTAAACATTCATTGTATCATAGAGTTTAACATATATAATGAATAGACTAGATGTACATTTTCATTTTGTACATTTTTATATGTGTTCTTTCAAATTGTATTTTGCAAACAACTACCTGTGCTAGTACATGTATTCTCAAAAACTCTTTGAAAAAATACAAGCAACGTTGACTGTCCCTGACCAGAACCTTGAATGCAGTGCATATCTCTAAAATTATTTTTATTTATTCATGACTAAATGTCACAGATATCATCAATTCCATACAAACTAGGGATATCTTTGAGCAACAGATAGTCTTTAGACTTAAGATCAAGGAGTGCTGCAGCTTCATTGATTCTAGTTATTCCACCTAGGATTTTTCTGATCTGTTTTCTGCATTGCGATTTTAGTCCAAATCCATGTTGTAGAAGTTGATTATTAATGGAAATCCTATTTTCATCGGTTAATCGATTTTTCCAAAGTGGCATTCTGGGTAAAACACTTGTATCACAACCTGCTGCCACTAACATTAAAGCGACATCTGGTGGCTGTTTGTATAAAATTGTTTGCTTAAACGCAACCTCAATAGGGGTCTCTGGTCGATCATATCGGCTATCTGACAATACACGATTTGGTGTGTCCATATCACAGTTATAATAGAGGAGTTTATAAACAATGTCCTTCTTATTTTCCATAACTCTATTAATAGCACACATTAATGGAGTGTTGCCACGGTCATCGCTCATCCCCAATGGAGACCCCTTGGCTAGTAAAACATCAATGATTTCATGTGAGCACTTGCTGCTTATTGCGATATGTAACGGTAGCTGACCATGTATGGTGTTTCTAATAGTGAAATCTGCACCTTTTTCTATAAGCAGCAGAGCTATATCAGTATGTTTTTTAGAGCATGCCAAGTGCAGTGCAGTATTCCCCTCAGCATCGATGTAATTTACGTCAATACCTGATTCCAGGAGTAGCTCCACAAGGGACCTGTTATTGTTCTTGGATGCTTTATGTAGCACACCTAGTCCACAGGGGTCCATCTCCAGACTGTGCATGTTGGCACCATGGCTGATCAGGAACTTTACAACATCAATATTTCCTGAAACAAGAGTTAATAAAAATTAGCAATATTGTGAATATGCCAAAACATTTCCTGATTTCCAAATGTTACTTGTACTTTGTAAAACATTTACAATGCCACGGAGTACAAAATCTCAATAAACAAATTATTCAGCCTATCAATCTAAAATATGTCACATTATTTACATCTCTTGAAAACTGAGATGACTAGGGAAATGGAAACGACGGGTGAAATAGATACTATTGATAGACATAAAATGAATGTAGATCCAATGTATGACCTAATATGAATGTAGATATGACCTAATATGAATGGCAATTTCAATTTGTACCACAAGTGTTGATGGTTGGACTGAAGGACTGATAGATGGAGGGATTGATGAAACAATGTTAGAACACCCAGTCAATACTTCAAGCAAATCATTTACTTCATAGAACACTTTCCACCAAATATGACGAAAATTTCTCCCGTAGTATTTCCATTACTTTTCCAGCCAACAGATGGACTGATGGATGGATGGGCAGAGGACTTGATTACCAAACTTTGTTCTTTGGTAAACAATCACTGAAACCCAGACAATCTTTTTCAATTCTTCAATCAAAATGTTTACCTTCTGGATATATGTTAGTTATATGGACTGCCATTCATCACCAACATCAAACAAACAAACAAACAAACAAACAAACCTGCTGTCACTGCAGCATGTAGAGCAGTCTCTCCCTTCTCATAGTCCACATTTAACCCACTGTCCAGGAGCACCTGTATACATTCATGCCCTCTAGGATGGGTGGCAGCATGGTGTATTGCACTATAGTACTGCTTGTCAAAGTGATGAATGTTTGCTCCTAAGGAAAGAAGCAATGTAACAACTCCAGGGTGGTTGTGTTTACATGCTTCCAATAGAGGGGTGACTCTATCTGAAAACAAACCCGATAATGCTTGTTTAAGTAAAACAAATGTATTATTCGGAAAAAGTAAAGTGAAGGGATGAAAAAAAAGAAACCACAAACGCTAATACAAATGCAGGTACAAAACGCGGGTATAAAGTGTAACAATTTCTTACAGGTATAACCATATCAAGGCAAACTCTGCTAGACATAAATAATTCAGCCTATAACAATATGTAACCACATCTAGGTGGTAACATCATACACCACATTTGTCTCATTAAGGAGAATCACATAATAGATTTGATAATAAACACACATAGAATTGTTTATATTTTAGACCTGCATTTTATGTTCTTGTTGGTCATTATCTCCATTATCTCTTTGTAATATTGAGACATCAAAATGAAGTAGTAACTGCACTACTGAAATATCAAAATAATTGAAATAAAAACTTGTGTATACTGTGCATGTACACAAGTTTTAAACATGAAAAACATCCAGTTTTCATGACTCTAACAATCTGTTTGATGATAATCACATGAATGATTAAAACATTTAAATATCAAACAGATTACATAGTTACTATGTATTTCTTTTAAAACAATTTCATAGTGTACCAAATTATTCAATCAAACAGATTAAACATTTAATGAAGTTACATAATTCCAATATTATGTTGATGTTTATAAGGGAAATGATTTTAACATTGAAATATCAAACAGATTATACAAAAGAATTTATTTTTATATGTGTACCATATTTATACTACTATCAAACAGATTAAACATTAAATCAATGGAGTTTTATAATTCAAATAATCTGTTTGATCATTGATACAAGATTAAAACTTTAAATGTTTTGAATGGGATTAATAAAACATTAAACACAATCAAGTGATGAGTTAACTCCCTTGATCCTTGATGCCATTTCAATGAATCCTGAAATTCCTTTGATCAACAAGATCAACACGCAGGATCTGTATATATATCCATGCGGAATCAGTAAACAACATTCAGTCTTAGAGCAATCTACAGCACATGAACTAACACAAACAGCGATAAACAACAAACAAGCAGAATTAAATCACGAACTTTGACACAAGAGAAGAAAACAATATGGATAATTACACAACAGAATCTCTCTTGGATGTCTCATCATATCACTATAGCAACAACTGCCTCATGGAGTATGTGTCACCTAGCAACACTAATATGAACAGCACGCTCTATGGATCTCTTCAAGGAGAACCCGTTGACAGTAGCATCAATTTGGACTTCATGTACCCACTACAAGAGATGAAAGTGTCTGACCTTGCTGCCATGTTCTTGGATGAGGAGACTGGTTACCGAGATACCACACCTCTCGTATCTACTACGCCACTTCCATCACCTGAACAAATGGGCCAGATCTTCTACACTTGTGACACTCATCACAGTGATAATATCATGGATATCACACCAGCGATGGATTATAACAGCCCGACACCAAACGTGGATACAACTCTACAAGATATCACACCTACAATCCAAGCCAACATGAATGACACTCTCTACCAGCATATGGTGAATGATATCAACAGCGATGATACATGTGATATCCCCAACATGGAGCCACATCAGCATAACATCATATCCAGCTCCCAATGCTCTGCTAACAACAAACTCCAGGATATCACCCCAACTCTCTACACAGTGAATGACTCCATCCTCAGAGACATGGTGAATGATCTCAACACTGATTTTCATAGCGCATCACCAAACTTTAAGTCGCCACTGCCAAAGAAACCAAGTCGCAAGCCACAAGTTGGTGTCTCCAACAAGGACAAGACTGCACTCAATTGTACCTACTGTGGGAAGAGATTCACCATGTAAACTTCAAGAACCACATCAGAGTCCATACTGGAGAGCGACCATACTCCTGCAACATCTGCCACAAGACATTTGCCCAGAGCGCCACTCTCAAGACACACGCCAGGACCCACACAGGCGAGAAGCCATTCAGCTGCGAGTTCTGTCATCGTGGCTTCAGTGACTACTCTACCTACTCCAAGCATGTCAGGACCCACACTGGTGACAAGCCCTACAGGTGTGACACCTGCCCTGCTGCTTTCGCCCAGTCTGGGAACCTGAACCGACATCAGAAGATTCACTTGAAGGGAAACACCAGGAAATCCAAGTTCATGAGATAATCTACTAGGTTACACACAATGGACATTGAACATTTATACACTAACTTGTGTAATGAAGTCATTTAATGCCAAATTCAATGAGTTGCCAAATCTCATATTTTATTTCTATGTTACAATGGTCGATGAAATGCATATCTTTTAAACTATTACAAATGATTGTATATATATATTTTAACAAAGTTTTATATGTGAAATAAATAATATAATCAAACATATTTTTGCTTTGTTTTCTCCTACTTTTGTTGAATGAATCTGACACCATCAGTAATTAGGAGAGTACTCACTATGACGCTCAAGTATATCAATAAGAGCCCCGCCATAGATCAATAAGGTGCAAGACTCTACACTGCCACATCTTGCCGCCTCGTGAAGAGCTGTTGTTGACCTAGCAACACTCCTAGAGGCAACAGACACACTGTGCAGAATGTGGTAGTTGACATCAAATCCTAGGATAAAGATTCAACAATTCAAATCATGTAATTTTCGAATCAAAGAACATGAAACGAGCTGATGCAATGACTCCAAAATTAGCTTTACATCAACCCTGAATGATTTCTGCTAGATTGCTAAGCTTTAATCACAGGTGAACAGCGATACCAATGATTTTTAAATAAATAAAGATATGGCATGGTTATCAATCTGTGTTTATTTATAATTCTCTTTAAAAAAGATGAATAGGATTCTGCTGCTGCCACCTTTATATCCGTACAAAACCGATGACTAGAATGATTATATGGTCGCAACCTGGGGGATACAACAAAGTCAACAAACCTTTTTCGAATAGAATTTTGAGAACATCAGGATGAGGGACAGCATAGTAGACAGGAGGAGTTTGAGCCTTTGGTACCAAGAGACCAGAACTGGAACGTTGTAGGTCTGCTGGGTCAATGTATACATTGTCCTCACTACTGTAGTGATCTACAATGTACGTGGGGAGAATATAACATTTGAGGGTTACTTCATTTTAGGCAATCAATATATTTTCCTCTGCCGAATATCATATTGTCCCTCAGAATAAAATATATTATTCCATAATAACCATAATATCCCAGGGAAATAAACAGGGAATATAATTGATATTCAAAAAATTCTGTATCAGATCCCATATCAGCCAAAATCTTGTATCAGATGCCGTATTAGATCCTGTATCAGCCAAAATCTTGTATCAGATCCTGTATCAAAAATATTCCCAATTTTCCTAATTTTTACATTTTTCGTTCTATTTTCAAAGTAAATAAAAGAACAAAAGTTTAAAATGTTACATATATGATAAATCAAATTAAATCATTTTATGTCACCATCAATGGGTGATGACAGGTCATAGATACTTGAAAATTGATAAGTATCTGAAATAAAATAATGGAATAAATAGAGGTTATTTAATGGGAGGGATGGAACATGAATTTTATTCCAAGAGAAAAAATGATATTGGCCAAGGAAAATATCATATTGACACTTGGGTCGTTGCTGGCAGTCAATATCATATTTTCCCTTGGAATAAAATTCATATTCCATCCCTCCCATTAAATAACCTCTATTTATTTCTTTTCTCTGAGAATGGGAATTTATTTTAATATTGTGACACAACTTAAACGCAAACATAGGTACAGGATAAAATGTACATGTCTATAATCCATGCTATATATCTGGACATAAACAGAAATATCAAGGTCATGGAAATGACAAGTGAAGGTCATAAAGTCAACAGTTAAAATAAAATTAAAATTAATCCTGGGACATGGTCGTCCCAATGAGGTCATAATATATTGAATTATTAGGTCAAGGTCAAAGGTTGAACATGAAACAAGACTAGTGCGGTAATCTCAAAGAATTAATGTAACTTTATGTCTTGATGATGCCAACCACAAAGAGTCAATGTCACCTTCTAAGTCTTCTTGTTCCCTTATAAATCTTCAACGTCTTATCAAGATAAAATACACTAAAATACCGACAATTTTTACTTACCTGAAAGTAATCTGACGATATTTCCATACCCTTTACTACAAGCACATTGTAATGGATTCAGAGAGTTCTCCCCGAATGCTAAGAGCATTTCTCTAGCTGCAACCTGCAGAATTATCTCTACAATTGATTCACAGTTATTCAATACTGCAATATGCAATGGCAGGTTTTCAGGGTCTTGCTTTTCAGATCCATCCCGATTTTTCCCCCTATTTCGGTATTTGTGTCTTGCACATGGAATCATGAGATCACCACATCCATTCTCTAGATACAACTTAAATAGATCAAGTTTACAACGTTCAACTGCAATATGAAGGCTATTCACTCCAAATGCAGAGATTTTGAATTCTTCTTCTAAAGATGGGTCTAAGAAATTGTTGCATGAAGCTCCCCTGCTAATAAGGTATTTGTGGAAGTCATTCTGACGGTCACAATTAAGTGTCGCAGCAATGAGAATTGCATCTAAATCCATAGAGTCACATTCAATAGTATTGATGAATTGGAGAGCTTGGTCGAAGTTCTTTTCTTTAATCAAATTCAAGATAGCTCTGAAAATATAAATACATGTAACTCAGGCACATAGCCAGGATTTACCAGCGGGGAGAGCGGTTTTACCAAGTGGGCAGCTTTTGCCAAGGGGGGGGGGGCTTCTTGACATTTTTGGCAAAAAATCATGCAAAAAATGTTCAGAATGTTGAAAACTGCATGATTTTGAAAGAATTGCTGGGCAGGAGGAGGGTTATACCGTTCCCGGACTATAGTCCTGCACTGATCGCATTCATTTGCCTGTACGATTTCAACTTGGGAGAATTATCTACGCCCCTTACACTTAAGATACCTACCTCAATGCATTATAGATCTCAAGATGTAACTTCTAATATATTGGAACCGCTGATTGTCTGGGTATATCGGCAGAACGGGAACATTTTCTCTTTTTCATCGAGAGAGATTCCCCCGTTTGGCTGTCCCGGATGTAGCCCGGAAGTACCAATATGGAGGAATTTGACGGTTGAAATAAGTTAAATGTTACACGCAAATATTGCGATCAAAAACGAAAATGTCTTCGTTCTGCCGATAAACCCAGACAATTGTGGATTCAACTACACGAAAAGAATGCTAAATTACCAAGGAATCTATTGAAGTAGGTATCTGAAGTGTAAGATCAGTAAAAAATTCTCCCATGTTGTAATCGCACAGGCAAAAGATTGAGATGTTCACAGGACCATAGTCCGGGAACGGGATAAGAGGAGGGGAGCGGCTGCTCCCTCCGCTCCCCCTGGCTACTGGCCCATGTGTAAAACTTACATTATTTGTTTGTTTAGTTGTTGATGAGGCAATATGTGACTGATGTTACAGTGAACAACTTGTCACAGAACGAAGTGCCTCTTTTGCTTTGACTTCTAGGCTACTTTTACTTTCAGTTTCACTTTTCAATTGAAGCAAGTTCAGCTTTGATTTTGAAACATGTTTTTAGATGTAACGAACTCACCTGAAATCGCCGATTTTACTCATATCAATCGTGTTCCTAGAATATCAAAGAATGTCTTTATCATTGGTGCCTTATTATGTTATTATAAACGTAAGAGATGTAAAGAAACGAAAAATTCTGACAAGGGTTTGTTATGATTTATAGGTCAAGGTCGTTCAGTTACAAATGGTCAACTACAGCATGGTGTGGAAAACTGTATTCTGATATCACTAACCAATATTTTCCTTACAAAAGAGCCAAAACTACAGAATATTAAAATAGAATAGTTTCTGTCTATTCATTAATCAGGGTTAATGAAAATCTTACTTCATAATAAACGATTTCGTTTTGAAAATCCCAAAATACAAGAAGCGCCATCTAAAGTTGCAAAGAGGAACACAGTATGGCGGAAACAGAAATATCGATGGTAACATAAATCTTATTCAATTTTAGACTGTTTACATTTCAGTTAGCTACATTATATTTTTTGAAACATCAATACATGGTACAAAGTATTGGTACTGTAGATCTGAACAAACCTCGAGTATTATTGTAGATTTCTACTAAACGAATATCAAAATATTTTACCCCTAAGGCCTAATCCCATTCATGGCTTCTGAGGATGTCACTGTTGACACTTGACAGTGGGGTCAAACATGCAAAGATTGAATTCTTTACTGTTTAAGACATTCGAAAAGGAGGACAAACGTAAAAGAATGAGAAATAAGAGGTTCTCTATGTAGGGAAGGTGTTTTTTTTATCCAATATAAGTGTTCGTTTGTGAACTGACCACATGCCTGGGAACATGAATAAAAAAAAATTGAGTCGAATACAGGTAGGTATCAGAAAACAGAAAGTATGAAGAAGGCTGCCCTTAAGTTTGATCGTTAATTGTACTTAGATTATGGTTTGTCAGATTGTTTTTTATCTGATTTAAAGGAAGATAAAATAGTATTGCAATTCTAGCTACTTTTACTATTAACCAGGAATCATCTAAATTATTGATTTACCTTCTGGTGTTACTAAAACCCTAAATCATTCAAAATTTAATGTAATAGACTAATATGCGATAGACGAAAACATGGTCATTAACATAAATATCTCCCGCAATGCATCACTTCAAAATTGATATAAGTCAAACATATATAAACATGACATCAAACCCGCGTTATATACATGAGAACTTGCTTCTTTTTCATATCGAGTCATCGAGTCTCAGCTTCCGGGAACTAAGTCGGTGGCGTCACCGTAGAACATTTCATGATTATCGTCAGTTTCGAAACATATTCGTGAAAAGGCTTTGCAGATTGCCATAAGGACCTATATTTTTATCGATTGTGCAAATATCCGTGAAGAGGAATGTCAAATAATGCTGAAATTATGTATTCAAAATCGGACTCAGTATATTTCAATGGGGAAAAAACCCGGATGTAAAAAATTTGTTTCCGGAATTGGAGCTCTTCAACAGGGGAGGTGAGAATATTGTTGTCATTCTGAACTATCGCGTACACCTCTATTGGCATCCACGACATCGCCAAAACAAGATGGCTGTGGGTCTGGACCAGAGTTCCGAATTAACGCTCGCCACTCTCAATTTGCGAATAATTGGTGAAGGGTTGCGAACATTTTTCCAAAATAAGTCGCAAGTTTGGCGAATAAATCCTACCGTGAGCACAGATCCATTAGTGGTAAACTTACCAATAGCTGCCGAAAGTTTCCCGGTAATCCATTCCTTATATCTATCTCAAAAATGCTTTTATGTCGGGATAAAATATTTTTAAGTTTTTCAATATTTACTTCCGTCCTGTGCTGATGACACGACTAGTAAAAGATTCCCGCAATGGGGAATTTAACATAGGTACGGTTCAATTGTATAAAAATATTGGGTGTGTCATCGATTCACTTCGGTCCTAGTGGAAATGTGAAAAAAATAAAAAAGTGAGAGATAATGCAGTCAGTGACAAAGAAACGCAAGTTTAGAGAAGAGTGGTGTTACGGGAGACCATGGTTGAAGTGTCAGGACAACAACAACATGTTTTGCGCTCTATGCAAGGAGCAGGCAAAGCACGGTGGTGGTGACAAACGTAATACATGATTTTGATGTAAAAAATTGGTTGTTCTGATTCAGAAATATCTTTTTAGAAATCTTGAAGAAATACAAGATAAAAACCTTGAAATCAAAGCTTCAAAATGAGCCACAGAAATGCTCAGAATGCACCAATTTCGATGAAGATATCAAAATTTCCCGGACCCTCCTTAAGCTCGCTTCGCTCGCACTGCTCCGAAAAGTGGCTAATAAAATAAAAATTGGAAAATTAGCCACTTTGGCTAACATTAATTTTTCTTAATCCAGAACTCTGGTCTGGACAAAACTCTAAATGGAGCTCGCTTGCATTAACAGGTGAATTAAAGCTAATGAAAGTCTGTAAAATTTAATTTATATGAACAAAAGTTGAACGAAGGATTGGTCTTACTTGTGTGTGATAATTTGTTACAGGACAAAGCTTTAAGTTAATGAAACGAACCAAATGCAATAAGATATTTTTTTTGATACCCACTTAAGCTTTTTAATTGGTTTTATACATGCTCCTGGACCTATAGTATTGAAGGGATCACCTCATTGTACCAACACGCATTATACCGAAACCCATTATACCGACGCGCATTGTACCGAAAACCAATATACTGACGTGCATTATACCGAAAACCATGACGGGCTCCCCTTAGGCCCAAAGATTTTGTAATGCCTCAAAAATACACCTTTTTGAGCATTACTTGGCCTTTTGGGACTTTTTAGACCAAATTATCAAAAATGAGCCTTTAATTTTAAAAATTTGGGCTCAGTTTTTGGGGGCCCAAGAATGTGGCCACCCCCTTCTAAATAAACCTCTGAATAGATCCTATAATTTTACAGGTTACCAGCTCTGATTTTCTCAAGACTGAATTTATATAATATAGCGTCGTTCCTGATTATTTCTATCATGTCAGTGATCTCCCCATGTCACTTTTACCGGGGGCTCCCCCTACTTGAAACCAAAGGCCCCCCAGTTGGCACCCAGTTGGAATCTCCACTTCAACTTCTGATTTGAAAAATGAGTGAAGTAAGCACCTACACTGAGATATTGTGAGCGTAGCGAGTGCTGATTTTTCAGACTTGAAATCTTGCACCCAGTTGAAATTTTTTTTGGGGAGAACACTGCATGTACTTTTAAAAATGATGAGTGATTTGTTAAAATATGTTTTGTTTGTTGGGTTTTGCTACTCCTTGGATTTGCTGTTTTATAGTCTGATCTTTATCTGAAGAAAGTGACTTTACTCTCTATAAACATTTTGATGTTCAATATTTTAAATTTTGTAGGTTCCTGAAGAAATCATGACATCTCAAAAAGACAATCAAGCTATTATTCCACAAAATCAACAAAAACAACAACAACAACAACAACAACAACAACAACAACAACAACAACAATTCTAATGATGAAGAAACATACAATCATTTAAGAGGATTCAATCCCTCAAAACCTTTCCAAGATGGCCTCTGCAAAACTGAGTAAATTTGAGAGCTCTCCTGGGAGAAATCAAGAGTTTGTAGATTTTATGGAAAGTCAAAATCTCCTAAAGTATATTCATTTCTTTCCTCCTGGAATGACTTTGGGATATTTTCGTGCATTGACGGAAGATGACCTTTTCGATGATTATAACGTTTTAGACCGTCCAGTAAGAATTAAATTGATGAGGGCGGTTGGCCATGCAAGACTGGAGGATGACTTTACCGATACTGAAGCTGAGGTGAGAAGTTTTTTTCATTTATGTTGTTGAATATTTTGGTCAAATTACAAAGAAAGAAATACCAATGAAACTATTGGCTTTGTAGGGTATAAAAATGGCCTCAAAAGTGTTCACAATTTGTAGTGTTCACTTTAGAGGTATTGACATTCACACAGAATATCTGTTATTGATTGTAGGTAAGTAGAATGTAAATTCATTTTTTCATGGCATTTTCCCATGTGAATCATAATATCCCATTGGTTAGAATTAGAAATGACCAAAAATAAAAAGGAAATGACAGACTTGATGATTAGTCAATTAAGTTCTATATTTATCTGGAGGAATCTCGTGAATTGATCTAAATATTTTCATGGATCAAATATTAGTGCATTATATTTTGATAGGGTGTGTTTTGAGGTGTGCCATGCTAACTAGTTTTTGCCAATCACAAGTATTGTTACAAAAAAATTATTATGAAATGTAAAAATAAAAATAGACTTTAAGTATAAATAAATTTGTCCTTGGTTTACATGCCAGCTGCTGTTCATTTCCACTTTCTCATGTTAATGCCCTAACTGAACTGGACAAATTTGATATAATATGTACATGTACGATAGGTGTTTCTCTTTTGATACTGTGCTCAGTATACTTGTACAGTAGCATCCTTCATGATTGGACTTCACTGCTATTGCAGCTATTAAGGAAGCATTAAAATATTCTTGGACCAAGGATGGTCCAGCAGGTACTTTTCTTTTACTTTGATACTGTCACTGGTATTACACTCTTCAAACTACAGGTATTTTAACGAAACAGATACAGATCCGTTTCGGTAATAAAATGTTTGAACCTCAAAGGTTTGATTTTTCTTTTTTCCTTATTTCATGAGTTGTAGACAGAATCTCCATGACCTTTTTATCACAAACGTGTATCAGTATCATATGTTCAAGAAAATATACACATTTGTGAACAAACAGTTCAGAAGATGGCAGAATCATCGATATCAATATAGTATCTCACTTTTGTTAACTGAACTGAGTTAAACGTGCAAATCGTAACCATTTTTGAAATAACTCGTTTGAAGATTGCAGTACCAGTGACCATCTTGATTTTCAAGGTTTTAGTTGCTCCATGTTATAACCACTTGGAATTCGAAGATGACCAATGACAGGCCCGTAGCCAGGGGGGTTGGGGCGAACCCCTCCCCTGTCCAAAATTTCTTTCAAAATCATGCAGTTTTTCACCATTCTGACTATTTTTTGAGTAATTTTTGGCCTAATTTGCCAAAGTGAACCCCCCCTAGAATTTTTGGGAAAAGTGAACCCCCTTGGTAAATTCTGGCTACGGGCTTGAATGACTATGTTCAATGTTGTTGTGAATCCTTTTGATTGCAGTCCTGATAAAATGCCAGATAAACAAGTGCGGATAAGTCATGGTTTAAGTTCACTGGATTGAATGAATGTTATTGAAATCATTTTCTATGATAGCTAATGTTACCTCAACTAATTTTGTTTTTCTAGGTTAATAAGATGATCATGTATATTTTGAGCTAAACAGAAATAGAAAAATCAATTTCATTAATTGCAGTAGTGTTCAACATAAACCAGGGGTTTTATGAGCAGTAGGCCCTAGGCAGTTGTTTTTACCCAAAAATTGCCTGTCCTTGGAAACATTTACAAGTGTTTCCATGTTATAATTATGATTTTTGACAGTTTTGTCAATTGTTTCCTTAAGTTTTTTTGTTTTGATGTCGGAAATTCTAATGAAACTGTAAAGTAACTGTAAAGCCTTCTATCTGTTCAATTAAGATACTACATAACTGTGGAAATAGCATTTGTAAAGATTTCCTCTTCATTTCCTCTATCTACAGTATACATATAGTTAACAATTAGAGCATGTGTTTTTGCATGTCAATAACCTCTACTCTGGTACTCTGATGCCAAGTGACTAGTATTAATCAGATGAAGTTCTCTTTTAATGAAGTAAAATCAAACTCTTGTATAGGGTGCCATATATTATATACTGGCTGATCTGGGGGGGGGGGGGGGGGGGCTTGGATGGGACCAGAAAAATTTGGCCTAAAATTTTTTTAGGGCCTGATCAATGGGCCTTTTTGGTCCTTTTAAGGCCTTATTTTTTAATGTTAGTTCAAATTATCAAGAAAATGGGCCTTAAATCTTCAAAAAAATATTCACGCAAGCGCTGAATTTATTTCAAAACTTCAATTATGGCCCTTCTTTCTTGGTTCCCGGATCCACCCCTGCTATAGTAGACTATTGCGATTTTCACATTTATTATGTCTGTGGTAACATATTGTTATAGTCTCCAACTTTTTTTGTGGACTGTGTTCAGCAATTGGTGTTTGGCATGATATTTGGCATCTGTATGTTAATGCTTTGTTAAATGAATTGACTGTTGCCATTGTTACACCTCTCTAGTGTTCACTGAATGTAATATAACTGTGGACTCACTTATACTGTTATAAAGTTAAAACTTATCAGGGAATGGTCCATAAATTACAGCATACTGACTATTGCTTCAAGATACCCCTGTATGGAATTTTAAATGATCGTGGTTTGAAACATGTATAAAATAGGAAATACATAATTGAATAAGATATTAATAGGTCTCAAAAGCAGAGAAATAGGATAAGTTCAAAGGTGTACAGATAGAAACATTTTTTAAAGTATGAATTATGTTTTAGGTTGAAAGGTTCTGTTTTTATGGAATCTAGGCTTACTTCAAACATTTCATTCTCAGCGATAAAAACCTTCAGTAATTTACAGCTCTAAAGATAATTCAGACTTATTATATCTCTTTGTTTGATAGACACTCCATGTAGGATTTTCATAGAGAAATGAATGCTTAAAATTCCAATCAAAATTATAAAGGTGGATTTGCCAATATTCATTAAAAATCTTGGCGATTTATGATCACACTTTAGAGCCTTGATTTACAATCCCTTGTTTAAAGTCAAAGTTGTGAAATCAGAGAGTAACATAAATATGTCAAGATAACTTAATGCCAATACCTTAGAAGCTGGAGCTTTTGAAGTACAGAAATGTACAGTAAGTCTGGTAAGTTCTCACTGTCAAACTCTAACTCTTGAGTATATCTCATAAAACATTGATCTTGACCTCCGGAACTCATTTGCCACGCTATAAATGGAACTTCAGCCTTTTAGCCCTATCATAAATATGTTTTCATTGATTTGTTACAAAATTTATGGGGATTATATTCTGAGCTATTGGTTCTTGTAGAATGTCATAATATTTAGGTTTGTCTTCATTAAAATGGGTAAATGTTGTCCCAAAGTAAGAGCTTCGTTATTGATCGATTTTTTATTTTTATGTTTTCAATTAGTGTCTATACTGGTATAGGTATACTAATCATGTACCTACTCTAAATACTATTTACAAAGAGTACATGTAGATGACTCAGTTACCATTTGTTTATAAAAAGCAATTATTGATGAATATTACATTATTCATGTATTAAAAAAAACTAGACATGGATCACATCTCAAATGAATACATAAATGAAGTAGCTAAATCCGAGTATATCCAGTAAGTCTTGTATTAGAGCTTTTCACACAGTCTGCTCGCTGTGTTTTTTGTAATTGTGTTTTCCATAATAGTGTTTTCCATCAGGCGGTCTCTTTGAACTTGGAGAAAAATGATAAACATGTGAGTTATTCATCATAAAAAGTCTAGCACAAATGAATCATTGTGATAAGCATAATGCATGGGATACCATGTCAGACTGTTTCTACTTACTACTAGAGGGAATAACAGAAAATGTCACTTTGACTCCATCTCATAGTTATTGTATATTATACTCCAAATGAGCGCTTTTGTTACTGATACAGGTTAGGCCCTTACAAATTAAACTTCTGTTTAGTAGTTTCTACCTGGTCATTGTCTCAGATTTTCAAGGTATGAAATTTTGATTGAATATTAAACTGGTAAGCAAAAAGCCTTAAAAGGAAACATTGCCATAAATATCTAAGGGCTTCATAGATGAGAGAACAGTTTTTGCAAACATCGCAACATTATATGAGACTGTTTTGGGGAAATGTTATTCATTTTAATGCCACTTTTCAAACTTTGCTTTGGGGAATGTAGATGTTTACTCATGATTTGAAAAATCTAGATATTTTTATGTTATTTATAAATAACCCCCAGTCTATTAGATGTAGTCAAAATGATAGATTTTTCATTGAAATAACACGCAAGGATCTAATCATCTATAAATCTGAATTCAGATCAAAGACCAAGGGAATCAATCACGGATGAACAATATTTTATTAAAATCGTATCATGAACTCATTATTTTGTTATGATTGTTTGTCTGCCCCAGTTTTCCACAAACTCATAATATTTCTTGTTGATTCCATAAATTACAGAAATCATGAGAAGGAAATATATTACAATCCTTATATCAAATACAGGACTATTATATACCAGTTACAGTTAATGGCTGATGCTTTATTCCATGTTGAATCTACTTTAATCTCTATTCTTTCTGACTCAGTAACATTATACTTTGGGAATAGCCTCTTACAATGTATCATAGTTTGTATTGATCTATATTTCACCATCATGCTTCATACTCCCTTACCAGTTTGATTTTCAATATGAAAACTTCATACCTTGGTCATTCAAGATGATCATGCTTTGCTGGAAAGAAATAAGTGTACCCTTTGACCAATAGTTTGTATATTAGGCTCTCACTAATACCTGGGTCACATTTGTACCGATTTATCGGCCGGCGCCCGGCCGATTGAGTGTTTTGTTCAAAATTGCATGTAGTTTTGAACAAAATACTCACTCAGGCGCTGGCCGATGAATCGGAGTAAATGTTTGTTGACCCCAAAAGTAGCTGCCATGGGGTTTTATGACAGTTTCAATATGAAATAAATGTCAGGTACGTATAAATTGTAATGAAGGCTTTTTCATTAGAGAGCTAAGTTTTTATCGACTGTATTCTGATTGGGTAAGTCTAGACCAAAGGATAATCACTCAGAGTGATGATGAAGCTCTCTTTTAAGAGGCAAAATCAAACTTTTCGAAAGGTAGAATGCGTCATAGGAAATATTCCTGTGACCCATTGATACGCACGGAACACTTAAAAAGTGGTATACCTTTTAGAGGTACCAAAGTCATTCTTCTAATAAACTGATTTTTTCTGTATTGGCATTTGCCACAACTTAATAATAATATGAGATCACCCAGTTTCAACTTATCAGTTTTGGTTAGGGTACTTAAGATTTTTTATTTGACTTGAAATCATTTATCTTCCTGAAATGATGCAAAATGTGTCAGAATTTCCTGGGAACACTTAAGCCAAATTGAACAAAATGAAAATAACAAACACATAAAAGATAATAAAAGTCCAATGCACAGAAGCAAATAATTGAAGTCTCATTCATTCATTAAAATGTGTCAATAACCCAATTGTTGATATTTTCTTGGGACTGTCCCAGACTAAACATATATAGCAAATCAAATGTTTGACTAATGTCATGATTGTATGTATACAATACATATCAAACCACTATCAGTAGCTGTGGGGTCAGAGGTGGCTTTATCTGAATGCGATGTTCAATTTCTTTATTTCAACTGATTAAAAGTTCACATTTAAACACCACTTCTGTTCTTCAGACCAAAGATTCATAGATTGATCAGTTAGAGATCAAATTGAAATTGTTTTCAAATTATGGAATTAATCTCTGTTTATTACAAGATAATATGAAATATGTACAGTATAAGGCAAATGGATTTGCTATTTGACCAATGTTAAGAATTTGGATATAAACTAGGCTGACTCCACTGACCAACTCGGAACACAAAGATCAAAGCAGTGCTGTGTGTGAGTTAGATATAACCCAAGACAAGGACTCACCTTCAAAACCTCAAGGGATCACCAAAATGGTATGTTTTGTATTGTGTTATAGAAGCAGGGAAAAAACAGTTTTTCTGAAATATTCATATATAGCATGCTACAGTGCCCACTGATACAAATCTCTCTATATGAAAATTGCAGATTTACATGTGTTGATAAAAAGCAACTGTAAGTTCAGGCTCATTTATTGCTTTTCATGCTATACAGTTTTTGCCTGTTTTATGATGGCCATTATCACCAAATGCTGCCATAAAATCCTTTGGAGCAGTCATGTTTCATTTTTAATGTTATATCCATTCCAAGGGGAAGGTCAAAATATCTTTTTTCTCATTTCCATGTGACTCAGATAACTATTTTAAGGTTTTCACACTGATACACTTATTAAAAGTGTCAAGTGTTATCATGTATTTAATTTTAATTTAGAGAATAAATATTTTTAATAAAAAAAAAAAGAAAAAAGAAAAAACAAGTGCAGCATATTTACAAAATGAAGAAGGCAGTCTGTTTTGAATCTGATCAAGCTTTCTGTTTTTAACCCAGTAAACATACTTTGATATTAAAACATGTGTTATTTGATCTGAGCTCATCTGATGAGAGTAGCATTGCTGTCATACATAAAGTGGGATAACATTTATTATCCTGTATTTATTACATATAATTTCTAAACATCACATAATATATATTTATATTCCATTGTCATGATAAACAAAGATAAAAGCTGATATCAGTGATCATTTTGGAATCTGCCTTGCAGGCCAGATGGTGAATCCAGGCCTGTAGCCAGGATTTGCCAAAGGGGGGGTTCAGTTTTCAAAAATTTCCAGGGGGGTTTACATTTGACAATTTTGGGCCAAATATGCCCAAAATCACTTGAGAAGTGCTCAAAATGGTGAAAAACTGCATGATATCGAAAGAATTTTTGACCAGAGGGTGGGGTCGCCCGAACCCTGCAAACCCCCCCTGCTACAGGCCTGGAATCTTACATTTAGGACCATGGCATGTCAAGACTGAGGTGATATGGTTTAGGTTTGCCACTTGATAAATCAAAGGTTTTCATATGACTGACATCAATAAATCTGGTCAGACCAATTTAGGGTCTTACTAGCGATTTGAAGAATATTACCAAAATATTGCCTGCCTCTTCCTCGTTTCTTGCCTGGTTGATCTTTGCACCCTCCTCAGGTGTAAAATTCTAATAATTCAGTGATCCCCCAGTATTAAAGGAAGTAGGTGCAGAACCTCCCTGAGATTTTGAAAACAGGCTTGCACCCACCTGAAAATCCATTTGCACTCACTTAAAAATGAGAGGAATCATGAAAAAATGAGAGGAATCATGAAAAATAGGCATATTCTGACCAAAGGACGATTCTCGGTTTGGAGAACGAAGTTCATCAAACTAAATGAGCATTATCCCTGCATTGGACAAATTTGATTTTTTTTACCTAATATAGATTTGAATGTCTTCTTTATAGTCATAATTTAATTTGGGTAATATTTCCAGATTTTTCGCAAAAAATATATTAGCGCAGTACACTGATGAACTTCTTTCCCAAAATCGAGACTTGTATTTAATTGAATCGGTCTAATTGAGCGTTATCCCTGCTTCAGACCAATTTGTTATTTTCACAACTTGTAGATTTAAATGTCCTCTTTTGAATATTCATAGTTTAATTTGGGTAATATTTCTATGTTTTCAATTAAAAAAATTATTAGCCCCGGAGACTGTTCTCCAAACCGAGAATCGTCCTTTGGTCTGAATTGTGAAAATGAGAATTTTGCGTCCACTTAAGTTGAGAACAAATCCTGTGGAGAACATCTCAATTCTGATCAAAAATGATCAAAATATGCAATTTTTATGATTTTTCTCATCTTCAAGTTGGTGAAAATCAGTTTTCAGGTCATCTTAGATTTCGAAGTTGTGAAGCTATTTTAAAAGCAAACTGGTAAAAGAGTATGCTCTCAAGTTGGTAACAAGCCATTTTCAGTACCAAGTTGGCTGGATGGTTTGGGAGATGCTGGTCCATTATTGTTGAGAGTGAAAGTCTAACTTACTTCATGTGACGATGTGTTATTTGAGCTACATAATCACCTTTCTGCTTGTTAGATGCCAAAATGAGTGAACATATGGAAATAATAAGGTATCACATATACATAGTTTATACAAAGTACTATATTATATATATATTACATGTGTATCTGGTATATATATTACATGTGTATCTGGGAGTGATACCAGATCAATCAAAGCTTAGTCAGGAATTAGATTAACAAAACAAACCTGTTATAATGTGAAAATAGAACACGCTTGACGTTAGATGGAAACTGAAGCATTGATAGTAAAGCACGAGTCTCAAACTGAGGATGCCAATAAAAATCCTCGCATAATTATGTAATAAATCGCAAATGATGAATTATGGTATTGTTAGATACTTACTGTGTAAGTAAATACCGCGATCAGGTTATTTATCGTCAATGTGGCTGGTTATTTGCAGCTGTATTAAATCGACTAATCTTCTATGATTACAAGCAATAAGTATTCGCCCTTGAAGATCATCTTGGAGATCGTCGTGGAGATCAACTTGAAGATCATTTTGGAGATCAAGTCAAAAATAGCAAATGTGATATCCATAGAATTGGAAAATACTTAGTGGGATCACAATTGGAAGGAAATTAAACAATTAAAAATATGGTGAGATAATTTCTGGATTTATATCAGAACAATTTATACTATCTCAAAACAATATAATATACTCTGATATAAATTCCTAAGTATTGAGAAAAATTGAATAATGTAATTGATGAGTTATAGAATTTAATAACAGATTATTAAGCTAGGATTAATTGAAGTGAAATTAGAAACTCCAGAAAATGAATATATATTGTGCCATGATAGTTTCATTAACATGATTAAGATTCACGGAACCTCATCCAGTCTGCCCTGTTGCATATTCTCATACAAAATGTTAGAGTAAATGAGAATATATTTCCACATTAGGAAATAGAATATAGAATCAATTGTTTAGAGTTACATCGTTGCAACAGGCAGCAAATGGGAGTATGTGCTTGATACAGTAAACGACACCAGAAGATCAAATAAAACAGAATAAGTTGAAAAGCTTATTACAAATAAGATTTTACGTCCACATCAACACAAAGCTCTGATAAGTCATTCTGATGGTCCATGTGATCTCCTTTGGATTTGGAAAACTGCAGATAATTGCATTGTGAAGATGGTACATTCTAAGATTGCCATGGAAATAAATGAGTAATACTGCAAAAAATTGGATAATTGCTCGATAATGGAGGCTTTTAGAAGAAGGGTAAGTGTGTAATAGCATTTTTATAATTGCGCTATCATGTATTTTTCATACCTTGCATGATGCATTATGCATTCTTAATGTAATTTCACCCATAGACAAGTTGATTGTTCAAATATTCAGAGATACAATAAGACTATCGATATCGGAATTGATATCAGTGTTCGGATTGCCAGGTGTTCACATTCCAGCTTTAGAATGTGGGAATCAGTTGGAGATAATAGGTGGATATACAGGTTTTACTATTGTAATTTGGCGATATATGAGTTCTGTTATTAAATGTTGTCATGGCTGATTTAATTGATATCATAATTAATGATGAATAATCCATAATTATATTCCATTGTCTACTTAGGGGTATGTACTATAGCTTGTTGATATAGTGCCAGGGGTCAAGAGAAAGGTTGCGTACAAATCTATAATCTTACAACCCCTGAAACTCTATAAGCCAGCGATTTATTGTATCAATCAAATATATTCATTTTCCGAAATGGTAGGTTGCGACTTTATGCAATATCTTATTGCTAATAGACAGCTCAATTATTACAGCGGGATATCAATCTTTGTAGGGGAAATTAAAACTTATCCTGTCCAAAATGTCTGGGGTATATTGCAATGTTGAGTTACTTAAAGGAATATTCCTTGCCAGACCCTTTCTCTCTTGATATGGTAGCTATAATCATATTTATCAATGTTAAAATTGTTCTATAATTTATCTGTTTAATTTACAATTTTTCTTTAAAATTGGAGATATGGGACATGGGAAAATGTTTTAATATGGTCAATATTGATCTTTTAAAAATCTAGTGCTTATTTCCAGTGAGCTGCCATCTTTTAAGATTTCTTGCAGGAAGTGATGTCATCAACTCTCAACTTCTATAACCTTGCCCATAACAGTATAGGAAAGTAGCACAAAATCACTTCTAGACAAGTGATCATTACTTTCTGTGCAAAAATATTTTCAGGGCTTGTCAACTTAGAATAAAAGAAGAGATTTTCAGAAGGATTAAATAAGATACAAAGTTGAAAAAGAATATTTAGCTGGTTTTGTAATTCTTAATAGCTCCTCACCTAATGCTATATGCAAAGTTGAGAGTCGATGACATCACTTCCTGTGTGAAATTTTAAAAGATGGCAGCTTACTGGAATTGAGCATCACATTTCTGAGTGATCAAATTTGACCATATCAAAACATTTTTGCGTGTTTTGCTAAACATGGCAAGCATATATATTGTTATAGCTACCATATGAGGAGAGAGATGGTTTGGCAAGGAATATTCCTTTAATAAAATCTCATATACCATTGTAATACATCCTTTAGGAAGCATTACAGGGAATTACACACCAATCCCTTATTTTATGGATATTTTCCCAGATACATGATAAGTTGTTCAATATGATATTGTGAGGGAATAGATTATTTGTTATATAGACTAGAATCAGTGTGTTCAAAATTTAATGACATCTTATATTTTGGCGAGCCACTAAATCATGTGTACTAATTGAAAGATAAAGGGTTCCTTAATTGATACTGAGATTTAACAAGATGAAATAGGTGTCGAAATGTGTTTTTGGGTAAAAAATGTGTTTTTTGCAGAAAAAAAATTAAAATCAAAAGAAAATTTTTTTTGAATTTTATTTCAACAAATACAGACTGGTTGACTATAAAAATTGAAAATAAACCATATTTGATAGATTTTCAGGGATTATGGAAGCTTTTAGAGATATTTATAGTGGTTGTTATCTTAAGTTTTATCAATCATAAATGTATTATTTATGCATAACTAATTGAGACAATATTTAAGTTTACTACTCTAATTTAGATTTTACCAAGAAAACAATATATTTCAATTCAATTTTATTTCATTTGATATTGTTTTATATTTCATTTGATATGACACATTAATCACAAATTCAGATTCATAAAAGTATCAGTGGTGTATGTCACAAATGCATATTACAATGTATCCTAAGAACATTCTAACATAAATCATTAGTGCTATTATGTGAGATGTTGGTACAAAAAGGGTTAATTTGTGTTAGCACAAATTTGATCTTCACCAATACGGTAGCATTTGCATCCAGCAGTACATTTTATTTTAGATTTTCTGCAAGAGCAGCGCATTGACCTGCAGCCTTTCAAGCATTGGCAGCTAATGAGCTCGTGTAAACCATTGGGCATGGGTGGTAGGGTTGTCCATACAGGTGTCAATGTAGATGATACAATCTCCCAACCGTAGTTCAAAGGGAGGGGTATTTCAGGATATTGTAGATGTGCACTTTTCCATATGCATGTTTGGATTGCAGCTCTTTTGATGTGAAGTCGAAGGGCATCCTGTGTAGGTGGGAGGGACTCTGGTTTGTTCTTCTGGAAGAATAACCTACATCTTACGCTGTTGATGAGGTTTGTCTCGCTTTGAAACATCCTGCAGACAAATTGTTCAACCATTTTTAGTGTGTATTGCAAGTGTTCTTTGAAATCACCAAGGGTAGAAAGCAATAGGTGGTGTTTCAAAAAGTATTGCCAGGCTGATTTCTTTGACTGTCCATAAAAAAATGAGATGCTGTCACATCCCGTCACGGCATGAAAGGCTAGAATGTTGTCTATTGATGCGGGTGGAATGGTAGTTAAACATGCATCTACAGATATAAATTTTCTTTTTAATAAGGTTCCAGCCATCATCCACAAGTTGTTACATCTTATCCGAGCTCTATGAGAAATAAGGAGCACAAGGACATCGGTATCCCTGCTACACACAACTACTCTGTCACAATTACAAGAAACTGCATGAAGAATAATCCGTGTG